CAAATGTTCATGTACAAATGCCTTAGAAACTATCTCTGGCAAGTCCTCATGCATGAGCTGGCCACTGGGAAATAAAATAAATTTTAACCTAAAAGCTTTCATTCAGCTCAGGTCGAATGTTTAAAAATGTATACACAATACAATGGCATTTGATGGGTCCAAGGATCCCCAAGGTGTGTGGATAAAATTGAGTGGATCTCTGATAGTTGTATTAGATAATCAATATTTGCTGTATTTTGTTTTTTAAAAAATGAGTCTGTAGGCTTCACTAGACTGTCAAAAGAGTCCATGGTACAAAAAAGGCTAAGAATCTTGTTGACATACACTTTAAAATCTATGTACTGTACTGATTGGTAAGAAAAAAGAGAGGTTAGAGAATATTTACATTATATGACCTTAGAAGTACCATGAGTATGTTATTTACATTGAAATTATTATAGCTCTGTATTTTGTTATTTGCTAAGAGAGATCAAGAAGTTTTCCATATGTTAATTGTTTAATCTTCTTAGAATTTAACATTTGACCACAAAGAGATTAAATTGTTCTCTGAAGTTGTATATGAAATAACCTGAGTTAATTAAGCCATTACTAATTACATCCTGCAGATTATTCCATTAGTTAGAGAGCACAGGATTCAGGTCAGCACTTTTTCTTTGCACGCCTGCTTGAAATAAAAAGTGCTTCTAGTAGGTTTATATCTAAACCCAACAGTATATCTGCTTCTCGCAGATTTATACCTAAATCACCCCATGATTTTTAACATCTAGTTTCTTTTGCCTCTCTCAATAATTTGTTGTTGTTGTTCGTTCTGCCAGATGTGAGACATGGGAGGCATAAGGTCAAATTCCTGAAATTAAGATAGATTTTGAAAACACACTTGGAAGAGCATTTCTGAAGTTTACCTGTGTACTTAATAAATAAAACCTTAAAATTAGACCCAAATATGAATTGATCCATTTTTTAAAATGTTTGGATCTCCAGTTAGTCTCTAGGCACTCTGAGACTATGAAAATTTTTCTGCTAAACTATACTTCCAAGAAATATATTTTTCCTTTAATGTCAACATATTGAAATCAATATTATTTTTTTTCTACCTTCTTTCCAGGACAACTAAACTACCTCGGATCAAGCCACCAAATATGGCATATCCTTGCAGTAGTGATGTTATATTGGTGGCATCAGTCAACAGTGTATGTCATGCAGTACAGACATAGCAAGCCTTGTCCTGACTATGTTTCACATTTGTGAATTAGGTATGGCCACCTGGTGAATTCAGTTGTTAAGCAATATATAATGGGGAATTGTATACCCCACTATTTCTAAAATTCCCATTCGTTTTCCCTTTTTCCTCTTTGAGTAACGCTTTATAAAAATGGGGGAAAAAAGTATACTTAAGGATCTGTAGTAATAGCTGCTTTACAAAACCCTTAAAACTACTAATTTGCTGCTTGTACAGAAAGTGAAAATTAGTTGGCAATCATAAGAAATATCTGAATAACAATGATGAATGGGAAACTAGTGTTGAAATAGGATTCATTTTACTTAGCACCAGCTTAATTTCCTTAGGAAGGGCTCATCTCCATTAGAAAATGGAGTCATCCTATGTGCTTAACTATTTTCAGTAAATTACCAAGTTTAAGTGCCTAATCAAGTCAAGGGTTGTTTCAGCCTATGCTTAATGCAAGCTAGGATAGTGATTTTAAATAATCACTAGCTTTTAAGTACATGATTTGTGAGAAACTGGCACTTCAGAGATTATATCCTTTAGCTATAGGTTCTTCTCTCCCTAAGAACATTAGATATTTTAGTTTTCCAGAACAAAAGCTTTAAACTTCTCCTGCAAGTTGAGAGAAGGTTTGAGAAGAGGAAAAGAACATGTCATTTTCTATCAGATAAGAATCACATTAGAAACTAAGTACAGGATTAGACAAATTATGTGATCAAACAACATAGTCATTAGCCACCTAAACATTTTAATTCCAGATATTAATTCCATATAATAACTGAATTCTTGTGAGTGGATTACAGCAGGTTTTTGATCCCAAAATTCCAGAGCTTTCAACTCTCTGAATTTTTAGTCCTGAATATCCAGTGACGGGGGTTCCCAGCTTTATGGGTGCTACTTTCAAGGCCATAGAATCTAGATGGCCCTGTCTTGACCCTGAAATGAACCTTAAGCCTTAGAACAACGTCATGCAGATACCCCATTTGATAAGACGCTTATTCACCTGTGCTCTAGTCCTTGGTTTCTGCATGTGTTAGCATTGCATTGATAACTCAGAATCTTGATAAACACTTAATATTTGGACCTGAAGCATTAAACTTTCTCTTTATTGTATATACTTAAAAAATAGATCTCACTGCCCTATCATACATTGTAGCCCTCTTATTCTTTGGTCTTTCATATGCATTAAATCCCTTAAAGCAGACATTCATAAAAACTTACATTGTTTATTGGAATATAAAATATTACCCAAGTTTCTTAATGAGTTGACATGAGCTGTTTTAAATATTGGTGTATTTTCAGAACAGCAAAATTACTGAATATCAGAAAAAATGTTAATTGATGATGAAGCTTATTCCCAAAATGCCTTTTGTACATACGATATTTGGAAAGTCACTTTAATGTGCCTCAGTTAATACATCAGTGAAATGTTGTGTTTCTTTTCCAGTGTAGTGTTTTTGGAATATAAATTCCCCATGCTAGTATCTCAGCAAAGAGAATTTCCCCCCAGGAGGCTCAGTAAAGGAATACCATGTCTTACCCATCGTGATGATGGAACCCTGCTTTGAAAATGGCTATTTTACCTTATAAGGTTAAAATTTTGATCCATATGTTAAGTGATAGAAGATTTTGGTGCAACAGTAGTAGGATATATTTCTCCTAGAACATCCCTTATTGGCTTACATGATTTTATTGCCTTTAAATAGATATTTTGTCATTTTGGCCAAACAAAAGACACTGAGTAGTTATACTTAAGTTAAAAATGAGAGGAAAGTCATTATTTTAGGTGTGGAGCCATTTTTATTAGAAAATTTTGTCAAAATAAAAAAAATTGAATCATTTCAATTTTTGCAATCCCTGTATTAGTATATGAATTAATACTTGCCATCTGAATTAATACATAAAAAGAGCATACTGTGTTTTTAAATCAGTGTTTCTTTGAATTTAAAGGGTGTACAGGTCTTTCTGTAGGAAAATTGTTCCGTGTAAACATTTCAACTTTTTATGAAAATGTTAAATATTGTAAGAAAGTTATCCTCTCATTTTTTCACTGCTTTGATGTATTTATTATAAAGTAGGGAATGAATGAATGAATGTGGATTGCTGTCAACTAGAAACACTTCTGTATGTCAGTCAGCATTTAATGACCACCTACTGTGTGCACAGCACTACTGGTAAAATTTTGAAGATATTGTTAACATTAAAAAATATTTTAAAGTTGTCTACAAATCTGAGCCTTGTAATGATGTATATTTATTTTTGTTTTTATAGATTAAAATAAGATTAAAATATACTATCCAGTTACAGTACTAAAAAAGACTGGTTTTAATTTTACCAATGTGTGAACTATAAAAGCTTTTGCCTACAGATTTTGCAAGTACATTTTAAAATTATCTATGGCTGTTTTAAATTGTCTCGCAATTTATATGGTTGTGGTTAACTCATTTAAGAAACAATTATCTTTCTATATTAAGCCATTTTCAAATAGCAAGACAGTGCTTGTCTTTTTTTGTTATTACACTAACTGCAATTCAGTAAGCTGCATGACAAAATATGTATTATGTAAATAAACCGGGTTTACTAAATATTTTTAAGTGCTGCTTGTCATTCTTTGTAATACATAACAGCTTTAAAATCATATTTTAGAATCAGGAACGAAGATTCAGGGAATGTCTGTCACATCTTATGGCATCCCACCTGGACAGAATATCCGATTTGAAGATTGTGATTGACTGCCATAAAACTATACAACTCTCCATTTGGCAGGTACCTACTAGATAATACTTTGCCCTGTATTAAATGTCAAGGGGCAAAGCGTATTCCTCTGAATTCCTGCTAGTTGCTTTGCTGCATTAGGTCCCTGTCTACTCTAAATCATCATTCCTGGGAATTCTACCTCTGCCCAAGTGTGTAAAGAATCAGCTCACCTATTAGAGAAGGGGTAGAAATACCTTCTATGTGTATTATCACAAAAACTGTGTTTACACTGAAGAGGTGTAAATACGGTCCTCTGAGATCTTGTACCAGAATTCCCAGGTAGTGTAATGAGATGATGATCCAGAACTGAAACTACCCTTAAGAAAACATTTTTGGAAGGGAGAGGTAAATAGCAGTAGGGGGTTTCCTGTGAAAAATTAACCTCCATCCTCAAGAGAGCTGAAATGAACAGCCGCCAAGGTTCTAGTCCTGCTCTATGAAATCTGAGATCAAAATACTACCTAACATGCATGTAATCTCAATTGTGGCAACCATTTGAACTATCTTAATATGTAACACCAAACGTTCAAGCTTTCAATATGAGAATATTAACTACATGTTACATGTGATGCTTGAGCTGGGCTTCCTTAAAAAGGTATTCATTATCCAAAATAAACAGCTCAAATTGCAGCATATATTCATCTCAAATAAGTTAACTATAACTGAATTTGAACAGGAACACTGCAAACTATTCTTTGTTAATAGAACTTTTCTGATCATTTGTGTTCTTTTGCTGCTTTGTACCATTCATTAAAAAGATACAAAGCCCCCTTTTTCACACAACTTCAAAAAAAGTTCATTCATAAAAATAAGATGAACCGTTCCACAGGCTACCAATCTAAAGACTCCAGTTTGTGGAATAATACATAGTATTATAACCTTGATGCCAAACTTAGTCCATCAATCCAATCAACAGGTTTTCTCTTAATGTGTCATAGCCTCTCTTCTGATATAATTGAGGATTACAATGTTAGTTAACCAAATAACCAATATTAATTCAACCAAAGATGTTACCAGGTTTTAAGGATTTTTAAAAATTTATAATGTGGAAGCTACAAAACAAGTTATTCAGAAGGCATTACAGAATAGTTTTTGCCTACTGTCATCACTCTGAGTATCAGTAATTATGACTCACTGAAAAAGTCATTCTGTTAAGTGTTCTTGTAGCAAAAACTCTTTAAGTCAAATGGGTTTTCTTACCTAAATTGTAAACTATGAGCTCCTTAAGAATAGGGATCTAATCTTACAAACTTTTCTATTCCACTAGCTGCTACATAATAGGTCCTTAATGTTTGTGGTGTGAATGAAATAACTGAATTTGAATAGAAGTTTACATTCAAAAGTCGTAATAAGACAAATAATGAAAAACTCCAAAGTCACTGATTATAAAGAATATGCAATCCATTTGGGATTTATTGCATTTAAAGAAAACAGATTAAAACAGGTATGATAAATAGAGTAAGAAAATAACTTTAAATTTCAAACAAAATATAGTGAATCAGGGACAGAATTCAGTCAAAAAGAATAAGCAATGTAAAGGCAATAAAGTAATAAAATCAGTTAGTGCTTAATTAGATATGGCAGGGGGAAGGGGATGGCAGGGGGAGACTGAGTCTATCTCATAACTGTTTCCCAGCGATATTTGAGGACTGAAGTTACTTCAGCAAGTATGTTTTGTAACAAGTAGAAATACAATAAAGATGTAAATCTGATTTATTTAAAGGTTAAAGTTATTTGCTTAGTGGTACATAAAAGGCTTCAGAAAATTCAAGTTTAACAAAAAATGGAAGTGTAATCAAAGAAAGTGCACTTAAAGCTGTTTGCCAGCAATTAAAAAGTAGCTTCTATACAGCTTCTATTAGATGACTTTTCAATCACAAAAAGAGCACAGTCATAAAAACAATTCTTTCAAAAGTAGCACTATAAATTTTAAAATAAAACAAAAATAACCCCAAATCATGACCCTTTGCATTATCATCTACCTTATTCTCTTAGTAGCTTTTGTAAACCCTCACTAGGAGTGAATGTTCTCTTAGATATGATTGTGGTTGCAATTCCATTTTTTAAAAATTCACATTAACTCCACAGTAGAGAGATGTGACATGCATGTGTGTACATATTTTTATCTTAATATATAAAACACCACTGAGTATAAAAGTTCTCAAACTATTCATCATTTATGGTATTCTCACAGTAGATATGTCATCTCATTCTCACAGTAGACTGTCAACTCAATAATTGGACCTAAAATAACAAGTTTGCTAAAAAGAAAAAAAAAATGAGAGAAAAAAGTTTACTGCACATTCTAAATATATTAAAAACAAATGTACCCAAGCTCCTCAAAACTAGTGATATTAATACACTTGTACCTTCTAACAGTGCTTACGTAAAGTACCAAAACCTAAAATAAACCAAGCAGAGTAGCTGACTTGTAACAAAACCGCTCTGCCTGGTGAACTTCAGCAGAGAAGAGTGGGCTCCACCTTAGATTTTCCACCAGCAAGAGAACAACAGTCTATCACTCTTAAACAATAGACAGGGTAGGAATGAAAGTTGTGTCTATTTGCAAATCCAGATAATGTCATAACTATGCGCAACACATACACAGGGATTGGGGTAAGGGAAAATAATTACACTCCTGAATAAATGTTCTAGTCAGTTAAATTTTCATCCAGCCTACAACCTTTCCTCCTCCACCTAATATACTTACCATGCAATTTTTGTGTCTTAGCAGATACATTCTTCAATGCCATAAAAAGCTGATCTTTTTAATACTAACATTTTACTGACGTGATAATATTAAAATAAGCAAATGGTCCACTTTTTAAAGGATTATTCAAAATCAACAAGCATTATTAAAGCTGTTAGGAAACAACTTTGGCCTCAGATTTTTGCTAGCTTCATAATAATTTACTTCTCTTAGTGATGTTCAAGTATAACAGGTTTAGTTATAACTACATCCTAAAGAAGCACAGGGGACACCCAAATATTAGGGGAAAAAACCCATATGTGTGTGTGTGTGTATTTGCTTAGTGGTAAATATAAATATATATATAATCTTTCTTACTTCCTTAAACCAGAATTGAACCATCCCATAATAGAGCCAAACTTTTACTGAGTGCTGTGTGCCAGGTACTGTGTTAAGCACTTTCACATACCTTGGGAGCTTTATTCTCATAATTCTCACAAGGGAATAACCTGAGCATCAGCTGTGTGGAGTGACCTACACCTTGACCATGATTCTGGGGGATGATGAATGAAAATGCAAAATATAAATCTATACTCCTTAGGAAAATGCCTCTACTACAACACAAAGGAATCTCTCCATTTATATCCTGTTGAACCCCCAATTGAATCCTGTATCTTTTCTCTGAGCTACAATCTTGAAAGAAGAAAGTCACTGTGCTGTGTTATAACATTAAGAATGTAAATATTTTAAGTTGTCAGAGTTGTTTCCTCAGAATTTATAAGCCAAAAGGTCTACATCTGTGTCGGAATCATTTAAAATTATTCAGTGTATTGAAAAGCAATTAAAACTCTAGGTATTTCATGTTTACATCTGAAGGAGACCACATTAGTTCATCCTCTACCCCTTTTCTAAATGATGAAACTCATGAGGTCTAGCAGAGACCAAGGACTAATACAATCAAGAAGCATATTGTGTACACCTCAACAGATTTTCATTTTAAAAAATTGTTTGATACAAACCTACTGTAGTTCATGAATTTACTATGTGTAATCATCAACTCTTCACTTTTAAAAGAAAGTATCACTTGAATCTATTTTGTAAAGTTTTTAAACATCTACTTGAGCATTTGCATTAGCAATATTAATCAACCTGAGAATCAGAAGGAAAAAAAAAGGTGCGAACACATTTGCCTTTGGCACGAGGACAAGTAATCGGTGCAGTCCAGCTCTAAAAGTACAACTCTAAATAATAATGTAATGCTTGGTCTGCCTCTGCTACATTGTGATTCACATATTGCTTCCCTATCCACAAATTTGTATTTGATTTAGCATATAAAAGAAGGGAAAAAGCAATAAAAAGACAAATAAGTGGTTTAGTTACATATACTTTGCTTCTTTCCAAGTTCAGAACTGTGAAAAGAGGCAAATAGCTTATCCCATTGGGGCACTATAATTAAGAGATTCCTAATAAAATTACTCATAAAATATACTTTAATTGGGTTTGAAGAGAGTTAATTTAAAATATAAAAATCAAAGAGAGTGCCAGTTGATGAGTGTCCACTCCTTTCTGTAAATAGCATTAACTGTTCTAGAAACTTCCAAATGTTAATCTGATAGCACAGCACAATTATAACTTAAAATAGTTACAGACACAGGAAGCACAGATACTATATTCACATTAATTCACATATGTAATCTCTATCATTAAATGATTTCTATAAAATCTCAAGTTTCTAATTAGGATTTGTGGTGTAAAAAAAAGGCAAATTGGTAGCTGGGTTCTCTTCAGTAAAGACACAATCAACTAGCAGAGTTAAGATGCTAGTCCACCTTATATGCATTTTAAGATCTGGTGTATTAGTGCAGAGGTACTTGCAGCAGGATGCATGAATCCTGCCTTTATATAAGGCTTTGTGGCTGTCACCGTTCTGTGCACTTTATTAAATCTACTCCACCCCCCAAACCTAATAAAAATAATTGTTGCTTATGATTTGGGGAATATTTGGTGAAGTTGCTAATAAAGTACATTATTAAATGCAACATGATTTCACATTGTAAATGTCTTGAAAATTCAGTTTCCGCTACATTATTTTCTTATAAAATTTTTATATAACCCTTGTCCTCACTCCAATTTTTCCAATAATCTGCTTTATTACGGCCATGACAATAAAAGTTTGGGGCAAGAAGCCATTCATAAAGTGTTTCTAAAGTAGTGAACATTTTCTATTCTATATCATTTTTTCTTCTTATAATTTCTTTGCAAATGTCAGGTGTTTCTCATATTTTTGTTCTAGGCTTCTATGCGATAGTCCATTTTTTAAGTTCTGTTTTAATTGACAAAAATTATATTTATCATGTATAACATTGCTTTGAAATATGTAAATTGTGGAATAGTTAAATTGCGCTAATTAACTACACATTATTTCATATGCTTATCATTAGATATTCCATATTAATGGCACTTGTTTTTAAAAATGAAACAGAGTTTTAGGCACAATAGTCAGTTACTTCTGGCTCTGCTTTGTGGAGAAAGGTGTATGGACTGAAATCTCTGCACTCTCCAGATAATTACTTTCTAATGCTTTAAGATAACTAGACTGTTTTTAACTGTCTGGAAATTAGAAGAGACCTTAAAAAAATTCACAAGTGTAACTAGTGTATGTACAAATAACCCTAATTTTAGGGATATGCACACAAAAATGACATTCTGATATCAAAAATAAGTTTTACTGTCCCTTCTCAGTGGCTACACACCTGGAAAGGTGCCATGTGCTTTCACTGGAAGTACCACACTTGCATTTCTGTATTGTGATGTCAGTAGCAGAAACCCTTCGTTAGAGCTTGCAGTTTAGCTCCCTTTCTCCTGAAGAGGCATCAAGTTCCTACCCTGCAGAGATACTTCATTTTTCTATTTGGTTTATTTAGAAATCACCTATTCTGATTGATCTTTAAGAATGAATGATATAAAGAGCTACCAAATTTTCTTTCAAATTCATGAAACTATTCATACTTTCTTGAAACAGGAGTTAATGCCAAGAATCCATCAGAAGTATCTACTGTTTAGAAGGAAATGGAGCAGCACCAAATGGGTCCAATTCGACTGGTTGGGACTGTTGGGACTGATGTGGAGTGATGCTTTGCACCACAAGTTCTGTAAAGGGCACGGCACCAAAATCATCCATTTTCAATACATCTGCACTATGGAATGACCCATGTAGTGAATTTTGTCTTGGCCGCCCTGGCAAGACAGTATTGTGATCAGCACGGATGTCGCTCAGGCCCTGATGTGGAGGGTGCCATGACAGGTCTGCAGAATGGAACGGCTTGGCACCGAAGGGGTCCAACAGGCTCTCCTCAGGTTGTAAGACATTGCCCCTATCTTTCCCATCAGTCAGTGCAACACTGATGTTCTCCTTGGAGTCTGAGATGGTTAAAAATTCATTGCTACTTTGAGAGTCTCGGCGGCCCACTTTTTTGTGCCTGCGAGCCCTCTCTGGAGTGCGGTAGGTAGGCTTCAAAGTCTTCTTTGTGCTAGTTGGCGTGCCATGATGCCGCTTCCCATTGCTTTTGGACATATCCTGCTTTGTGCGCCTTTGGCGAGAGGACAGTTTCTGTAAGCTGCGCTGTTTGACTTTTTGCTGCTGGCTCCCCGTTATTTCATCAAAGGGCACAAGCCCAAAAAGGTCCTCGTTGCTTTCACTTTTACTTGTTGATGTGAGGAAGGGTTGAAATGGAGTGGAGCCAAATACATCTACACTTTTGGGATAACCAGGGATAGTATGTGCCTCAGGCCCCCCGGCATGGCATTCTTGGACATTCACCTTCTTGCTAAAAGGCGCCTTTGTGAATACATCGAATTCCTCCTGCTCGAGTCCTGCAGCAGGAAACCTGTGTTGAGGGAGGTTCTTTTCATTCTTTTCTTGCTGGGGCTGTTGAGCACGCACTGCAAAGAAGGGGACAGCGCCAAATACATCGAACTCCTGTTTGGGAGTCTCCACCTCAACATCAGAGGATAATTGGGCTGAGGTGAGGAGTATTGTATTAACATCTTGGGTTGGTCCACTGCCAGATTTGTCTCTGTAGACAGAGCTCATGTCACTGTACTTTGCTTTAGCCTGCTCATAATCAGAATCAGAGCTATGTTTCTCCTCTTCTTCCTCATCTTCAGAATCCATGAGGAGAGGCCTGTGACCCAGATTTTCTGGTTCAGTATCATCATCATTAAAATCTCCTTGTTCCCCCTGAAGAACTTCTTCATCATCTTGCTCTTCCTCTTCACTGCTCTTAGGAGAAGGGGGATCTGATTCAAAATCACTTTCAGATTCATCATTCCCCTTTTGCACTTGACCCTGTACTGAGGTTTTCTTTCCAGTCCGCTGATCTTTAGATGCTGGACTTGTTTTGCCGTTCTTGAGAGCGTTTGCAGTGCCATTTTCTTGATTTATAGATGAACGTTCAGCTTTCTTTTCAGGAGAACCTGCAAGTTCAAAGAAAAATTATTACAGCATTCCAATGCATTTCAAAATCCTCTTGCACTAAATGTTAATATGTATTACACACAGCATTACAAATCCCTCATACGAGTTCCCTTAGAGGAAAGAATAATGTTGTCAATTCTTTGTCAGTAGACCTAGAGAATGCATTTGACCTCAAGTAGATGGTTAAGTCTTAATGTAAACAGACTTACTCATATCTGGACCCTACACCCTGCCTCCTCATCATACTCTGACAGCCAAATTTTATTTATAGCACTCAGAATGTAGTAGACTAGCAAATTTTCTTCACCCCACCACCAAAATAACATTATTCTGCTAATTCTGAAAGCTCAGATCTCACATTCACTAAACACCTTCTGCTTATATTTCAACTGTTGTAAAGTTTTCTCATGGAGATCCACAAGCATGAACAGCCTGCCTGCTCAGTTACATATTTGTTTCACTATTTTTTTTAAATCAGCATTGTATTTTTTATAAACCAGTATCTTTTGAATTGAGTTAGCATGAATGGCCTGATCAAAGCTAAGGACCAGATACTAAATGGAGACTGTACCAAGAACATCTGTCTTCTCTAGATGATATATCTTCCTTTAATTATAATATCTATACATTACATTAAAAGCGAGATGCTTTTAAAAACAAATATACACCATCTGGAGATGTTTTTAGCTCAGAATCCATTCAGTCACTTCATTTTCTGAGTTCATTCAACAAAAGAAATATAGGGCACTTTACTATACACATAGTACATTGGTGAGTAGAAGAAACATGGTTTCTGCTTTCAGGGGTTTATAATCAGAGGTTGCAAGTAAACATAAATTGTGACCAGTGCTCTGAAATAAAGGAGAGCAGGGAAATGGGTGGATAAACCTACTTTGGACAGTTGGTGAAGACCACCCTAAGGAGATGACAGGACTGAACAATGAGAAGCAGCCAGGCATGCAAAGGATAAGCTGGAAGCTGCTTCCAGTAAAAGCAATGGCATATATGAAGACATATTTAAGGGGCTGAAAATAGGCTATTGTGGCTGGAACATAGTGAGCAAGGGAGGATCAGGTACAAGATGAGGTAAGGAAGACTGGAAAGGGCCAGACTGTGAAGGTCCTTTAAGGCCACAATAAGCAGCATAGATTTTATTCAAAATTCAGTGTATAATGGAAAGCTACTATTAAAATGGGTGTCATGACTAGGTTTCCATTTTAAAAAAAAAATGACTGCTCTATAGAAAAAGACTAAGGGGGCCAGGTACGGTGGCTCACCCCTGTAATCCCAGCACTTTGGGAGGCCAAGGCGGGTGGATCACAAGGTCAGGAGTTTGAGACCAGCCTAGCCAACATGGTGAAACCCCATCTCTACTAAAAATATAAAAATTAGCCAGCCATGGTGGCGGGTGGCAGCTGAGTCAGGAGAATCGCTTGAAACTGGGAGGCAGAGGTTGCAGTGAGCCAAGATCGCACCACTGCACTCTAGTCTGGGCGAAAGAGCGAAACTCTGTCTCAAAAAAAAAAAAAAAAAAAAAAAAAAAAAAAAAAAAAAAGACTAAGGGGAGATAAGAAAGGGAGTTTAGGCAAAAGGAAATTATAGTAATGCAAATTAGAGATTTTGGTGGCCTAGATGACATGACAGTGGTGGCAGAGTGGATCAAAGTAGAAAACATAGAGATGGAAAACTCTTGGTGGATGGCAGTACCATTAACAGAAAGGAAAGAATGAGTGGCATGATAGAAACCCATTTACCCTGATGTGATTATTATGCACTGTATACCTGTATCAACATATTTCATGTACCCTATAAATGTATATACCTACTATGTACCCACACACACAATTTTAATGAGCATAAATTTTTTAAAAAATGAATAGCTGGAAAGTGAAGAGGAGTACTAAAAATTTTGTTTGGAGACATTAAGCTTGATATATGTGTGAGACAACATTTAAGTGTACAGCACTTAGGTATCTGTGACTTGAAAACAATGGTTACTTTTTGGCTGAAGAAAATAGATTTGGGAGTTATCACCATGCAGTCGGTATGCAGGGAGAGCTACAAGACTAAAGGACATCACCTCGGAAGAAAACATAGAAGAAAACAAGATCCAAAACTGAGCCCTCAGTATAAAACATTCAGAAGTCAGCAGAGGAAGATGAACACGCAAAACAAACTACAAAGTAACAGCCAGAGAGGGGGAAGAAAACAGCTGAGTGCAATGTCACAGAAATGGAGAGAGAAGAATGTTTGCAGGGAGGTAACAGACAACTGAGCTGGATGGTGCAAAGAGGTCCGGTAAACTAAGGACATAAAATGGCCACTGGATCTGGTCATCTTGTATAGTTTGTTGGCAATGTTGACATGAGTTGTGGTGGTAAAGAATGTGTGGGAGACAAGTATGTGGAGAATACCACCAGGTTATACTTTAATGCAAATATAATCTTCTGCCAGTTCCTTAAAACCAGCCAAGAGCTACATGCTGTATTTGTTATCCTTCCAGATTAAAAGCAAATCAAATGCAGATTCTCAAGTTTGACTTCTTCCCTATACCGCATATTTATGATATTAAAAACAAAGTTAATTTTAGATTAGTGAATTTATTCTCATGAATTTTTATTCAAAAGCAAAATATAGGAAGAGGGGGAAAATTTAAAAAAAAACAAAATATGTACGGTTCCAGATGATTTCCCATCATCCCTGACTGTGGAACATTCAACGTATTATTCCTCGAGCTGCATACCCACCCACAGCCACAACATTCACACCTCACGGCTGCTCACGGACACCTCCAAGTAACATTCCAATGTTGCCCAAAGTGTATCTGCAGAGGCTATTTCCCTAACAAGAACCAAGCCCAACAGTTCTGTGGTCTCAAGCAAACAAGTCTATGAAATGGGGCACTCTGCATTCTGCCTCCACTCCTACTCACCTGGAGTATGCTCATTAAAGGGGCTAATGAGTCCTACACAAAAGAATCTAATTTTATGAACCCTAGGATTTCCCAAATTGTCTTCACTACCCTTTTATTTACATGTAATGCCTGTTAACCTTTAAAACCAACTGTGCAAAAGTGCTTTGGGAAACGCTGCTATACAACTTATCTTGAAATTTTCCATTTCTAGGACACTTTAGTTGTGTTCCTGAAGTTCTTCTAGAACATTTAACATAGGACAGATATTTCATCTTGGAGAATGTCATTTGGAAGTGAATTTAAATTCACCTTTTAAAAATTACTACATTGTAATCCCTAGTCTTCTTAAAATTGACTGTTTTCATTATCCAACTGGTTACCATTACTTTTCAGAAGACATCTGTCACTTTATACTTCCCATTCTGTTGGCCTTTGTCAGTTTATCAAAGTTGTATTAATATAAATACACATTTATAATTGTCAGTGTGGGTATAAATCTGTGAGTTTTTAACTTACTATTTTTAATGCATCTTTTCAGGTATCAACATAGTCCATTATTTATTCTGACAGAAATATGATAAAATATTGCATATATAACTGTTCACTATTTAGCAATAGAACATTTAGGTTGTTTCTAGTTTTTCGGCATTTTAGATACAACCATGATTCATGCACTTTTTCCTTCAGGGAGTAAAAGGGAAACCCTCCTTTTTTAGTATCAATTTCACTTTATTTATATACTATTATTCCCTCCTTATGGGTAATTAACACAGCTAATAAAGCTAACCCGATAATAATCCTGACAAGGTCACCACTATTCCACTCTTTCTTTATACACAAAATGGGATAACACATTTTATTTCACAGAGCTGTTGTGAAGAAAGGACTTAAAACGCTGCCTGACACATAATAAGCACTCTACCATCTTCATGTCCAGGGAATGGCCAAATTCAATTATTCTATCCATCACACTCAGCACGCTTCTAGTAACTTTTCTGGGCCCAATGGCTGCAGGTGAATATAAATGAGGGAGAAGTGTGGGGAGAAGCAAGTCTATGGCTAATTCAAGAGGAGCTGAGATCCACTTCAGAATTGACCAGAAGTAAGTAGACAAACCAATGTATATCCACACAGCATAAGGGTGCATTTTAGATCCTGGAAATTATATTTTTGATTTTTAGACAGCTATATTTGGGAACACAGTATAAGAAATGGAAACACACTTTCAAAAGAGCAAGAAAAGAGACAATCATCTATACCACCTTTGTGGCTTCAGATTACATCTGCGAATAGTACAGGCAATTGGGGAAATTTTCTGTTGATGTAGATAGACTGGTTTTAATTATTTTGCCCCCCTACATAAAACTAAAATAACAATCAAAAATATTTATCCAAATTCCTGTTTTCTCCCATATTCTTGCAACCCACACTGACATTGTTTAAATATTTCACTCTACACTTTTACTGCTGTCATAAACTTATAAAAAGAGCAATAATGAGGCTCTCTGAAAGCATACTAAGAGAAACTATTAATCCTTTTATCTCTCCAGCACCTACTACTGAGGAAGAGTTAGGATCCAGGCTGCAAGTTACCATGATCCAAGGTAAGTTTATCTTTTCTGCAGTAGCAGTGATCTACTTAATCATCTATTCATTATGAAACTATAGAAGAGCTGGGAAAGAAAGGTGAATTACACAAAAATAAAAAGTATTTCAGTATATTCTAAGGCTTTCAGTCCTATTCCATAGACATAAAAGACTGTCAGAGTAAGTATTTTAAGTTATAAAGTTGGTTATAACCATACGATGCACAGCACTTTAGAATGTGACCTCTAGCTAAGAATGCCATAAACATTTATACTCTATTTATTTGCCTAAACATATTCCTGTAATTTAAAAAAAAAAATTCAGATATTCCCACTATTTGTGTCTGGGGCCAGGTTCCCACTAGTTGTTAAATAATACACATTTGATGTACTATGAAATTTAATCAGGATTATTTCACTGCTAAAGTTAATTTCCCAAAAGTATAAGCCTAAATATGTTGCTTTATAATTCAATATATCCTAAATCCTAATAATCCCCATATTTACTGAGATCTGTTTTATTAACATAAAAAATAGCTGTTCTTCAAGTAGGTGGGAGACGGGGGTATAATATTTAGAATAAGTACTAAGAACATGTATTTACAGCATTAAAAACTGTGTAGATGGTGCACAAAATCATAACTCATTTACATTATTTTAGTATACTGTAAAATTTCATATATTCACCCATTGTTTTTATTTTTGGCTCTAAGAAAGGTATTTCTTTTTTTTTTAACTAAATACAGTAGAATGATATTTTGATGGTTTCTAGTCAAGATATTCTTTATTTATGTTTTTGTGCTTTGGAACTATGAACTAAAAATTTTAGCTTTTTTATTATTAGGAAGTTGCATGTTAATTGGTGACACAAAGCAAGTTCACTAATTATGCAGTGATTTAGTAAATAAATGCCATGCAAAAACCTATATGATCAACCAATATCTGTAAACAAAACTTAACAGAGGGTTAATCAATTAATTGAGAGCTGTTACTTCAAATGCTGTTCCCCAACTAAGAATGAACCAACAGACCATTAGTCAAAACATAATACTAAGTAGATTTTTAGGGAAAAAAACTCAAAATAGGAATACATTAATATATTCCACATATTTATACAAAAATACAGAATTAAATTTTCTTTAGGCAGCTTTGGTACAGAGTTACTAAGAACCAAATTTTCAAAGATGTATTATTGTAGATGGAATTATAACTATCTTATTTTCAGAGCCTAGTTAAAATAATAAAATCATAGACTTTCACAATATATAATAATTATGCTGTTATTAAGCCATAATTAATAATTAAGTCATTTCAAGTAGAATTTAAATGAAAGTATACATCTACTTAACAGAAGAACTTGGAACAGAATACAAGTCTCAACATCAAATGCAGTGCTCTTTCAATTCTTTATTTCTGTTGAATTCTACTATCTGAAAATGAGAGCAAATCCTCATCTTTTCAGGTTGAGTCTGATTGCTGGAAACCATCAAAATTCATTCAGAGCCAAATTCTGAGAATAAGGTGAGTAACTAAGACAATGCAGATCTGGGCAATTTATTAAGAACAGCAATGATAGGTTATAAACTTTTAAATTATCTTGTATGGCTTCTAAATAGTCTCTCAGGGAAATTACAAGTATTGCAAAAAATGTTTGAGCAATGAAGTACCACTCAAATAAGTGTCAAGAGGACACAAATGGTACTTGAATCAAAAATGAATCAGAGGAAATAGGAACTAATATCCTGAAGCACAGTGCCAAGGGTTTTTCATATATTACCTCTTATCTCCCTACTATTAGGCTCCCACAACATTTTAGGGCAAAAAATGCTCTGTAAGGTTTACTATGATCTTTCTTAGAGCTTTTTTCTCTTCAATCTTATTAACCACATTTTCAGAAACTTTCCTTGTGTTCCATGTTAGTTCACTGTCATGACTTCCTACCATTTCAAAAATATGCATTGTTAACACTCAAAACTCAGTCCTTGGCTTTCTCTTAGCTCTTTGCGCTTTTTCCTTTTGGTAGCCTTAGTACTCTTTCATAGCTCCAATTATATCTTGAAAGCGTAAGAAAGGATTTTGGGAGATTTAGTCTAACTTTTTTTATACATAAGAAATTTGAGACCTGCCCAAATTTAAGGCTATATATCAAAGCCATAATGATTTCTCTGCTGACACTAGCTTAAAACTCTCATCTGTAAATTCTACAATTAAATTACCAGTAGAATATTATCACCAGCAAAAATTCAACATGGTTTATCACCAACACACTACAAAATACAAACACAGACTTATCTTGCATTTATTTTATATCCTCATTAAAAAACCATACCCGAAAAATAAAAATCACAAACAGGATGAAGACTCTTTTGTTGAACCTGTATGACGAGTACCCGGTATTAAGAGGTTGTTTTTTTTTTTTTATATTCTGTAGGGTTAAGTTCTAAAAATACTATCAGGCTTTATCAACGAACAAAAGAATACTCAACTTTACAAAATTTATGAGAGAGAAACATCCAAATAAGCCTGAGTTTTCTCATCTAGAAAACAGAGCCAATAATAGAACTTACGTGATAGGGCTGATGTTAATATAATTCATTTTATTTAGTGAATGTTCACTAAATATTGGGTAGGAGTGTGTGTTAGATTATGAATGTGTATTTTGACAATGAATTCATTCAGCAGGGTACCGTATGGGATACAAAGATGAGTAAGACAATACCTGATGACTTCAAGAAGCTTATTCACTTAAAAATTTGTGAAATAATTATGTACATTTATGCATTCAGAAACATGCTAATCTGACTCTAGTGATCTGGAAAATGAGTGACCAAGGTAATAACAATTGGATAATTTTGAAAAACAAGCTTATATTCACCAAATAAATGTAAGAACATGAATTTGCCCATTCTGTGCTTATAAGTCTTCATAAAAGGCTAATTTTAGGCCTTTTATGAAGGTGTTAAAATTTGACAATGAATTCATTCAGCAAGGTATTGTATGCCATACAATACCCTGGTGTTAAAATTTCAGACTTCATAGCCTTGCACAGTCCAAATAAGGATTCTAAACTCAAAAGTTAAAATTTGTAGTCAATGCCTAAAACATTTCTTAGGCTACATTTTCATATATTTGTTACAGCATTTTTTTAAACAAATACTTCATAAAAAGAATGAGATCCTAGTAAATGCCACACTATTTTAAACAAATATTGCAATATATTCTTAAATAAACCTTTATAAACTATACCAAAAAATTCAAAATATTTAGAAAATATCCAATGTGAAGAGAGCAGCATGTTTGCATCATACTATGCATATTACCACTCTTCTAGAATCAGGTTTCCTTTTAGAGGGCAGTTGTTCTTTTAGTCATAAAACAGGTGGTACATTTTTAATCATATAAGAAGCTTCCAGTGTCAAGGAAATTTTGTTTTGATGTTCTTTTCTTAGCTGTCAGATTACAGAAGATAAATGGCTTGAAACTGCTATTGTAATTACATGCCTTCTGTTGTCTCATCATTGAGGGTGTAAGGGAGGGGCTATAAGACTTTAAAGTTCACTTTGAATTGGCAGCATACTGCCTGCCATCATCTCCCAGCAATTTACCATGTTAGTCCCAAGGATTAGTGGATTAGGAGGTTTTATCAAAATCTGTACTGCTTCTCAGAAGGCAGGCCAAGTGACAGGGTTTGAGTATAAGAAGAGAATCCTAATAGTTGTGAACAGTATTTCCCAGCCAGATGAAAAATGCCATAAAACTGACATTTCCATTATGTTCTCATATTAATATAAATTTTTATTTAAAATAGATTAATGCTTTGTTTTGCTATTTACAGACTAGAGTTTAGAATGAGACAAAGCCAGATTCCTACTTATAAACTGTGTAAGCTTAAGCAAGTCACTGAACCTTTCTGAGCCTCATTTTCTACTCTATGTATACAGTGGAATTCAATATATCATAACTATTATTGCTAACATCCTGAAGTTCTTCAAGAATCATACACTAGAATCTAAAATAAACAATACCTCATTGTAGCTTAAAAAATGGCCCAGCATTTGGACTGACAATCTGTAAATGTTATGTTCCAACAAATATTTGCTATATGTAATGTAATGTTTCCCAATCCTACGGGGTGTGTCTAGGGTCTTTGGGAGCATTGAGGAAGTTCACCAAACCTAATTAAAAATTAAACGCAATATAAGAAATTTAAAACTTCAGTGACCTAATTAATATGGCCTACATGTCACTAAAAGTCTTCAAATACAATTTTAGAATTTCAAGAACACTACGTTTTAGAAGTTGTAGGTGTTTATTAAAATTGGGTGGTCCACACTACATTATATAATTCACAGAGCCACCTATCCTATGTTGGTATACAAACTAACTGTAAAACAGTGCCCTGAGGAGAAGAAACAGAATGGGTTTCAGGAAAGGGAATGAATACCATGCTTTAAATATGATTTTTATGAGTATACTGTAATGAACACTGGTAGTTAATCCTTTAGTGAAAATAGGAATGGCGCTATTTTAAACAGATACTGGTAGTGGAAATCCTCACAAACAGGTTCTATATTTTAACGGTTTCATTCAGAAGAGAACACTAACATAATAGTCACTCATTTAACCCTTTCAATTATCTTATCAAGATAGCCAGTACTATCTTCAATTTAAGATAAATTTTACAAGAAGTTTGGGCTGGGCACAATGGCTCTAGCCAGTACTATCCTCAATGTAAGATAAATTTTACAAGAAGTTTGGGCTGGGCACAATGGCTCTCGCCTGTAATCCCAGCACTTTGGGAGGCTGAGGTGAGAGGATTGCTTGAGGCCAGGAGTTTGAGACAAGCCTAGGCAACATAGTAAGACCTAGTCTCTACAAAAAAAAAACAGTAGCTGAGAATGGTGGTGCACACCTATAGTCCCAGCTACTTAGGAGGCTGAGGGAGGAGGATTGCTTGAGCCCAAGAGGTCGAGGCTGTAGTAAGCCTATGATCATGCCACTGTACTCCAGCCTGGGCAACAGAACAAGACTCTTATCTCAAAAAAGGAAAACAAGTTTGCCAATACTCAATATCAAATGGTTAATCTGTGATAGAACTAAGATTTTAACTCAGGGTTTTATAATTCCAAAGTCAATGGTCTTTCTGATAAACTACATTACTAACATCAGTTTTGTAACCTGACATAAAAGGTAAATATAATTCATGATAATTAAAATATCAACTTATGGAATAAAACATAACATTTGCATACAGCAGATTATTGATACAATTATTTGATTCTTGAATAAATGGATCATTATAAATTTAACTTTCCCAGAAATCAATGTTTAAAATTAAGAAGAGAAAAAACTAGACTTGATTCATTTTAAGACATAGTCTGCCAAAATGTTATATTCGCTAATTTTCCTAAAAGTCTGGAAATGATATCATAAACTAAGGCAACAAATAAATCAGAAAGATCATTCTTTGTGGCCAAAGTAAGGTAGGCCAGCTGACTGTACCAGATTGTAAATACATGAATTATCCTTAATTTCCTATCACAAACCTATTTACAGCTGTTCCCAGTCTCAAGGAGAAAAAATTTTATGTCTTGTTAGACACTCATTTTTCCAACTGTGCTACTGACTTTCTCTCTCCAGGATACTGTTCTTTAATCCATCTCCTTCCTTCACTTTCAATCTTTCTATATACAGTTGAGCCTTGAACAATCAGGGGATTAGAGGTATCAACCTCCGACCACCGTCAAAAATCCATGTGTAACTTTTAACTCCTCAAAAACTTAACTGCTAATAGCCTACTGCTAACCAGAAGCCTTGCTGATAACATAAAGAGACAACTAATACATACTTTGAATGTTATATTATACACTATATTCTTAAAGTAAGTTAGATAAAACAAAATGTTAATAAGATATATTTACTACTAATTAAGTGAAAGTAGATTATCATAAAGGTCCTTATCCTCATTGTCTTCACAGAGTAGGCTGAGGAGCAAAGAATGGGGGTTGTTCTTGCTGTCTTAGGGATAGCAGAGGCGAAAGAAAATCAGTGTATAAAGGAATCCATACAGTTCAAACCCGTGTTGTTCAAGGGTCAACTGTATATATAAACACTCCCATATCGCATAATTTTCTTGTCTTGCCCATGTAAAATCTAAATTCTTCCCTTAATCCTTACCTACCTACCTTTCTCTGTTCTCAGTACAGCTGGACTCTTCGAAAGAATAATCCGTTGCTCAACTTATTCAACTCCCATTCACTTCTCAAATCCACTGCAATCAGGATTCCAACCGTATTATTCTTGCCAAGATTAAATAATTACTAAGTGCTAAATCTAAAGGACTATTCCCAGTCACCTTACCCCTGTGAACATTTCAAAAGATATGCTCAATATAAATATATATATGTATATTTTCTTTCTTCAGCTCTCCTGTACTTCTCCTGTCTCTATGGTCTTTCTTTCTCTATCTCCTTTCTTATCTCCTTTGTCTTGCCTCATCACTGTTAGAATTAACCTGAATTTTCTTCTCATCCCTCTTCTAGTCTCTTCTAACTGGCATGAACTACCACTTTCTTTATGGTAAACTGATGGCCAAGATTTCTGTCCTGGATGTCTTCTTTTGTGTCTAAATTCCTACTAAAAAGATTCCAATGCCCCTACAGACAACTCAAACTCAACCTATGTGCATGTGAACTCTTTTCTTGACCTACCCTATATTCTCCCTTTCCAGAAAAGAACTTCACCAATTTTGCCAAAACAAAAGTCTGCTAATCGTTTTAAGTTCCTCTCTTTCCTTCAAGGTCTCCTGCTCCCTCCCGTATGGTTACTAAATCCTATATATTCTGTCCCTCTCATCTCTCTCAGGCTGTTATTTCAAGCATGGAGTCTTTTGCAATAGATTTATTTTAAAAGAAGGAGTCTCACTATGTTGCCCAGGCTGGAGTGCAGTGGCTATTCATAGGCATGATCCCACTACTTATCAGCACAGGAGTTTCAACCTGCTCCACTTCCAACCTGAGCCAGTTCAGACTTCCTTAGGCAACCTGGTGGCCCCCTTGCTTCCAGGAGGTCACCATATTGATGTCAAACTTAGTGCGGACACAGGATCAGCATAGGGCATTGCAGTCCAGAACTACTGGGCTCAAGCAGTCCTCCCACCTAAGCCTCCCGAGTAAGCACATGCCACCGCACCAGCTGCAATAATCTTTTAATCACTACTTCTCACACTGAAGTAGTGAAACAATAAGTTTATTTCTTATTTTTGTTATTAATTCCCAATTCACATTGTCCAAGTGATTCAATACATATCAAGTTATTTCTCACTTGCTTTCAATTTCTGTAGTCATTTTGTTGCAGACCACACTTTGAGGAGCACTGCTCCAAATGGTTTTTTTTTTTTTTTTTTTGAGATGGAGTCTCGCTCTGTCACCCAATGGAAGGACTTTAAACAGGAAAGGAATATGATTAGATATACAGTCTAGAAAGATTACACTGGAAAGACTTTGTAATCTTTCTAGACTGTATATCTAATCATATTCCTTTCCTGTTTAAAGTCCTTCCATTTCTGCCTATTGCCTCCATTGTCTCCACAACATGATAGCCCCTGCCAACCTCTCCAGTTTAATTCAATATATCATAACTATTATTGCTAACATCCTGAAGTTCTTCAAGAATCATACACTGGAATCTAAAATAAACAATACCTCATTGTAGCTTATAAAATGGCCCAGCATTTGGACTGGCAATCTGTAAATGTTATGTTCAAACAAATATTTGCTATAGTAATGTAATGTTTCCCAATCCTAAACTCAATTTAACTTCCTATTAGATAATAAAGCCCACGGGGTGGATCTAGGGTCTTTGGGAGCATTGAGGAAGTTCACACCAAACCTAATACTGCCATCCTCAAATACCTGCAATTCTCTGAACATACTGAATTGTCTCAGAACTTTGCTCACAACTGTTCTCTCTGCTCTGAATGCCCTCTTCATTCCTACAAGTTCACATGCATTCACTTCTCAGGGACTACCGTAAGTAACATCTTTTCCATGAAGCTTTCCTCATTTCCCAATCCCAACTCAATGAGAATAAAGCAACTCTCTCCTTTGCACACCAACAGAATAATTTATCTCCTCTAGCATTTGCATCTTAATTGCATGTAGTTTTCACGACTCTCTCAACCAATCTGGAAGTCCTTGAGAGGCAGGGGCTGTAATCTTTGTAATAATCCTTTTAGATTTTCAGATAAAACTCTATCTTGTAATAGCAATAGCTCCTGAATTAACTTCTGAGACTATGCCGATATTAATCAAGGCTGGGAAATTAGAAGGTAGAAGAAATAAGAGGCGCCAATGCAAATATGAATTAAAACAGAAATTATCTGTACATAGCAGGATACTTAGCGCTACAAAAAATGCTATGAAAACACAGAAGTAGCAAGAAAAAGGATCAAAAAGTTTTACATACACTATACTTAACAAGTATAAATATGAGACCTACAAGGAAAATGAAGTAAATGGTTCAAAATTCAAATAGTTGTGCTCATATAATGAGATTGTGTTTTTCCCATATTATTCAAAGTTTTATGATATAGTTAATTTTTCATTATAAATTTTTAATTCAATTATAGCATAGACACATTTGTACATTCCTACATAATCTTCACTTCCATCATTTTAAAAACAGCATTAAATTTTAATTACTAAATAAACCATAATTTAATATTTCACCTAATATTTTATATTTAGGGTGCTTTAAATTTTGTTTCTACAACTAATGCTGTACTGAACATTTCTGTAGCTGCACTTTTCCCTGAGATGTTATGTTATTTTCTTAAGGTAAGTTCCCAGAAATAAGGCTTAAAAAAAAAAATCAAAAAACATTTTATTCGTAAGTTGCTCTTTTACCAATTTATGCCATCAGCAATATCTTATGCTAATTTTACTCCATATTTTAAGCATTATATATCTATCTCTCTCTATATATATATATAATCATACTAAAGTGTATTTACTTACCAGCTCCATTGTACATTTTCCCCCAAGCAATGTATTTCAACAGAGGAAACTATCAAAACTCTAAGATTAAGCTTCTCAAGTAAATGAGAATTTTTTTAAAACTTCCAGTGTGAGCATAAATCAGTGTATTCATTCTGTAGGCCCATCTAGCAATAAATCCATTCTGTAAATGTACATGCTCTTGGCCATTAGTCCTCCTCTAGGAATAATGTCATGTGCCAAATGTTCATGTGTAAGGATGTTCAATAAAGAATTATTTAAAATACTGCAAACTCTTCTTGATGGATTTGCAAAAGCAGTAGCAAAGAAACATTGTGATAAAAAAGTTTAAATATTAAAAATTTAACAACTTCTAGAAATTCCCATAAAATTAAAAAGGTAAGTCATTTGTAAAAATCAAGTAGACATATTAGTCTGATAGTTGAGATCTCACTGCACTGCATTCACCATATATAATAATCATGATAAAATCTAACGTTTCCTGAAAAACTATGTGCCAGGCATTTTTTGTGCTTCACCAATATTTTTCTTATTAATCACTAAAAACCCTATGAGTCACATGTTGTGGAATATTACCCCCATTTTATAGATGAGGAAACTGATATACACAGCAAGTAGGTGATTTGCCTGGGTCAAACGCTAACAATAGACCTTAAACTGAACCCAGATAATTTTAACTTCAAGAATTTACTCATGTAATTTTTAAATATAAGTACAATTAAATGTTATTTCTGATCCCTACTTTTTCAATACACACGCTTTGAGTATTTTATAATATAGGCATTTGTATAAAAAACTGCCAAATTTGATAGTTTGATCATTGGCTCACCTAGCCCAATATTCAATCTCTGGTAGTGACACTAGGATTATTAGTTGTGAGAAAAATGAAGGTCATTTATAATCTTGGCTGCAAAAAAGTTAGGTTATAGATTCATAAAGGTAAGGAAAGAAAATTAAAAGCACCCTATGTTTCAATTAATTAAACACTGTATTTGGATTTGGCAGGATGGCTCACACCTGTAATACCAGCATTGTGGGAGGCCAAGGCAGTAGGATTGCTTGAACCCAGGAATTCAACATCAGCCTTTTCAACAAAGTAAGACCTCGTCTCTACTAAAAATTTAAAAATTAGGTGGGCGTGGTAGCTTGTGCTTGTAGTCCAGGCTACTTAGGAGGCTAAGGTGGGAGGACTGCTTGAGCTCAGGAGTTCAAGGTTGCAGTGAACCGTGATCATGCCACTGCACTCCAGCCTGGGCAAAAGCAAGATGCTGTTTCAAAAACAATAAAAACTGTGTTCATATAAAAATTAGAGTGGAGTACAACTGGCAATGATATTATAGTCCTTTTGCTCCATAAAATTTTCTGATGGTTTTTATTCTTTAACAATAGATATGAGCTAAATTCCCATCTACATCCCAACTTCCATTAATAAATCTACAGATCCATCTTCTTATTTTTTCCCCAAGTCTCACTTTCAACTTTTATTTCATTACCTCTTTTTTTTAAGTGTCAGTTCTTTTATTTCTTCTAGTATCATTTACTCCAAGGGAATCCTCAATGTCAAGTATTTTTTAAAAATTTATCCTAAACCCTCTGGGATTTCAACCTTTAATCAAAACACTTTCTGAAATTTGTGAGAAATTAGAAAAATTATAAACTATGTGGCAAATTCAGCACATCAAAATGTGTGAAATGCAGCTAAACAGTGTTTGAAAGAGAAATCTGTACCTTAAACCTTATGTTTTAAAAAGATCAGTGTAAAATTAAATACAGGTGTGTTTTTATATTGTGCCGGACTTCACTGCACTTCCAAGATTGCCTTTTTAAAAAAATTAAAACTCTGTAGCAAGCCTATGTTGAACAAGTCTATCACTGCCGTTTTTCCAAGAGCATGTGATCACTTGGTGTCTCTATGTCACGTTCTGCTAATTCTTAAAATATTTTAAACTTTTTCATTATTTTATCTGTTATGGTGATCTGTGATCAGTGATCTTTGATGTTACTACTGTAATTTTTTCGGGCTCCACAAACTGAGCCCATATAAGACAGCAAACTTAACTGATAAATGTTTATATGTGTTCTGACTGGTCCACCGATCAGTCGTTCCACATCTCTCTCCCTTTCCTTGGGTCTCCCTATTCCTTGAGACACAACAATACTGAAATTAGGCCAATTAATAACCCCACCATGGCCTCTAAGTGTTCAGGTGAAAGGAAGAGATGCATCTGTCACTTTAAATCAAGAGTTAGAAATGACTAAGCTTAGAGAGGAAAGCATGCTGAAAGCTGAGATAGGCCAAAAGCTAGGCCTCTTACACCATTAGCCGAGGAAAAATTCTTGAAGGAAAAAAGTGATACTCCAGTCATCAGTGACGAACGATAAGAAAGCAAAACACCCTTATTGCTGATATGGAGAAAATTTTAATGGTCTGGACAGAAGATCAAACCAACCACTGCATTCCCTTAAGCCAAAGCCTTAATCCAGAGTAAGGCTCTAACTCTCTTCAATCCTATGAAGGCTGAGTGAACTGAGAAACCTGCAGAAGAAAAGTTTGAAGCTAGCAGAGGTTGGTTCATGAGCTGTAAGGAAAGAAGCCATCTCTAGAACATATAAGTACAAGGTAACGTAGGAAGTATAACAAGTTATCCAGAAGATTTCATTAAGACCATTGATGAATGTGGCTACACTAAACAACAGATTTTCAGTAAAGGCAAAACAGCCTTCTATTGGAAGAAGCCATCCAGGACTTTCAGAGCTAAAGTCAATGTCTGGCTTCAAAGATTCAAAGGACATACTGACTCTCTTGTTAGGAGCTAGTGCAATTGGTGACTTTAAGCTGAAACCAATGCTTACTTGCCATTCCAAAACTCCTAGGCCCTTAAGAACTATGCTAAAACTACTCTGTTTGTGCTCTATAAATGAAACAACAAAGCCTGGATGACATCACATCTGTCTCCAGCATAGTTTACTAAATATCTGAAACCCACTCAAAAAAACCCACTCAGAAAAAAAGATTCCTTTCAAATATTCCTGCTCATTGACAATGCACCTGTCACCCAAGAGCTCTGATGGAGAAGTACAGAAGATTACTGTTGTTTTCATGCCTGCTAAAATAACATCCAATCTGCAGCCCATGGATCAAGGAGTAATTGTGGCTTTCAAGTCTTATTAGCTGGACGTGGCGGCTCACACCTATAATCCCAGCTACTCTGGAGGCTGAGGTGAGAGGACTGCTTGAGGCCAGGAGTTCAAGACCAACCTGGGCAACATAGTGAGACCCGAACACTAAGGAAAACTTTAAAGAATTTCGCAGGTGTCTTAGTACATGCCTATAGTCCCAGCTACATTGGAGGCTGAGGCGGGAGGATCACTGGGGCCCAGGAGTTCGAGGCCACAGTGAGTTATGATCATGCCACTGCATTCCAGCCTGGAAGACAAAGCAGGACCCATTTTGATAAGTCTTATTATTTAAGAAATACACTTCATAAGGTTATAACTGTCATAGATAGTGAATCCTCTCATGAATCTGTGCAAAGTAAAACTGAAAACCTGAAAAGAATTCACCATTCTAGATTTCATTAAAAATATTTGTGATTCATGAGAACAGGTCAAAATATCAACATTAACAGGACTCTGGAAGTTGACTGCAACCCTCATGGATGACTCTGAAGGGTTTAAGATTTCACTGAATTTTGTCATGGAAAGAGCAAGAGAACTAGAAATGGAAACTAAAAATGTGACTACATTGTTGCAGTCTCGTAATCAAACTGGAACAGATGAGGAGTTGCTTATCCTTGAGCAAAGAAGTGGTTTCTTGAGATGGAATCTGTTCCTGGTGAAGATGCTGTGAACACTGCTGAAATGACTCAAAGAATTTAGAATATTACATAAACATAATTCATAAAGCAATGGTATGGTTTGATATGGTTTGAGGGAACTAACTCCAATTTTGGAAGAAGTTCTACTGTGCATAACAACTGATATCAAACAGCACTGCATGCACAGAGAAGTCTTTCATAAAAGGAAGAGTCCATTGACTTGGCAAACTTAAATCATTGTCTTATTTTAAGAAGTTAAAATAAGCCACCCCTTCTTTCAGCAACCACCACCCTAATCTGTCAGCAGCCTTCAATACTGAGGCAAGACCCGCCACCAGCAAAAAGATTACAACCAGCTGAAGGTTCAGATGATCGTTAGCATTTTTTATCAATAAGTTATTTTTAAATTATGGTATATACACTTTTTAGACATATTATTATTGCATACTTAACAGACTACAGTATAGCATAAATGTAACTTTTGTATGCACTGGGAAACAAAAAACAAAACACTGTGTGTGCCTCTCTTTATTGCAAAATATTCACTGCAGTATCTCTTAAAATAAAACATAAAAATTTTAGCATATGTTAATAAATAAAGACCAGATAAAGTCAAAAGTTGGTTCTTTAAAGAGATTAATGCCTTAGCAAGTTTGATAAAAAGGGGAAAACACAAATTATTACTATTAGGTATAAAAAAAGGAATATCAAAATAGATCCTCCACATTTTGAAATGATGATACTGGAACATTATTAAAAACTTCATGTCAATAAAACCCAGTATCTCAGATGAAATGTACAAATTTCTTTAAAAATATAAATTTCAAAATTTACAATGTAAGAAAACTGAACATCTAAACGGCCCTATAACTATTAAAGATATTAAATATGTAATTAAAAACCTTTTCACAAAGGTAAATTGAAGCCCAGTTTGCTTCACAGGTGAATTCTAAATATTTAGGAAAAAAATACACATCATACACTAACTCTTACAGAAAGTTGAGGTAACATTTCTCAACTCATTTTACGAGACCAACATAACTCTGAAACAAAAGTCTAAAAAAGAAAACAAAAGTTCAATATCCTTCATGAATAAAAAATCCTTTTAAAGATTGAAAACAGCAATATATTTTTTATAAAAGAAATCGTGGTCAACCAGGGTGTTTCCAAGAAATTCAAGGTTGGTTTGGCATTTCCCACTAGTCTCATCCTCCCCCACTTCTCCATCACATTTTAGACTCAGTAATCTATATCAAACTAAAGGATTTCTCAAGCCTGGGAAACACTGTATCTAATAAGCAAACTTCTTTACATCCTTCAGGTCTCAGTTTAAGGCTACCTTCTCTGGGAAGAAAATAATTTACGATAATTTGCTGAAACTCTTAGAGTGAAAGAGAAAGAAAAGAGAAGAAAACGTGTGGAAAATGTGCAAAACCAAAGTATCCTCAGACAAATTAAAATACGTTGCATCCAATAATATGTTATTTGCAATTAGAAATAATGTCTGTAATATAAAGCCAAGGAAATTTCTAAGATGCAAATATAAAAGACAAAGAGCTAGAAAACAGAGGGGAACAAAATTTACATTAGAGGTTCAATCCAAAAGGCACAATATCCTTTTGTAAGTAAGAGGACTGATTTTAAAAGAAGAACGTACAGAAAGAAGAAGAAAGAAAATTACCAAAACATATAAAGCAAGAAAATATAAGTTTCCAGACTGAATAAGGCCCACAAGGTACCCAGCACAGTGAATAAAAGGTACAACATCTTGAATATTCAGAACAAGTTAATACACATGCTAAAAATGTTCATGGTGGGGTGAGAAAGGAGGAAGAGGAGGAGGAGCAGGAATAAGAAAAAGAGCAAGAAGAAGAAACCCACCACAGTTCACACATAAAAGATCAGAAAAGACAGTAATATCAGAATTCTCAACAGAAATATAAGAAGCTACAATACTTTGAAGGAGTGCCTCTTAAAACTCACAGAGAAAATCATATCTAACCTAAAATTATTTGCCCTGCCAAATTATCAATCAGGTATCAGTTTAGGGAAAATACAAACTTTTAGGCAGCAAAGTTTATTTTTTATTTATTTTTGTAGAGACAGGGTCTTACTATGTCACACAGACTGGTCTTAAACTCTTGGCCTCAAGCAAGCAATCCTCCCACTTCAGCCTCCCAAAATGCTGGAATTACAGCCATGAGCCACCACACCCAGCCTAGGCAGCAAAGCTTAAACTTCCTCTCGTGCATATTTTCTCTAGCAACAACTAGAGGAGTTGCTTTACTAACAAACCAAGAAAAAGGACGAGAAGAGATCCAGGAATTTCCATAAAGATTGGTGGGGAAAATACTAGAATTATAAGTGTGTGGCAGCTCCAGAAAGCAACCAATTCTGATTGCAAAGCTCTATGAGAGATGTAATGAAGAATGAAAATGATAGCCACCTTAAACTGGGAGGAAATTTACACTTCCAAACGGAGATTAATCAATGATAGGGTACATAAAAAACTAAGCAAACAAAAAACACAGTAATTATAAACACAGTAATTAACTCCAGGAAAAACAAGGACAGGAAATGTGATCATGGGATAGTAAGCCTCAGTGGTGACAAATATTTACATATTAAAAAAATGTAGACACTGAACACTGATTCAACCAAAAACTGTGTCAAAAACATGCTGGAAGGATGTAAGGAAAGGACACGTGTGTGTGTTTGTGTGTGTGTGCGCGTGCATGGTTGTGTATGTGTGAGGCGGACAAACTATAAAATATCTAAATCAAAACAAAAAAATCTCATTTTCCATAACAGAAAGTTCACAGATACTGTTTTTAAAAGTGCAGAGGTAAGAAATACCATAATTAGCGTGATATATTAAAATGCCAGAAGTGAAAAATTACTTCTAAGGAGTTTAAGTAGAAGAAGGGGACTGGGAGGGAGCAGGGAGGGAAGTGATTTTTTTTTTTAAAACCTTGTTAAATCTGACTTTTTAAACTATATATATACTTTAATAAAGTTTCAATTTACAAATTACTTTGTAAGATTATGATGAACTGCAGAAAAAAGGTATAAACTAATCTATTACAGTATCAAAGATGAGATTAAAAGTTTTCACAAAAACTTTTTCTTTTAAAATAAAAAGAGCACGATTCCTAATAAAACCAGTGTAAGGAACACTAGATTCAGGACAGTGGTTCTTCTTACATTCACATTAGCATTAGACTTAAAACTTAACTAAGTTCCTGTAAGCATTCTGCAGCATAATTAAATTCATTTTATTCTCAAGTAGCATTCTCTATATGGTTTACTAAAAATTAAATTCTGTTTGGTAATTGTCAACTCTAAAATTCAAATAAGATGGTTTATCACATACACTTATCATTCTGTATTGTATATATACACATATTCCTGGGAGTAGTTTTTTGCCTTTCTTGAGTACTAGTCCTGGAAATCTCCAGATGCTTTTTCAGTCTCGCAACGCGAGTAGAATGAATATTTTCACTGGATAGAACTCCTCTTTCCAACTTTTTCCTAAAGCTTATAGGGAGGTTAATTTTTGTTTCAGTAGGTTCAATTATTCTGCTATTAAAGAAAAATGAATGCCCCCAAATACTTTACCTAAAAATTATACGTGACAAAGTATTTCAAAGCTTTATAATAAGTAGCAACATATTAGATTTTTTAAACTTAATTATATATTTTAGATCTGATATATATTAAATTAACAGTGCTAATTTTGCAAGGTGATCACTTTTTCTTCTTTCTCTAGAGATGCATTTCTCCTATGACCATACTCTCCTTTATTCCAGTCTATATACTTAAATTTTTTCGTAACCAAATCATTCCAATGTTTACATTCACACTTTTTAAAAAGATTTCTTTAAAAGGTAGCATTTATATTAATGGGCATTTTTTAAGGTCACTGTCCTAAATCTAAGGAATATGAATTTTTACAGATAGTCATAACTTTGTTTGTACATCCAATGTTTGTATTAGGTACCTACTGAGTTGGATACTGGGCAGGATTCAAAGATAGGCAATTCATATTTCCACCCTCAATAAGCATAAAATCTAATATAAATACCCATAGTAAATAGTTCAACAAAATAGCAGCAATCAAGCTTAAATCTGTGAACATGTTGCGAAGTACAAAATCTTTAAGCCAACTCAAAATAAGGGTGTCCAGAGAAAAGACCAATCATTGATGCTTACTTCAGTTCTCCTGACTCTACTATTCATTTCCCCAGGGTTCTCTCAGATACTATTAATGAGCAAGAAGTAGCTGTATAGGTCCATGCAAACCTGAAAAGGATAATGTAATTCCTTCCAGAGGATGTAAAACAGCTAGTACTGAAACTGCTTTCTGCCACACATAGATCAGTATCTCAAGTCACTGAATACTATGTTCTTGAGAACTTGCAAAGACTATTTTGAGTTGTTATAATTTTAAAAAGTAGTAAGTCCATGACCCAGGGTATTGGGGGTATAAGGGAACACACTTATGCAGAATAAGTAAGTAAACAGACACAGTAAGCTATGTTCCCCAGTTAATTATGTCATTTATGAAAAAGAAAACCTGAAAGCAGCAAGCAGAAAATAGCAAGAATAGGAACTGTTTTTAATACATGTCAAAGACAAAAATATGGAGTATGAAAGCAATGAAAAACAATCTTGTTTACTATCCTGTATATTCTAGATAACCAAACAAGTCTGAATGTTGAAAAGTTGTTCAATGTACTCAGCAGAAATCCTAAACATTCAATTCTTATTTTGGCTTTACATTTGTAAGTTTTCTTTTGTTGTTATTCCTGTAGTTTTTAAATGGTGTTACATATGTAACTTGCCTAAGTGAGAAATAAAAGTAACAGAACTGAAGAACATGGCTGACAGTTACCATGAATATATTAAACTTTTACCTTCTAATAAAGCATTATTTCTTCTAACATATTTCCCTGTGCCCAGATTAAAACTCTTTTTTCCACTATAACCATATATACATGAAAATTCATTTATGCCAATGCACGATCCTGTTCCATCCTAGTATCTTCCAAGTGTTAACTGGGTAATTTGAAATTATTACTGAAAACTTTTAACTGTGAAAAACATCAATATTTAAATTCTGGATTGAATCAAAAGCAGGGATATAAGAAGAAAAGAGTAGCTAAAACAAAGTGATTGTGACAAATACAAAATTATTAAGACTTTTAAAATGCATCTACAAGAGAGCATGTACAAACTAGGAAAATATCAAATTTTTAAGCAAAAGCCAAGTATAAAAATATCTTTAAATATTTTTTTCAATAGTATCCAATAATGAAGATGAAAAGAAGCAGTTATATTTCTATTACATAAATCGGCATTTTTCTATGTTGGCAAAGATACAACTGAATAATAACTCAATGCAAAGAACATCATTAAGAAGAGTAGGATAGCTAAAGGTTAAAATATTTTCTACTTTCTGTAGCTAATATCAGAGTCTTACTTCCACTTTATAAGATTTTGCTGTTGTTCTTGTGTGTTTTATTTGCGATAGTGATGATGTTACATGTGTAACTTGCCTGAATGAGAAATGAAAGGAACAGAACCAAAAGGATCTTCTGGAGGATGGTTATGTGGAGCAGAAAGTGAGTCTACATTCTTATCTGAGGATGCTCTCTCCTCGAGCCTATCTGCAAAAATAAGATGAAATGAAATAAAAAATGAAAAAAAAATGATCTTTAAATTAAAAAGTGATATACAACATAAATAAAAGTGAAAATTAAAGCACCAGCCTTTTTGAAAAATATTAGGTTCAGAATCTATCATTCTAAGTATTAGGGAGTAGTCCTGAATTTAATACATATTTGTTGCTGCAAAAGCAAGTTTAACAGTATAATCCATGATAGGTTTCACTAAATACAATTAACCTAATAATAAACTTACTCTGGTTCATTTAAATACTACTTGTCCTCAGCTTTAAGATATTGGGCCTGAACTCAAACCCAGCTAAATAAAAAGAGACATATTTGACAGACTGTCTCCAAAAATAAATTTAGAAAAAAATCTTGCAAATGGTCATTCATCCATAAAGTAGGTAAATCTGACTTCTCAATAGCAATAAAAATTCACTATATTTTACTTTTTTGTTCATTTTTCATACTACTTTGTATTATCAAACCATTCTCTCTCTCTCTCTCACACACACACACACACAAACACACATGTCCCTCCCCACACTCACAAAGACTTACATAAAAACAGAGTTTATTGATTCACCCAACAAGTAAATTTGAGTATCTACTATGTGCCAATGTGCCAGGCACTATTCTAGACAACTGGCATGTAATGTCAAACAAAACAAAGACCCCTGACCTTATGCAGATTATATGCTGGTGTGGAAAAACAAATAATAGGCAATAGACATAATAAGAAATGTATATGGTGTGTTAAAAGCTATAGAGAAAAATGTAGTTCAGGGTAACAGGAATTCAGGGAATGGGTAGAGGTTTTAGTAGTAGAGTGATTCTAATAGTCACTAGGTAAGAAAAGACTTGAAGGAAGGAAGGGAGTGAACACCTAGGAAAGAACAATCGGGAAGAGAAAGAGCTGGAGGCCCAGTGTGTTTGAGTTGATATATCCTGACTCCCTAGTAATGATTATCTTTTCCCTGCTCTTAAACTCTCCATATAGGTCAGGGATGTGGGCTCACACCTATAATCTGGGAGACCAAGGCAGAAGGATTTCTTGAAACCAGCCTGAGCAACACAGAGAGATGGTATTTTGATTTTTTTTCACCAAGCATGTAACGAAATTTGGATCTCTCCCGATCTTTACAGAATGTTAACTTCACAATATTCTATAACAGTCAATAACAAACACAATACTTTAAGAATACAAAAATACTACTAAAAATTGAGGCTGCAGTGAGCCAAAATTGTACCTGGATGACAGGGAGACCCTGTCTCTAAAACAAACAAACATCTCTCCACATAGTAGACACATACTAGTTGAGAACTTCCTGATTTTTGTAGGATGTCTAGCCTCCGATTCTTGGCAATCAAAATTCTATTTGAGACTCATTCTACCTCCTTTCCAGATATTTCGAGCATTTCTGCCAGCAGACCTTTGGTCCACAGCCATTTGAAGAAATCCAAATCATGTTTAGACTGACCTATATTCCAAGAACTCCATGGTAAGCTGTACTGGTTTCAACTGAGTTTTAAGGGACTGCAGTGTAGGGGAGGCGGAACCCAAGTAGAACTGGAATTCCCTAAAAATGACTTTTAATTTGGAGTGAAGCAAAAAGCCCCAAGTTCAAGCAGCATCTCTTCTAACAGTGCTGTTTACATTGAATGTACATTTCAGTTACCTGGGGATTTGTTAAAATGTAGACTCTGATGGAATGGGTTTGGGGAGGATTCTGACATTCCGCACTTCAACTAGCCCCCAAGTGATACTGATACTGCTGTCCAAGAAGTACACTCTTGAATAAACAAGGCCCTAGAGTCTATAATATTCTAAATATAACTACTCCTATGGGCAACTAATTCTTTCAAAACCTTTATGACAATAGGTACAATTACCAGCCTTTACAGTTAACATGAATTCTGCAGTATCTATATGAAACTTTGGATTGTTTAAATTTTTACTTAAAATTTTGTTGAAACACTATCAAACATTTTATGGAGGCACTAATATTGAGTTACTAAATACATCTGACAATTGTTTTATGAACAAACAAAACTTCCTAAACTTAAGTGCTCTTTTCAAATCCAACACTGCAATGGTTAACAATGAAAATTTATTTTGGGTATTATTTTTCAAGGTATTAACTGTATACTTATGCAGGAAATCAGTAACAAATGCTCATTTTACTAAAAACTTTATTATTTTGTTGTCAAAATACCTATTAAAGAGAAGCCAGTCCCATAACATCTTTCTGCAAAAGGTTGAAGAATAATTTATATAACGAAGGGTCCCTAACTTATTGTGGTGGGAGGCTGCAATCAAACCTTAAGGAGAGGATTCAGATTCACTGAGTGAGATTACATGTGGTTATTTATTTATTCAGGCCCTGAATGCATTTATGGAGTAACAGTAAAACCAGTAAGTATGCCTTGTATCAGAATCCTCCTGGACTCCCCCACTCTTCTCCATTTCCCAAATTCCAGTATATAAAGCACTGAGGACAGAGAAAAGAGGGGGTGAGGAAGAACAAATGGAAGAGACTGACTCAGAGTGATGATAACAGCATGTCAATATCCAAGGGCCCTCATTCCTGAAAATTAAGACCAAAAGTATAAATATTTAAGTCTGAATTAGAAACAGACTTTATACCTCAACCATCTGCGTCATAACTGCTAGGATTTCTGTATAAAATGTAGTTACCTGGACCCTACCACAGACCTAATGAATCAAGTTATCTGAGCAGTAACTCAGGAATCTGCAATTTTACATACTCTCTGTTTTTATTTTTGTTTTATTTTATGTTTTGAGACAGGGTCTCACTCTTTCACCCAAGCTAGGGTGCAGTGGCATGATCATGGCTCGCTGTGGCCTCAATCTCTCAGGTTCAAGCAATCCTCCAATCTCAGCCTCCCAAGTTGCTGGCACTACAGGCACAGGCCACCACGTTCAGCTAATTTTTTATTTTTTTGTAGAGATAAGCTCTATGTTGTCCAGGCTGGTCTCAAACTCCTGGACTCAAGCAATCCTCCCAAAGTGCTGGATTACAGGCATGAGCCACCACACCCGGCCTCTCAGCGCATGTTTGTTTTTGAGACAGAGCATTGCTCTTTCACCCAGGCTACAGTGGCATGATCTTGGCTCACTGCAACCTCTGGCTCCAAGGCTCAGCCTCTGGAGTAGCCACGACTACAGGCACACCACACTTGGTTAATTTTATTTTTTTAATTTTTTGTAGACACGAGGTCTATATTGCCCAGGCTAGTCTCGAACTCCTGGCCTCAAGCAATCCTCCCACATCAACCTCCAAAGTAGTAGAATTACAGGCGAGAACCCACCACACCCAGCCCTCTCGACGTATTTAAACCACTACTATACTAATAAGTCCCAGCTTATAAAACTGAAGTTATCACTAAGGTTCTTTAAATTCTCATGCACTGGTATATTACATCCATCAGTCTGTGGTAAATTTATGGTAAGGATATAAACAGTACTGTGAAATTATGACAAAACTATACACATTATCATGTAGGGGTGAACTTATTTTTATATGGGGTCCCTATAAGTAAAAATATGGAAGATACTGCTCTATGCAAAGTTCATTTATCCAGTTATTTCAAAATAGGAATCAGAATAAATTCATTGTAAAATGAATGTTATTGTTCCATAAAATGCAGAATCAACTTTTCAATTGAATTTTTAAAAAATCATTTATGTTTCTAAAGTTCACCTGAAAATGTGGGTCTCAGGACACAAAATACAAAATAAATATACACATTAATTTTGTAATTATTAATTACCTATAAATAAAATCTAATGAAATGGTTATGTAGAACTACTTTGTAAATACACAGTCATCCCTAAAATGCTTTTAATTACATTTTCAAATGACTGGTTTTCTTTAGATTAGAACAAAGCTTGATTATCCAATATAAGAAACTTACCTCCTGCCTTCACAAAAGAATTATGTTGGTGAATAAAGACAGTATCTTTTCAAGAATTTTAATTGATACAGATAGCGAAAATACAGGATTTTAAAATCTTTTTTTTTTTTTTTTTTTTTTTTGAGACGGAGTCTCACTTTGTCGCCCAGGCTGGAGTGCAGTGGCCGGATCTCAGCTCACTGCAAGCTCCGCCTCCCGGGTTTACGTCATTCTCCTGCCTCAGCCTCCCGAGTAGCTGGGACTACAGGCGCCCGCCACCTCGCCCGGCTAGTTTTTTGTATTTTTTAGTAGAGACGGGGTTTCACCGGATTAGCCAGGATGGTCTCGATCTCCTGACCTTGTGATCCGCCCGTCTCGGCCTCCCAAAGTGCTGGGATTACAGGCTTGAGCCACCGCGCCCGGCGGATTTTAAAATCTTAGAATCAGAGTATATTCCATAATATCATCACGAAATTAAAATAGTCTACAAAGTTAATTCTGCTGCTTATATGGATAATGGTGTAAAAGGCTAAAAGGTTAATGAATAAGCTTTAAAAGTACAGTCGTCATGTGATACTCTTGAAACTGGTCTAACATACTTGAAAAGTTCTGTTATTCTGCACTGAAGGAACAGTAATAGTTATGAATTTGCTTAAAAAGATGAGGGTTAATATTTTACAATAAACTGTAGATTCAGATGCTTATAAGCCATTATCATTCTGTGGCTTCATAGATGAAACAACAACATTAAGTGGAATTTATAAAGCAATCACAATATCTTTACTATCTTCTATTTTTCCTTTTAGTTATTTTGATCCAATTTTAAGCAGAAAAAAATCCACCATCAATAAATGAAATATATTTCATGAAGTAATAGTTTTAATTAACAGGTACACAACTATTTGCACAAATATAAGTTTATAAATTCCCCAAAGCAAGCATCTGTGTTCTAATTAGTTTAATGTATTAAATATTATGTCAATGTTAAATTGTCATATTAAATATTAAGATACTAAAATATTATGACAAATTGCTAAAGTTTACATACTAGTCTGGATATTCTGGTACAAAAAAGTAAAAATACAAACTTAAAGTTTTAAAAATATCATTCAGACAAGCTTTATTATTAATGCTTAAATTTGATTTAATGTTTTCTTCTTACTAAAATTAAGAACAGGTAAAACAATTCTGAACCATAAATGGTATTCATTTATAGTGAAGGTGAAAGCAAGAAGAATCTAGTTTATTTTACATATTAAATCCCTTTGCCTAGTATATGGAATCTACTGTTTTCTTAAAGATCACTAAACAACGTTGTTATCAATTAGTAATATTTTAGAATTTTGATATCTCAAAATACTATTATGATTTGAAAATTACTTTCTGGATAATACACATAAAATATTTCCTAACCAGCATATTATTTTCCTTTTTTTTTTGCTTTTAAACAAATAACCATGAATCATTTTCAAAATAAAACCCCAAATGGAAAAGTATTATTCTGAATAATCATTACACTGGCAATACCTCTACTTTTAAGGACCATATAAAGGCTTTCAGTTTCTCACTGGAAACTGTTTTATAAATCAAATATAAATTATTTTAGAAAAGACTTTGGAAAATTGTTAATACCTGTGGTCAAGGAAAAGGGTACAAATATCCTACACGGCATTTCAACTACATCAATAGTTTATTCATTTTGGAAAATGACAGGATTTATATTATACTGATGGGCAAATTTTTGGAGTTATTGAACCCACTATTTCGGAATTCAAAAAAGTAAAAGTTATTAAACTTTAATAAAGTTTAATATAATGACCAACTATCAATTTTCATTGCACAATTAGTCTTCTAATAAACTCTTAAGGTTCTGAAAGAGTTCTTTTGCCCATCAATATAATATAAACTCTATCAAATAGATCAAATATTAGGTATCTTATTGCTTCTGAAAGAGGTGCTAAAGATGACTAAATTTTACAGTTAAGTTAAACTCTGAGAGGAAATCTTTCTATACTATATTTTATACACAACTTTATAGTAGTTACAAACTTCTTTATTAAAGACATTTCACTTTTTTGAATCCTAAAAGGGTGGGTTCATTGACCCCAAAATAGTCACTGAACAATGAATATCAATTATTAAGAGAAAAACAGACACTTTTCCATCAACTTCCTTGCTATCATTTGTCACTTCTGCTTTTGATGTGTTTGCCCACAAAGCCCCTACTAATTTGACGGTTACATCACCACTGAGAAACTGATAATTTAAATACAATTTTTAAATGCTGGCTAAAAGTCAAAAACCTCTTAAATCATGACATACAGGCTTATACAGAAAGTGAGAAAAGGGAAAGTGGCATTTATTTATTGAGTGCCCAGATTTAAAGGCATCATTTAATTATCTGGACAACCCTATGAAATAGGCACCACTATCGCCAGTTTACAAATGCGAAAGTGAGACTGACAGCAGTTGAGTGACTTATCTGAAATTACAACCTAGTTAAGTAACATTGCCAGGGATCAAAATTTATGTTTTCTGCCAAATTAAGTGCATCAGACTTGCGACAATAATTTCAGTAGCTCATGGACCATCTATGTGTTTTTCCAAAGGGCTAAGGTTGCTCCAAGTCTAACCTTCACATAAAATTCCTCCTGCACTTTCCTTTGGAACTTAGTATCTTTCTATAATTAATACTGCAAAGTCTGAACTCTCTTTGGCATACACATGTGCACACAGATACATGCACAATTTACAACTGCTATCTGATCATGAAGTTTAAAATTCACACATTATCTGATCATGAAGTTTTAAGCTATTCTTAAAAATAGCTACTTAAGAATTTTACGTACTCAACACAATTTTTAAGAAGTTATATACATATAGGCATATTCATATGTCACTCTTGCCTATGCTAAGTAAATAAAACTAACTTTGATGTCATTACAAATTCTAGGAAGCTTAGAATAACACATTTTTATAGGATACAAAATAATGTGAATACTCATTTCATAAATTCATTTTTTAAAAATAATTTTTTACCTAAGCAGTTGAAAATACTAATTTAGCAAACCCTGATCAGTACACATTAAAATTAATATATTTTGCTTTAAATATAGTCCTATAAATTATAATGATTTGGTTACACCCTGTGTCTACCTCTTCCATCACTCTGAAAGAACTGGGCGTGGTGGCTCACACCTGTAATCCCAGCACTATGGGAGGCTGAGGTGGGCAGATCACCCGAGGTCGGGAGTTTGAGACCAGCCTGACCAACATGGAGAAATCCTGTCTCTACCAAAAATACAAAATTCGCCGGGCATGGTGGCACATGCCTGTCATCCCAGCTACTCAGGAGGCTGAGACAGGAGAATCACTTGAACCCAGGAGGCGGAAGTTGCAGTGAGCCGAGATTGTGCCATTGCACTCCAGCCTGGGCAACAAGAGCAAAATTCAGTCTCAAAAAAAAAAAAAAAACTCTTGCTTTTGGGCCTACTCAACATAAATTCTAGGAAAATGCCAAATAAAAAAGTGGTGGTTTAAAAAAAAATTGTTTTAGTAAGATATGATTGGTTTTATTAAGAAACCTTTATTAACAGTTCAGAACATATTTTTATATCGCATTTAATCATCAATTTTCATACTCATATAACCAATATGTAAAATACAAATTTAAATCCCAAACAACTATTCTTACAGGAATTTTATATAAAATATATACCAATTCAGAACAAAGTATTTCATCTATTAAACATTCTCATAAGGCCAATTACCTAAATGAAATAGTACCTAGGAACTATAAACTAGGGACTATTAAGACCTTCTTTTCACATGCAAAAGGGGAAAACACACTTGTTTTGTGTGCACACCTGCATACACACACACACACACACAAGCCTCAGAAACCTGAAAATTATCTACATACTCTAGAAGTGAGCTTTTTGCTCCTATTTTGCGACCTACTCAAAACACTCGCATCATTCTTTCAAAAAAAGGACATTTCTAAAATGTGTGGCGAAGCTTGACATATATTAGGTAGTTCAAAGAAAAGCAATGATTACAAGTAAAAACATTGAGATATCTGATTTAAAGTGAAAAAGAATTTATTTAATTTTTGCCATATCAGGACAACAAAGCAGCCCTTTTATGTCACCACTCATTAAAAGGGCATTACAAAACATTAACATAATGTAGTAGCCCATGTTTTCTTTCAGGCATTTTCAAAGGGCATCTCAGACCCACAATATTTTCTATTGAGTGTGCAGAAAAACAGAGTTGCACAATCATTACTAAGGCAAATAATGTCTCCCTTTTTATTGAAACATCAATGTTCCATGTTTTGGAGATATTCTGAATTTAACATTTATAGATATGCAATATTTAAGTTTTAGGATATTAGCATACTATCAGCAATATTGGGTTTAATAGCTACTATCAGGTAACTGATTTCTAATGCACACAACATAATTTGATAGTATAAGAAGATGGCCTGAATTTTGCCCTCAAATGCACAAAAAGAATTTCCCATATACATTCTCAAAAGTCTTTGGCCTTGCTGAATAATAATAGAGCTGTTATTTTACTGTGAAGCAAAATAAGCCTTCAAGTGTCCCTTACTTGATCTTAGAAGGTCAAATTCTCTGTCCAATAGTTCCTCTTCAGTTAACTTAGAAAAATTATCCTCTCCAAAAGGATTCCACCCTGACATATCAGGTGGGTTGCTGATGTTCTTCTGATTTGTGAAATTTGCAATGGCCTCTTTATCAGCAACTGACCTATAGTAATAATTGAGAAAGAAAAAAGAAGATGGAAAGCAAAATTAAAATTAATAAAAATTCACAATGCCCTAGTTTATACTTTATAAATACTTAGAAAACCAAATCATTTCCTTATGACAGAGAATGACAGACAAAGGCATGAGATGGAGAGAGAGAACATATGGGATCTAGATCACCTGCATAAGGTATACTAGCTCCATAATCACCTACTTAAGGTACACTAGCTGTATACCCTTGGGCAAGTTCCTTAACTTCTCTGCCTCAGCTTCATCTGTAAAAAGGAGTAATAGTATCCACCTCATAGGGTTACTGAGAAGATTAAATAATTTAATACACATAAAGCAAAGAGAACAATATCTAGTAAAAATAAGAATAAGTATTAACTGTTATTATCATAGGAAATAAGCCTTAAAGAAAAAATCAGTCACCTATCAGACAGTATCACTCTAAAATCACTACTGAACACAGTGATCAAATGCCTTGGTTATGCTGGGACACCACAGTAATTTTCCTTTTGACAAAGGCATTCCCTATATATAGCTACTAACAAAAGATGAATTGCTAGGACTGCTTTAAAAGTTAGCTAAAATTAAGTGAGGGTTATTTTTGTATATAATAAATTATTTATAGTATTTAAAGTATCTAGAGTCTGGAGCCTGAGACCACTGGTTCTATGAAAATTATCTTACAGGGCTCTAGGCTTTTAAGAGAAGATGAGAATCTAAAGATTTCTTAACCTGAGAATCTCTGTGTACCTCTCCCGGCAACCCAGCCTGGAAATATAGTCATGTACTACACAATGACCTTCCAGTCAACAATGGACCATATATATAATGGTGGTTCCATAAGATTAAAACAGAGCTGAAAAATTCCTATCACCTAGTGATATCGTAGCCATTGTAACACTATAGCACAACAGATTATTCATGTGTTTGTGGTGATGCTGATTTGAAGACACCTACTGGGCTGCCAGTTGTATAAAAGTATGGCAATACAATTGTGTACAGTGCATAATATTTGATAATAAATGACTGTATTCTGTTTTATGTATTTACTATACCATATTTTTTAGTTATTTTCAAGTATACTCCTTCTACTTATTTTATTTGAAGTCGACTGTAAAACAGCCTCAGGCAGGTCCTTTAGGAGGTATTCCAGGAGAAGGTATTGTTATCATAGGATATGACAGCTCCATGCCTGTTATTGCCCCTAAAGAACTTGCAGTGAGACAAGATGTGGACGTGGAAGATAGTGATATTGACAATCCACACCTTAGGCCAGGACTAATGTGTGTGTTTGTGTCTTAGTTTTCAACAAAAAAGTTTAAAAAGAAAAGTTAAAATAGAAAAAAACTATAGAATAATATAAAGAAAATACTTTTGTACAGTTGTACATGTTTGTGTTTTGTGTTACTACCAGAGTCAAAACATTTTTAAAATTTTTAAAGTTTATAAAGTAAAAAACTGAAGTTAATTTATTATTGAAGAAAAAAATTTTACATAAATTTAGTGTGTCCTAAGAATGCAGTGTTTATAAAGTCAAGTCTATAATACTGTACAGTAATGTCCTAGGCCTTCACATTCACTCACGACTCACTCACTGACCCACCCAGAGAAACTTTCAGTCCTCCAAGCTCCATTCATGGTAAGTGCCCTATACAGATGTACCATTTTTTATCCTTTATACAGTATTTTTATTCTACCTTTTCTATGTTTAGATACAAAAATACTTACCATTCTGTTACAATTGCCTATAGTACTAAATACAATAACATGCTATACAGGTTTGCAGCCTAAGAGCAATAAGCTATATAATAAAGCCTAGATGTGTAGTAGGCTATACCATCTAAGTTTGTGTAAATGCACTCTATGATGTTCATACGACGATAAAATTGCCTAATGATGCAATTTCTCAGAACATGTCCCCGTTGTTATGCAATGCATGACTGTATAGCATAAGAATGAGACAATGTAAGAAAGCTATTAAGTTCCTTTCATAATTCATATCCAAATCCACTTAACAGTAGTAATGAAGGGAGAATCCTAATGTTCAAAGTGGTATCCCAATTTCGCAAGTCTTAACTGATTCCCTAAATTTACCTAACTGTTGAGAGCTCATTGTCATTGCCACCAAACAGGTCTTAGAAGAGAAAGAAAAAGGCAAAAGTCATCCATTTAATCCCTTAGTCCAAGCCCCTTCAGTATATCTAAGCCAAGAATAGGATACTTAAATACTTACTGAAGGCTAGCATATAATAGATGAAAATAAACATAGTAAGTTACCTACAAGTAGACAGACTTGCTTAGTAAGTAGAACTTACTATCTTAATTTTAAAAACAATTCAGTTTAAAATCCATTCTGGATGCATTAACTGCCAAGCAGTCTGAGCCTGCCTCCTGTGACAGAGTCCCATCTCTAATTCCAAAACTATCTCTAAGAATTTTCAGTCCTTAAAACACAGATCAGATATGTTTTTATCCAGAAAATTGAAGGGAAAAAAAAAAAACAAATCAGAGTGTGTAAAACTCAGAGAGAGATGGTGGGCATTCCCCCTCCTGTCTGTCAATGATTCCTTTTAGAACTTTGATTCCCTATATGAATCACCCTCTTACTATTCCCAAAATAAATTTACGGATTCCCATTAGCAGGCTGTAACTCAATAGGGTATCACCTTAACGTAGTTTAAACAGGTATTAAAATATGTCTACAAGTTATCTGACATTCCTCCCTTCAAAGGGTGAAACTGAATTTCGCTGCCCTTGAACATGAGCTAGATCTAGTGACCCAATTCTAACAAATGAAACATGGCACAAGCAGCAGCCCATGACTGCTGAGACTAGGTCTAAAAAGACATTTCAGATTCCTCCTTGCTCTGTCTCTTGGATCACTTGTTGAGGGAGAAACCAGAATCAATAATTCCTTGTTCAAAATAATTTTTGCCTTGCCAAAGAGAAAACTCAAGCAGTCTTTTGGAGAAATCCATGTGACAGGGGACTGAAGCCTCCTGCCCAAATCCATGTGAGTAAACTATCTTGTAAATTACATCCTTTAGCACCAGCCAAGCCTTCAGAGGAGAGCCGAACCAGCCTTACCAGACACAACCACCCTGTTAAGCCACTCCTAAATTTCTGATCCAAAGAAAGTATGTAAGATAATAAATGTTTACTGCTGTTTTAAACCACTAAGTTTTGAGATAATTTATTAGGCATCAACAGATAACTAATACAGCAGGGCAATTATATCATAAGAAGATAACGTATGCATAGAAAATGTTTGTTTTAACTATTATTGGAATATAAAACAATAATACTCTCTGATATTCATAGTAAAGATAAATTAACATGGTGGAAGAGTAGAAAGTTTAGCAAAAGACAGTGGAAAAGAAAAGGAAATAATCATTTCAACAAAGATAGTGACTCTTTTCCTCTAAGGAACTACTTAAGTTTCTTATATTCTACTCAAATAGCCCCTTACCCACTTAGAGACAAACATTTAACCCCAATTCTCTTCTTCCACTGACTTAGTTATAAGCAGGAACATTAGTGTAGAGCTCTTTTTAAATTGTTACAGAAGACATTACACTCAACATACAATCTGATGTTAAATAGGTATAATAATATTAATGCAGTAGCACTGACGTACTAAGTGTGGCTGGAGCAATGTTCACACATGAAGTTCCACATTTCTGACCTTTAGTGGCTGAGTGTATAATTTTTTCTACCATATCCTTAAATACATAATTTCATAGGAGTGGAGTAAAACAAGTCTTATGCACTTTCCCAGATATGCAACCCAATATTTCCTAACCTGGGGAATGCAAGATGATTTTTGTGATAACTTATTTTTTAATAGTTACACAGAAATTAAAATAAAAGTATCTAATGTATCAAACCTGTGATTTGTCGAATAGCATCACTACAAATGAGAACAAAGCAAGCCGTGCTACAGTAATTAATATACATTACAGGTATCAGCACCTTGCATGCCAGTGTATGCCTCAAATCCCTGGATATCCAACTTTCTTTGTAACTAATCAGAAGTTTAGACAGATTTCCAATTCATCATCCCATTCTCATCAGTGACATAACTTTGCTTCCAGGAGCTGACAGACTTTTACAATATGAAGTATACACAATACCTATGCTATGTCAGAGAAGACAGTTTAATATCTTTTCTACTTTCCAACTAAATACACTAGATTTGACATTTTTTTATGCTAGTTAGCTTCAAAAGTGGAAAAAAGCAATCATCTAATTAATACAATAGACTCATCGGTATCTTAAACTAAGCAATCATCAAGCAGAATATCCGATTTTTAATGAGGAAAATTATTCCATTCTTATCACTAGCGGACTTAGCAAATTTATTAGATTACAATTTACATTTCGTACTTTATATTTTAGTGGATCTTATTTGTTTAAAATGTATAATGTTTTAATTTTATTATACACAATAATGTTCCTAATTATTAAAGAAAAAAAGCACTACATGAATAAAGCAAAACACTTTAACTAGAGTAGATAAATGACAACGAGTTTGGCAAATACTGATCTGAAGGTTTTGTTTGTTTGTTTGTTTTTGTGAGATGGATTCACCAGGCTGGAGTGCAGTGGCATGATCTCAGCTCACTGCAATCTCCAACCCCCGAGTTCAAGCCATTCTCCTGCCTCAGCCTCCCAAGTAGTTGGGATTACAGGCGCACACAACCACACCCAGCTAATTTTTGTATTTTCAGTAGAGACAGGGTTTCACCATATTGGCTAGGATGGTCTTGATCTCCTGACCTCGCGATCCACCTGCCTTGGCCTCCCAAAGTGCTGGGATTACAGGCATGAGCCACCGCACCCTGCCTGAGCTGGACATTTAAACTGGCCTTTAACCATATACTCTGCTTTCTCCCTAGACAAAACTGTCCTAATTCCTCCACCCCAATTCTTACTTTAGAAAAGAAGTTCAAGAAATCAGTTCATGTTTCTGTCTTCCTCCCTACCATACCCGCCCCACCATCTGTCCCTGGTGCATGTGTGCACACATGCACACACACGCACGTGCGCGCACACACACAGAGGTTGGGAGGCATTCTATAGCAAACTGCATACTTTAGCTCTCTCTTGAGATGCAGTGTACAAGTATGCTACTGATGCTGCTGTTTCTCCTGCTCAACTCTGAGCCAAAGCTTATAGACACCTTTTCTCAGCTATTGTTTCAAATCCTTAAATAGCATTGTATGAGAACTTCTTCAGTGTTCCTGTAACAAAAGTCTAACAGCTCCTACCTCCTAAGTATCTAAAAACATTAGGAGGCATTCATGATGATTCTTAACTACAAGATGCCAAAGCACCTGCCATTTTATATGTAAAAGAAAATTTGTACCAAAGTTCTTTAATTTATAACTCACCTAACCAATATATCTAAATAGCCAAAATATACTATTCCCAACTGTTATAGTAACAGTATGTTTACTATATATCATCTTAAAATATATATATGTAAAAATGTTTATACCTATTTAAATTAAATTATACAACCTTTATGAGTAAACAGTAAAATTAATCAAAGGTAATAACATGTAAATAGAAAAAGTCTATGAGGATTTATTTTTAACTGCTAAAGTCACTTGTTAGGGTGTTGTTTATACTTACATTACAAAAAATGCCTATACACACAAGCCAATAATATCCTTAGCCCTAAATGCTATTAGATGTTGCTACGCCTTACCTACAAATAACAGTAAGCAGAATTAACTAAGGAAATGGAAGGATGGGGATGCGAAGGGACCAGAAGACAAGACTAGGAAGAGAGAATGGGTGGCTCTACAGAAAAAATAAGTCCAAATTAATTTAAGAGAACTTAATGACCGACGATTCAACAATGACTTCCACTTCCACAATAATTTCCTTTGCTTTCACTGGAAAAATACTTGCCTATTGGCACTATAGGAGGAGTCCATTATGGTTCCAACCTGAGCTGGAAGTGATGAAGTGTAGGAAACTAAGGCTGGTGAGAACTCTTGAGGGGAGGTAAGATATTCAGGTGATGCCTGCTGTTGAGACGGCTGATGTTGAGCTAGCATCTGCTGTTGAAAGAAAGCCTGCTGATACTGCTGCATCTGAAAAAAGAAATGATATTATACAAAACAATGCTCCAGTCCTAAAGCACTGTCAGCACTGCATCTATTTACTATGTTCCTTCCTTTCACATTGGTGACAAAATCAGAAACCTAAAAAACAATCACCTGCAGGAGCAGCTCTACTACTGGAAAACTACAGCAAGATGAAATAAACCTTTTTAAAAAGTTGTGAAGGTAGGCTCACTTGGCCAGAATCAAAAATCCTCTTTTAAATATTTCAAGAAAAAGAGTAGCTTAAAGTCACTAATACAGTGGTTGCTGTTAAAAAAAAAAAAAAAAAAAAAAAAAAAAGGTCAAATTATTCTCTGAAGCAAATACACTCTCCATTTGGGTTTCATTTTTTTACTCAATAGATATTTGCTGAATGAAAGAGACATGTGACAAAAGACTATAGGTAAGACATCATTTCCCTTACACAATAAGAGAAGTATGTTATCAGTCAATTACTATGTGCCATATTTATGTGCCATAGTTCAGTGCAATTTAAAGTTGTTTGAGAATATATGACTGGCTTTGATACATGTCAATTAACTTGATTTTGAATTATTAAATTCTGCATAATATGATTCATACTGTGAATTCCAACACCATAATGTATACTAAGAGAAATCTCTAGAAATTATTTAAGTTACCATTGTTGGATACTGTGATGCAGAAGGTTGTGGTTGATATACCGAATGCATTAAAAACTGTTGCTGAAGCATCTGTTGCTGCTGTGTTGCATGTTGATACTACAATGAGAAAATCAAACAAATTAATAAATGTTATTCATGCCTTTTTTGTGTCAGAGCCCTTTTTCAAAGTATTGATCTTACCATAATAATGATTTGAGAAATCAGCAGTCCAAACATCAACACAAAATAGTTACACTCTAAATTACTATAATTTATTAATAAATATGCTTATCATCAGAAACCTAAAACCAATCATCTGCAGGAACAGCTCTATTACTAGAAAACCACAGCAAGATGAAATAAACCTTTTTAAAAAGTTTTGAAGGTAGGCTCATTTGGCCAGAATCAAAAATCCTCTTTTAAATATTTAAGAAAAAGTCACTAATACAGTGGTTGCTATTAAAAAAAAAAAAAAAAAAGGAGCAAATTATTCTCTGAAGCAATTCTCTGATCCAGAACTAGTTTCAAAATTATCAACAAAACATAACAGAGATTCAATTAAAACCACTTGTAGCACAATTTAAGAATGTTTAGAAGAAAGTTACCAAAACACATTTACCACCTTTTCCTAGAAGATAAAGACACAAGAAGTGACTTCTAACCAAGATCCATTACACTAAATTTACACTCTCCTTTTATCTCCCCTCCAGTGGTGTCCTCTGGGCATCCCATGGTACCACCTACTTACCACCCTCCACTCTGGATCTATCAACCAAAACCAGGAGGTGACAAAAATCTAAGACAATGTTACTTCTGCAAAGCCTAATATCACCTTTCCAACAATAGCATTATTAGTCTGTGAACTCAAAATGTAACCTCAGATAATATTCATTATAAACTGCAGTACTTATTTGTGAATACTAAATGTTTCAGATGAACATTCTTTTCTTTATAAGGCCACAATGCAACCTATTTTAGAGTATTCTTAAGTATTTCACTGATTGCAAATTAAATATTATTTCATAATCAGAAAATTGGGGAAAGTGTTTACTCAAATCTAGAGTTCAAGGCGCCCATGATACAAAAAGGAATTCACTGATACTCAATTTGCTGCATCAATTTCACACTACTTCCATATCTAAAGAAACAAAAAAATTACCTGCTGCATATAAGCATCATGAAGTAGGTGGTGGTGGTGGTGGTGCTGCTGCTGCTGCTGCTGCTGTTGCTGTTGCTGCTGCTGCTGGTGAGGATGACGATGCTGTAAATGGAGTTGCTGTAATCTCCAATCTCCCTGCTGTAGTTGCTGGAGTACTCTATGCTGCTGTGGTGGTTGCTGAGGAAGTCCCTGACCCAATAAAATTTCAGGGCCATTTCCAGGTCTTAGTGCCCCTAGAGACAAGGTCCCAAACACTTACATTACCATACTAATGATTTCAATTAAAAAGCTGGATTTCAACATGCTCATTTCAATAGTAATTTAACTAAGGCATTTATATCCTTATTTATAATACAGAAACTTCCATATGCATAGAGTTTATAGGGATTTACTTTAATTATAAGTACCGAAGAAGCTTAATTTTGTCATCTACAACTTTGAACAAGTCAACATCTTAGAAACACTTCATGTTTCATGCTTCAGCTCTCCATGAACACAATATCCATGTTAGTTTGTTCTACACTGTTCAACTATATCATGTACTATCATGAGTATGTATCATTACCAAAATAATTCTCAGTCTAGAATGCCATTTTCCACCTACTGAAATTCTTATTCTTTAAAGTTTAGCTCAAATCTCTCTTCCTTGTTCCTTCAACTAGCACTTCCACTCAGTTTATTCCATTTTAGTCTGTCTTGCACATATTAATGACTTAAATGGCTATTTCCTAGCCAGGGACCCTGAGTGAAAAGATGATGACTTACTCATCTGTTAAGAGTCCCAAAAAACCTTTTATACAAAATATGATTAATAAATGCTCACTGTAATGAATCTATTAACACTGTCTCCTAAACGGATATTTATTTATAAGCTCCATAAATTATGCCCTAGGCAAATCCTATATATAAACTTTAAACATTAACTAAAAAGTAAGATATACACTTAATGCAATACACTAACACACTATAATTTCTATATTCTCCTCTAACTTACCCTACATTCAAATGCAACTGTTCAATCCTAGAGGATAGAAAGAGTGGGGAGAGAGTGCAAGGAGGGAGACAAGGGTTCTTTTTTCATCCGTGTTAGTATCCTCAAATTTCCTCAGACCTAAGTACAACAGCTTTATGAACATAGTTTTATAACTATTTCTAACTTTTCTACTTATAAGGAAATGCATGTTCATTTTAACTATCCTTAAAAATACTTATAAAAATGTAAGTTAAAAAATGAGAATCACAAATCCACCACACAGATACAACCATCATTAGCCTTTTAAGTGTATTTCTTTCCAGGTGAAAGAGTATTAAAATAACTACTCAAAAATCATTCACCTTGAAATTTTTTTTAATTGACAAATAATAAGTGTACATATTCATGGGGTATATATTGATGTTTTAATACATATTTTGCAAAGTGATCAGATCAGGGTAATTAGCAAAACCATCATTGTAAGCATCGTCTTTTTTTGTGTGTTAGGAACACTCAACATTCTCTTTCTACCTATTTGAAATTATGCAAAATATTGTTAACTAGTCATTCTAAGTGGTAGAGAATACTAGGATTTATTCTTCCTATCTAGCTAAAATTTTATATCCTTTAGTAAATCCCTCCCTACCCCTCACTTCCCCTATCCTTCCAGCCTTTAGTATCTTTTATCTCCTTGAAAATTTAATAACAGTAAGTAACTTTAATAACTTTATAATAAGTAACTTTAATAACAACCTAAGTAACTTATAGGTTAAAAAAGAAATAACAAAGGGGCCAACGTAGAGCTCAGGCTGTGGCTTCAGAGAGTGGAAGCCCCAACCCTTTTAGCAGCTTCCCTTTGGTGTTGAGCCTGTGGGTGCACAGAAGTCAAGAATTGAGGTTTGGGAACCTCAGTCTAGATTTCAGAAAATATATGGAAATGCCTGGATGTGCAAGCAAAAGTTTGCTGCAGGGGTAGGGCCCTTATAGGGAACCTCTGCTAGGGCAGTACAGAAGGGAAATGTGGGGTCAGAGTCCCCATAATCCCTACTGGGACACTGCCTAGTGTAGTTGTGAGAAGAGGGCCACCATCCTTCAGACCCCAGAATGGTAGATCCACCTACAGCTTGCACCATGCGCCTGAAAAAGCTGCAGACACTCAACAGTCAGCCCATGAAAGCAGCCGGGAGAGACGCTGTACCCTGCAAAGCCACAGAGGCGGAGCTGCCCAAGATCATGGGAATCCACCTTTTGCATCAGCATGTCCTGGATGTGAGACCTGGAGTCAAAGGAGATCATTCTGGAGCTTTTAAATGTGACCACCCCACAGGATGTCAGACTTGTATGGGCTCCGTAACCCCTTTGTTTCGGCCAATTTCTCCCGTTTGGAATGGCTGTATTTACCCAATACCTGTATCCGCATTGTATCTATGAAGTAATTAGCTTGCTTTTGATTTTACAGGCTCATAGGTGGAAGGGACTTGCCTCATCTCAGATGAGACCTTGGACTGTGGACTTTTGGGTTAATGCTGAAATGAGTTATGACTTTGGGGGACTGTTGGGAAGGCATGATTGGTTTTGAAATGTGAGGACACTGGCCGGGTGCGGTGGCTCAAGCCTGTAATCCCAGCACTTTGGGAGGCCGAGACGGGTGGATCACGACGTCAGGAGATCGAGACCATCCTGGCTAACACGGTGAAACCCCGTCTCTACTAAGAAATACAAAAAACTAGCCCGGCGAGGTGGCGGGCGCCTGTAGTCCCAGCTACTCGGGAGGCTGAGGCCGGAGAATGGCGTGAACCCGGGAGGCGGAGCTTGCAGTGAGCTGAGATCCGGCCACTGCACTCCAGCCTGGGCTACAGAGTGAGACTCCGTCTCAAAAAAAAAAAAAAAAAAAAAAAAAAGGAATGTGAGGACACGAGATTTGGAGGGGTCAGGGGTGGAATGATATGGTTTGGCCTTCTCCCCACCCAAATCACAACTTGAATTGTATCTCACAGAATTCCCACATTGTAGGACGGACCCAAGGGGAGGTAACTGAATCATGGGGGCCAGTTTTTCTCGTGATAGTGAATAAGTCTCATGATATCTGATGGGTTTATCAGGGGTTTCTGCTTTTGCTTCTTCCTCATTTTCTCTTGCTGCCACCATGTAAGTGCCTTTCACCACTCACCATGATTCTGAGGCCTCCCCAGCCATGTGGAACTGCAAGTCCAATTAAACCTCTTTTTGTTCCCAGTTTCTGGAATGTCTTTATCAGCAGCAAGAAAACGAACTAATATGTATGTACAGTATGACTCCTTTTATTTTATTTTATTTTATTTTATTTACTTACTATTTTTGAGACAGAGTCTTGCTCTGTTGCCCAGCCTGGAGTGCAGTGGCATGATCTCGGCTCACTGCAATCTCCGCCTCCTGGGCGCAAGTGATTCTTGTGTGTCAGCCTCCCAAGTAGCTGGGATTACAGGCATGTGCCACCACGCCCGGATAATTTTTGTATTTTTAGTAGAGATGGGGTTTTGCCATGTTGGCCAGGCTGGTCTTGAACTCCTGGCCTCAAGTGATCCACCCACCTCGGCCTCCCAGACTGTTGGGATTACAGGCAGTGAGCCATTATGTCCGGCCTCCATTTATTTTAAATACAACATGAATTATTTATATCTGTATATATACATGTAAAAACATAAAAAAGGACTGGGAAGATGAACATTAAACACTGCTGGTTAACTCTGGGAAGAAAATGGAGGGAGATGTTCACATTTTCACTGAATACTACTGTATAATCCGAATATTTTAAAATACAATACTCACATGTTAATTTTTGTATTATTTTTAAAGGGTAAAGAAATGTTAAAAAAAAATGCACTTATCGGGGGAAAAAGAGGAACATTTTTCCAACTTAAGCTGAAAGCATGTAAGAAAGAGAAACATGGCCCCTGACATCAGGAGTAGGCCTGGCAATCACAGCTAAGTCTTGGTGCTCTCCTGTTGAATAATCTCATACAACATTAGACAAGGCCACTATGATTGTGATGGATCAAAACAAGACCACTCCAAAATCATGTCTGAACAGCAACAAAACCATGAACATTGTCCAAACCCCAAAAATGTCTCAACATGTTTAGCTACTGAGGCTTTAGCTTCCTTCCTTCTAGACAAAATTTGTATTAAGAAACCTAAACATATCATAACACTGTTTCTTTTTTTTTTTTTGACACAGAGTCTCATTCTGTTGCCCAGGCTGGTGTGCAGCAGTGCAATCTTGGCTCACTGCAATCTCCACCTACTGGGTCCAAGGGATCCTCCGCACCTCAGCCTCCAGAGTAGCTGGGACTACAGGTGAGCACCACCAAGCCATTGCTCAGGCTGGTCTTGAACTCCTGGCCTCAAGCAATCCGACCTGCCTTGGCCTCCCAAAGTGCTGGGATTACAAACGTGAGCCACTGCACCCAGCTTCATATGCCCTCTTCTTGACAGTATCCAATACAGAGCAAAGCCTACTTCCTTTCTTCCTTTTTTTTTTTTTTTTAAAAGATAAGGTCTTGCCTTGTCACCCAGGCTGCAATGGTGCGATCACAGCTTACTCTACCTTTGAATCCCTGGGCTCAAGTGCTCATTCTACCTCAGCCTCCTGAGTTGCTGGAACAGGAATGAACCACCCTGCCTAGCTAATTCTTTATTTTTTGTAGAGATGGGGTCTCACTATGTTCCCCAAGCTGGTCTCAAACTCCTGGCCTCAAGTGATCCTCCCACCTCGGCCTCCCAAAGTGCTGGGATTACAGGCATGAGTCAGCATGTCTGGCCTCCCACTTCCTTATAGCCTCTCCAAAATTACCCCAAACAAGCCCAAATCCTTTAATATGTCTTTTCAAGCACCGTCTTCCTGAGACACCCCACAGATCTGAATAGTTTAGGAGTAATAAACATAACTTGTTCAACAACAAGTGTGTTTCTAGCGTTCTCTGACTGGGGGACACTAATGCATGATAAATAAGACTGATAGGGCCTCCAACCCAAAAAGCTATAAAAAAGACAAACTAACATTGAATGTTTACTATGAGACAAAATTTTCATAGATATCACACCTTATTTACTCCTCATAACAGGAAAAGTAGTTGTTATTCCATTTTACATAAGAGAACGGTGGGGTTAAGAAATGATGAAATAGGAATTAAATACAAATGATTTCAAATTCACACAGTTTTCCCTTTTCCATGGAATACTCCTCCAATTATTGTACTTGTTTACCAAAGAAGTACATAGCAATATGCCAGATAAAACAGGATGGGTGCAGTGGCTCACGCCTTTAATCCTAGCACTTTGGGAGGCCAAGATGGGAGGACTGCTTGAGCCCAGAAGTTCAAGACTAGCCTGGGAAACATAGGAAGCATAGGGAGACCCAATTCTAAATCTATGAAAAAAAAACTAAAAAATTAGCAGGCATGGTGGCCTACACCAATAGTCCTAGCTACTCAAGAGGCTGAGGTGGGAGGAACGCTTGAGCCTGGGAGGCACAAATGCAGTAGCATGATCATGGAGTGCCACTGCATTCCAGCCTGGGTGACAGAGTAAAACCCTGTCTCAAAAATAAACAAATAGTAAATAAACAAACAGGTCGGGTGCGGTGGCTCACGCCTGTAATCCCAGCACTTTCGGAGGCCGAGGTGGGCGGATTACCTGAGGTCAGGAGTTCGAGACCAGCCTGGTCAACATGGTGAAACCCCATCTCTACTAAAAATACAAAAATTAGCTGGGCATGGTAGCAGGTGCCTGTAATCCCAGCTGCTTGTGAGGCTGAGGCAGGAGAATTGCTTGAACCCGGGAGGCGGGAGGTTGCAGTGAGCTGAGATGGTGCCATTGCACTCCAGCCCGGGGGAAAAGAGTGTCAAAAAAAAAATAAAAAATAAAAATAAACATTACCTTTCCTGAACATATACTTTACTTGATAACAGTAGTTAACAGTTAACATTTATCAAAGGCATATCATGTATCAGGTATCATATTAAACAGCCATTTAATCTTCCCAATAATCCTATTAAGATAGGTACTAGTACTTTTAGAAGCTATATTTAAAAATGGGAGAAATAGGACTCAAATCAGGTCCATGAGACTCAAAATGTAGGCTCTTAACCATTAGGGTATCCCATTAAAAACATTTTAACATTAAAACACGACAGATTGATCATGAAATAAAGTGCAAAACAGGATTTCTTTAAGGTGAGTCTTCAGGTTATACCCCAGATCCTTGAGAAAATAAGTTTACTCTCATGTTAGGGATATTTCTTTGGGGGAAAAAAATTTTTTTAAAGTACCACGCTGTACCATCATGCTTAGAAGATACTTTAGATAAGTAAATTTTTCTCAAAATCAGGTAAGTTTTTATGTTGTAATGTCCATAGCGATGGTTCAAGATAGTCCCTCACCAAGACTTTAGGTGCAATGCAAAGACATATAACTTTGTAAGACTAGTGTTTCAACTTTCTTTCTTTCTCATATAACATAGATTTTTTCCATACCTTTGAACTTTATTCCCAACCTCAAACCCTACTACTTGATGATTCTAGGGATAAGAGTTTGTATTTATAGTATCAAAGCAAATTGTGAGTTTTTTGTACCATACTTTCATATTGCCAGTAACTCCCTTTGCCTACAACAACTGAATTGTTGAGAAACCAACCGAATTTAGTAGACATCAGTAGAAAGTTTCTGAAAGCATTATGTTATCCGCTTTACAATATTAAGGATCACCTGAGGTCAGGAAATCAAACCATAAAAGGTTTATTCACATTAACCTTTAAGAGGATGAGATTGGCAGGGCTCTATTACCTTTTGGTCTATGGTTACCGAATTCACCAGGAGCAAGGACTTTAACAGGTGTTGCTGAACTTTGAATGGTCAGCACACTGGGAGTGGCAGTAGTAGTAGAGTTGGCCTTTGGTCTTTGTCTTGGTGCAATTGAGGTTTCTGTTGGTCCAATGGTATCTGTTATTCTACAACAGAAGAATATATTTCATTCTAAATATTGGGATTATTTCTAATTTACTATTTATTCTATAAAGCATCCAACTCAACAGATGCATTTTAACTATTACTGATAATCACGTTAGTCCTCATCTTTCTCCTAAGGCTCATTTTCAAGTATCAAACGTTTAATAAAGATAGAAAAACAAATAAAACTAACAATTTTCCTTAAAACAGTACACAACCATTCATAGTCTGCTATCAAAACCAGCAGAAAAAGAACATAGTCCCAGAAATTGCTCTTAAGGAGATGAAATGATACTGAAAAGAAACAGAAACCTTTTCATAAGGTTTTGGACAAAACTGGGAGCCACTCTCTGAACTTGTCAGGGAAATAAAAATAAGAAACAACAAGGAATAATCTCCCTTTGCTTGGACTCCAAGGCATAAAAAAAGAAAAGACTGTGGCCTAGGGCATGTTAAACAAAATAAGCCAAAACTTTTAACAGGTGCCACCTGCTCACATTCAACTTATTGAATCTTTAACTTTGCTTTACTCAGAACACAGAATGGAAAGCATATAAAATTTATCCCACTAGGACTTAGTTTAGGCCCCAGATGTGGGTAGTTAAGCAGTAAACACAGTTTTGAAATCAAGAGACCATAAATATAATGTGAGAAGACACCGACATTGCTTTTTTTTAAACAAACAAAAAAAAGGTAAAATATATATTTATCAACATGCTTGCTTTCTATAAATTAAGTACAAAAATTCAAATACTTGTTAATAGGACCATATGTTCACTTTCCAACAGGATTCACAATAAAATATCTTTATTAAATCCCCTTACACATTTTCAAGTGAATACTTAAATTTTTACATACATATGATTTATGAAGCACACATCTGCTGCATTTGCATCTATCAACAAGTGCACAGATCCAGTTATTTCCCAGTATCTGTATGTACCACAAGAGGGAACCCTACTAACAACTCTTTCCAAGAGGAACAAAAAAAACGTGACACAGAATCAAAAGATCTTAGAATTACATGTATGCTGTTTTCTGAAAATAATACTAATGCTCTAGATGGGATGGGGATGGTAAAAGACATGAAAATTGAACTAATAGGCCAAATATATATATATATATATAAATATATATATATATACACACACACAGATATATATACACACTGTACATCTGTATATATACATATAATCGGTATATATATATAAAAAATCAATTATATCTTGTTTTAATGATAATCAAGTATTTACTGACATTGAATTATTGATGTGCCATTACAACCAATGCTATACTCCCTAAGCTCAAGTAATTTGGGGGAAATATTGTACACAATCTCTCTGTTTAACTATCCCTTCTGTATTAAGTGGCTAGGACAGGCCAGACCTGACATTGCCTTGTTGCTGATCTAAACCCTCTTTAGAGATTCACAACACACGTAGGCATAGCAAAAGCCCTAAGAAGCATATTAAAAGTCTGTATACTTTGTTCACTCTGACATCTCCTGTTTTACCAAAGTGCTAATATGTATTGTACATTTACTGATATCCAGCAAAACACTGCACAACACCCTGTCCTCAAAGAATTTACAGTATACCTAGGAAGACAGGGCACATGTTAGTGGAAATGTAATAAATATAAGATAGTAAAAATCATCAGTGCCAAGCTAGTGCTGTCAAGAGTTTATGGAGATGTAATTGTACTTTTAACCTAATCTGGCTACAGAAGGCTTCAGGTAGAAACTGGGGTTTAAAATTTTCTGAATAAGTTTGATTTCATTAGGCAGTGACAGAGAAACCAGGTATTCTATGGGAAGGAATGGGAAGAAAATGCCTGGGCAGATTGGCATAGGGAGATACAAAATTGACTGAAGTTAAAAACAGTAATTATTGCATCAATACTGCCGCATAGTCTCATTTTCACTATTAAAACAGTCACGGAGCTGTTTTTCTGCTTCCCTTCTTTCTCCTCGCCATCACCTGAACAAAATCATTGTAGTTTTCCTAAAACTCAGACTCACACTCTCCTGCTTAAAATCCTTCAATGTTTCCATCTGCCAGGCCAGTGATTCTCAGTGTCTCCATATTTAAGACATGTCAGATAAATTTCACATCTTAAGCCATACCAAGAGCAGATGCAAAGTTCAGGGAGATGAGAGCGACCTTTTAAGAAGGCAAAGAGTACCACAGATTGAAGGCAGCTGAAAAACCCACAGGTGCTTTTTGAAAACATGTAATGAAACTGCTAGTAAATGATTTCTCCTCCCAAAATATGCTCTTTACATGAAAAAAACTAAATTTTTTAATATTAAGCTTTGTATACATTAAGATTTTTTCAAGTTTTCACTAATATTCATAGACTAAATTTATATTAACCAGTAAGTACCAATCAACCTTATTTTTTAATATACATAATGTTCAGATTTAACATACTATAAATAAGCACTGTGAATTTTAATAGTACTATTTCACTGTCTTGTAACTCCACAGCTATAACTTGCATTAGGGTGAAAAGAAAACCAAATCATCATTCTTGTTCAGCTGACTTACGCTTTTTAAAAAAAATCTGCACCTACTTTCTCAAAGATTTATTTACTAATTATTTTAAAAAACAGAAGTCACAATAAAATTCAACTGACAAATCCTACAATAATTCCTAATTGCCACTCAACTATAACAGTGGATGCTACTTAAAGCTACGTCATAGATAAGATCCATTGTTGGTCAAGCTGGATTCCTGCAGGTTAGATATAACCTTATACCTTCATCTCTTCTCAAAAGAACATTTTGAAATTCAAGTGAATGAAGATATTTTTAGAGTAACACCATTTTTGAAAATAAGTCATTCACAAATGAAATTTTAACATTTATAAGTAACAGATCATTTACAACACATGTCACAACCAAGTCTCAAAGAGTAGAACTGACTAGAAGGTTGAAAATTAACTGACCTATAGGCCAAAGTCCAAATTTCTCAGCATGATATATAAACAAAGTTGTTCATGACGGGCATTTATCTACCTCCTGTATATGTCCCCCTTTGTCCTAGTCTTGTAGTTTCACAAGGGTCATTCTTGCCTAAACTGCCTGCCTGCTATAATTTCACTCCCCACCCTTCCAGGTGATTGACTATTCACCATTCAAGGAGGAGTGCAGCAACTCCCACCCGCAGGGAAAGCATTCTGTATGTGCTCCTGTTTTCTCTGTTCCCAGTCTTTCCCTTCCTCCACACTCTCAAAGTAGCCTAGTATCTATCAGGTTGTAATTGTTTACTTGTCAATTAGAATGTGAACTCCTTGGAAATAAAAACTGCTTTTTTTCCTTTGTGTTTCAATTGTCTATATCTTGCATATAAAAAGCATATGAACAAATATATTTTTGTATTGGGTAAACAAACTTTGCATAAATAACATACAATACAAAATTGCTGTGACCAAGAAATCTCCCCAAATATAATATTATACCTGTCTGATAATCTAAGATACAATCCTGCTTATTAACTTTTAAATTCAAAAAAGTGTGAGGGGGGTAAAAATCAGTCATTAACAGATTCAGTCTTAACCTACATAATATAGTTCAAACTTATTATTAATAATATAATAAATATGCTGAAAAATAAGATTGAAAACATATTTACCAGCCCTAAAAAGTATTATAGTTATAACCACTCATTACAAATTCTACAAAGTACATACATATTCTATATATTCTAGTTGCCTGTAAGAGCTATTTTTTCTTTCCTTAAATTTAAAAAATAAACATGGTATTTATAAACTGAAAACACAGTATTTCCTAAATTAGAGTTGCTGTGTGATGAAAATGACAACCCCTGTCCAAAAAAAAGACCCACTCTAACATCATTAAACAATCACTTGTCATTGAGTGAATAGTTCCACTGAGATGATGCCAAACTCTTTATCTAGTATTTTTAAAAGCTTATTTTGTATTTGCTATCTCAATTATACCACATACAATAAGCAACACAACATCTTTTGTGGATGAAGATGATATTTAATCAATTATACTTGCTAGGAGTAAAAACAAAACCTATCATTTTTTTTAATGCCTTTTCAATTTTAGCATAGTTTTGCCTACCTGGCTTTTATTTGGCTTTTCCTAGCAGCTGCTTCACTAGCAGTCATCGGTTCAGGAAGAGCTGAAGGAATAGAAGAATTCTTGGAAGGAAAAAAATAAAACTTCTCATTTTAGTTTTTTAATTGCAGAAAGTTTTTGTAAGCTATGGATATATTATTGAACTTTAAAAGTACTATGAGACGCTATTACTATCATATCAGATACCTATAAATTGTTCACATATATTCACCAGATCTAATCTGCAAATATCACTACATGTTACACAAATGTCAATTTCATATTCATGTGCCACAGAAACCTTGGAAAATAAGCAGAAGAACACCATTGTGTCCATTTATAAGTGGGTAAATCTCGAGTAAAAAGATTATATTACACTTGTAAATCAATGATTATTTTGCATTTTGGAAAAAGCAACAAACACCAAGGATAAGCATCAAGTGTTGTTTCTACATACTACAGATAATTTTCAAGACACTCAATGTAAGGCCTGGAAAATCAGGGCGGAAGGCCTTGTTCATTTGTTTATACTCAATGTTTAGTTCATTGTAGGTACTCAATAAATACTTGCTGAGTAAACGTCGAATGAGTCTACTTATCTACTTTTAGAACTGCAAAGCTTTCAGCTTCAACAGAGAAAATAATACATCAATATGGCAAGGGCTTCAAAAAAAGAAAGGCACCACATTCCTTCTTTTTTTCTTAGTGGGGTAGATTAAGTTACACATAAAGGAAACCCTACAGAAACAGGTCAGGCCAGATGATCTTTACAAAGTCAAGAATGGCTTATATCAGTGATGATTCTAGAGACCTTTATTAACACTGGCAGAGACTTGCCCTACACAATTCACCTAATGTAGTTAAATGCACTGTACAGACAGTGAATAAAATTCAAAGCTTTTAAATAATACTAACTATTGCCAACTGAGCACCTTCCATGGACTAATTACATGTAATCCTTGTAATTACTATCCGTGTTTTACAGAAAAAGAAATGGACATTAAAGTAACTTACCAAAAGATTCAAAGTCAGTCACTGATAAGGACAAAACTGAATCTGGGTCTCTCTGTTTACACTGCCTGTGCTTTTTTAAAAAAAAATTTTTTTTAAGTTTTAGGGGATATAAGTGCAGTTTTGTTACAAGGATATACTGCATAATGGTGAACTCTGGGCTTTTGTATGACCATCACCCAAATAGTGTACATTGTACCCATAAGGTAACTTCTCATCCTTCATCTGCTTCCCACCTTTCTAAGCTTCCAATGTCTATTACTTCGCTGTCTATATCTATGCGTACACATTGTTTAGTTCCCACTTAACAATGCCTGTGCTCTTTAAACCAAAGTTCCCCAAACTTAGTTAACACAGTGCTCAGTATCTCAGTAATTGTTTACTTCTAAGAAAAAAAAAAATCTAATAGTCCTGTTTATTAAATGGTTAGGCCCAAATAACTTAATAAAATTAGTTTGTGCTAGGTCACAAAGACGTCCCTGTGTTTTCCTCAAAAATGCAAAATATGCTGCCTGAGTCTGCTGCAGTTCCCCAAGGTATCTCAGTGCATAGTCTGGGTACTGAAGCTTTGTACCACAAATATAATCAAACACACAATCAGACCACTTGTCATGAAACAAGTAACTCTGTAGTTTAACAGCAGCAACAAACAAAAAAGTAACTCTGAAAGTAAATATATTCACATATGAGAAAATGAATTTTAAATTCATATCCTACTTGAAAACCTACTTACATTGATGTTGGAGACTGGACAATCCTTTTTGGCAAATTTAAATGCAAAATATGATACTTGAAATATATCAGGTCTATGTTCCGGATCTGGTTCAAGCATGAACCCTGAAAGAATAGATAAAAATGTTAAGAAGTTTTATGAAACACACATTATACTACGTAGCAGCACACATTATAAGATAAAAAATACATATTTTCTGTTCCATTCTAAGATCAGTGATGATTCTAGCAAATTTTTTTTTTTTAAGTCAATAAATTTTTATTCAAGGAATTCCATGTTGTGATTTCTTCCACTGTCCATCAAGGTCCCTTTAGATCCTCTAAAGAGCTGGAGTCATCTTCAAGTTTGCTCTTTTTAATGAAACTGATCCAGTTGTCATGTCAGCCCACAATTACTTTGGCTTCGTCATCTCCTTTTAATATGGGTATACTGAGGAAGACTTCAAAATTCACCAAGAATCTCTGGGATTTAATTTATTCAACCAATTTACTTTAGGGTCCTTCATACTGTAGGTGGTGGGGATCTGCCTGGTTCTCAATCTGACACCCTCTCAACATGAATGAGTTCAAATCACATTCATTCCTAAGCGATCACTCAAGAATGGTACAGATGTGTGGAATATGCCAATACCTAAAGTAAAAAAGTAGATTATCTGGTTTTTCATAACGTTTAGTAACTGTCTTTTTCAAACTTTTAGCAACTGTCTTGTAGTTCCTTCCCACAGATCTAACAATAGTCCTGTGAGTAAAGTAAAACCACAGAGTTACTCTATGAGGCGTTTCCAACGACGTGCAGGCTACAGGAAAAGCCCCATTGGGACAGACCTCAACCGATTCTAGCAAACTTTATTCATACCTAAAGAAAATGCAGAAATTGCTATTTTATAAATAAAGCATTATCCCAAGCTAAGGGTAGATCAGTCACAGAACAGGCCTACACTACAAGTATGAATGACAAACATGATTATTGACAAAGTGACACAAAAGAAAAAGTGAGTTTAGTGAACACTGGGGAATTATTCAAGAAAGTTCCAAGGCGATAGTAAAAAGGTCCTTCAAGATAATTCTACTCAAAATAATTCTATTCAAAATAATTAATACCTGTATTAATTTTTAAGTGATCCTGAACCATTGAGAAAAGTCTCAATTGTGTACATTATAATCTAACAAAGTAGTAAAGGATTGGCACTGTCGTTTTCCAAAAACATGCTCTCTTCCCATACTGATGCTAACAACATTCACCATAGTTCTGTATCTTAACATGTTATCCATATCATGCTCAGAAATATGGGCAGAGTTTTATGGTTTTTATGAACAGATTTCAAAACAACCTTACAGCATTGCTTGAAATGCCTCATCTTTTTTCTACCAAAATGACCACTACCATTTGGTAGTACTCTATTTCTTGGATAATTTTTAATTCTAAATTTCACAAGGTTGACATTTATACTCAATTCCATAAGTAAAAGATTTTGTTAAGACATCTCAAAGTCTACCTATGCTTCATTAATTAACACTAAGTTGTTATAATGTTTAAATCCTTTTTAAACTACTTAAAATGTAAAATTTAAAGAATTGGATGATATTCTTAAGTTTACTAATAAAAAAAATGTATAGAGAGATCTAAGTATGTAAATGGGTTACATAAAATTATAAATCAAAATGAATTAAATCTTCCCTTCAAATTTAAGTAATATTTTGAATACAGAATGTGTGATACATCTCCAATGACATGATAAACTTATTTTGGCTAAAAACACAGTTATGTGGAAAGTTATAATTTACTTGAGAGATTCTGAGCTCAGTGTAAAATATACAAAAACTCTGAATGTAACTTGATTTTAGATATTTATAATGCTAACATATATCACTTATAAAATTGAATTTTTAATAATTTTTACCACCACTGCTAGATTGAAATAACTAAAAACATTTTAATTCTAATATTTGCTAGTTTATATTCAAACTCAATCCAGAAAAGATCTGAGGAATCCACAAAGTTTATTTTATCTTGATACCAACAGATATTAAATGTTTTTAACATAACACCCGTACACAAAATCGGGATAAATTTAAACATACTGTTAACAATAAATACTTATTCATTCATATAATTTTAAAAACCAAACAAATCACATGAAATCTACCTAATTCACAAACGTATAGTCCTATTTTTCTATTCTAACAAATTTATTTGGCTTTTAAAATCTAATTTCAACAATAGCTAATTATACATATTTAGTCCTATAAAGAACTTGAAGTGGCACACAAAACTAAGATTTTTTTTTTTAATATATAAAAAAATTAAAACTAACGGAAAAATAATGGCTTGGGGGTTGGACAGGATAATGAGGTAAGTTATAAACTACATATAATTTGGTCATAAATGCAGGCCCAAAATGTGCTCTCCATTTTTTAGCTGTCAATATAAACAGGGCAATATGATCCATTACATGAATCACAGTGTATCTAATACAAAAACAAATCAGGTGCTAAGGAAAAACACTATTCGTGATACTGAAAGCTAGAGAGCAAATTCTCCGTTGAGTCTTTCTAAAGATAGCTCACACAAAGTGAACAACATCCTTAGGAACAGCAGTGAGTGACACAGGGTCATGTTTTAAACACTCTATCAGTATGGACTAGTGGCCTAAATGCCATGCAGTAAAAGAAAGGGGTATGGTATAAGAATGTATTTCTTTTGTGGCCTGGCTTAATCCAAGAAAAACTTTTCAAGTATCCAGAGAGGAATTAAATGATAGTTCAGGCATTCCTGGTTTTTCTTTCTTTTGTTTTCTTTCATAGCAGTTGAGAAGCACCAAAGGAGAAAAAAATAAATTTGAGATTTTGTGTCCTAACCTATATGGGTATAAGTATTTCTGTCACTCAAGTTAAGCACACCAAATCCTCTAATGATTAGGTAGCTAGGTTGCAGGTAGAATTGATATTATCTTATAAGCAAACACAAAGACCTCGCATTCCCTGGGTCATGTTTTCATGTGGGAATATATCTGCTGGAGCCAGTTTAGTCTGCCTAACTGTACTGATCCCATTTATGTGACATAAAATCAACTCAAAAGGTCAGAACTACTATTTATTTTAATAAAGAAGAACAGAAAATATTAGAGTATATTAATATGGTAAAAGCAATATTTCATGAAATGTGATTCAGTTTACGTGTGTATATTCTGTGTGTGGTGTGTATACCAGGTCATAACTAAAATATATTTTTTATTAATATATTGAATCACAGTCACAAAAAGTTTGAAGCCACTGTGCTAGTGTAGTGCCACTATCTCTATTACTATAACCCATTCTCCCCCATGGGAAAGATAGTGATTTGTCATATTGCTAGACTAGAAAAAAGAATGAAGCAACTCCATCCGTCAATTTCTGGTGATCTTTCTTTCAGAACAGGTTATTTTAAGAACATACATGTTCTCTGCTGAGCCATATTTTGTAAGTAACCTGCCTCTGTGAAAGAAGTCAAAGGTTTTTCAGCATTGCCTATGACTGGATGTTTGTAAATCTGAAGGTTGCGAACACAGAAACAGGATCCTTTGGCTTTAGATCTAAATTTCATTCTGCAATTTGCTTTATCAATACTAAAAAGTTGACAGTTTTACCTGATGAGCTCCAGTGGACCATCTCTGACTTGGTTCTAAATTCAAAGTATGAAAAGATGAATAATCATACCTAAAACCCACAGGTAGAACTCTTGGCTACATTTTTATCTCTGAATATTTCTAAATTGAGTATTATCAGCAAGTTAAAAAAAGGAAAAAATCATGAAGGCATCTTTAAGCACTTAAGTAAGATAATATAATTTACTGAACTCTTCAAGAGAATGGGTTGCAAAATGTACTACTGGATTACTAAAGGATGTAGTCTAGAGTGCAGAGGTCTCACATTTAATACAGCTAAACACTGATTGAAGAAGGACAATTTCACTCAGGCATGGTGACTCTCGCCTGTAATCCCAACTACTTAGGAGGCTGAGGTGAGAGGGTGGCTTGAGCTTGGGAGTTCAAGGCTGCAGTGAGCTATGATCTCACCATTGCAAACCAGCACAGGCGACAGAAAGATCCTGCCTCTTTTTTTTTTAAAAAAAAAAAAAGGCAAGAAATTGACCCTTCAATTTTTATAGTTTTTCTAAAGCCATTTTCTCCTGCAAATAATTAAACCTCGAGTTTAGTGTTTTATTAATTGCTACTTCATGACAATAAAACTATATCATCTATTAACAAAATATGCTTTTGGGGAAAAGAAACGGATTAAGGAATCTATGTGTTCAGTTCACCTAAAAGTAGTATTTTGTGATTAGGTCTAAAAACAAACAAAAAAGGCAGAGAAGCTAGAATACACCCTTGTTAACTTAAAATGATCACGTGAATCATCACAAGACCATTACCACTGAATCTGATTCTATTATAAATATAAAATCAACTTCTTAAAACTTAGCCACAAGAAATAATATTCCTCTGCTCACTCAATTGTGTAAATCTTTCTATTGACACAAATACTACTAACACAACCTAAGAACACAAAATAGAGCTTCAGTACTGAAGGTAGTATATGACTAAACTACAACAATATTTCCTATTGATGTAGACACTGGTCTGAGGCAATTCAATTAATTATGCCTCTACTAATATTGCATAGAAAAGCACAAAATCCCTGCACATTCCAACAAAAATAGAAGCTAAAGGAGTTGCTGTTGCAGCAGTCAATTTATATTATGGTTTAGTCAAGGACCCAAGCCAAAAATTAAAGTAGTTACCATCAAGTTACACAAAACAAAGGATCCATGCCTGGGCCTAAATAAAGTTAAGCCACCATCTCTAATCTAATAGCTCAACAAATTTAAAAAGAAAATACTTTGGATAGAAGTCTCAAAACAATTTTTCTGCTTAAAATTTGTTTGGTTTTCCCTCCATAAAGACACATTGTTCTCTCCTACAAACTTCAAGTTATTACCCTTAATTTCCCTGAAATGGAAACATCCACTCTAATTTTCCAACCATAAATATTTCATGCATCAACATTATTTCTATCTGTTAACCTAGACATTGTTACAGAAACTTACATGTTACTATGTAACATGTGTCCTACATACCTTATTATACGGGTGCTGAAATGAAACTAAATTTAATAGCTGATAATATGTTCAATCATAACTAAAACATTAAGTAGCACTAAATAATGCCAGGATAATACATTTGGAATAGTCCTAGTAACTACCCCAAAAAGTTACTGATCAGAGCCCTCTCTCTACAGCTATTCAAGTAGTAACCCAGAGCCGATGATTGAAAAGCTCCAAGGAAACCCTATCTTAATCTTTCATTTCAAAGGTACTTTGAAGTAGCTGAGATTCTTTTTTTCAAAAATAATATAGGAGAAGAGGGTGGGTGAGGTTACAGAGGAAACAAGAATGGCCATGAATTGATAACCACTGAGGATGGGTGAGGTATTTTCATGAGGTACATGAAAATTTATTGCACTGCTCTGTCAGTATTTGTAGAAATTATTAAATTTCCATAATAAATTTGAATTTAGTAAAAACAAGCAAGCAAATTCCTGATTTCCCACAATATGGGTATTGAAATAAATTTAAACCTAATCGAACCAGTCACAGTGGCTCACACCTATAGTACCAGTTACTCAGGAAGATCAGAGCCCAGAAGGTTGAGACCAGTCTGGGCAACATAGCTAGATCCTGTCTCTAAATAAATAAATAAATAGCTGGGCATGGTGGCTCATGCCTATAATCCCAGCACTTTGGGAGGCTGAGGCAGGCAGATCACCGAGGTCAGGAGTTCAAGACCAGCCTGACCAACATGGTGAAACCCTATCTCTACTAAAAATATAAAAATTAGCCAGGCATGGTGGCATAGGCCCGTAGTCCCAGCTACTCAGGGAGCTGTGGCAGGAGAATCACTTGAACCTGGGAGGTGGAGGTTATAGTAAGTCAAGATCACACCACTGCTCTCCAGCCTGGATGACAGAGTGAGACATGGTCTCAAAAAATAAATAAATGATAATAAAAATAATAATAAATTTAGCCCCAATACATGAGCTCTTAAGAGCAAAGATAAAGAAACCATAAAGCAATAAGTGAGAAGACCCAAAAGTTTAAAAAAAAAAAAAAAACTTTTACCTGGTGTTCATCACTACCTTACTGTACAAAATAAGGAGATAAGAAAAATAATCTTAGTAGTTATATTTACAGTATATTCTAGAATAGATGATAATTTATGGTAAGCCTTTGGTAGATCCACCATTAACCCATAAAACCAAATTCCACTTCAAAGCATCCGAAGACATTTCTGCAGGGAAAGTATGCTCTAGTATCTGACAGCATGTCCTGCCCCTATCCAGAAATCAGAAATTAAGTTAGATAAAGAATTGTAATATTGATATCAAGAGTAGTTGTAGTGCTAGTTGTTACAGTAATAATGACTGCAGTATTAAAGGCTATCTCTTACTAAAAAGCACTTTTCGTCTTTCATTTAATTCTCACAATAACCCTAAGAGGTGGGTACTTTTTAAATGACCCTTTTAGAAATGGGAAGACTGAGATAAATGGAGGTGCTCAATGTTCCATACCAAACAGACAGAGCAGATGCAATCCAACACTGGCTCTAGAAGTCTTGCTCTTAATCTCTGCAATGTACTTCTTTAATCACCTTACAACACAGGAGCCAAAAGAAAACTGAGGCAGCCAGCTTTCGGTACATTATTCATAACCATTCAGTAATCCTGTTAGTTACGCTTCTCATTCTCCTCTAAATGGTTCTCTAAATTCAACTCTTGGATCTGGAAATGCAAAGTGCTTCTTTCCTCATCCCCCATGTTGGCCCCATTATTTGTCTATTGGGAGAGTTAACAAAAGCTAAGAAAAGTTCTAAACAACTGACTCCATTACTTTTAAGAGGAAAAGTCTCCAGGAAAGAAAGAACTTAATAGTTCAACTAAGCTTTATGAAGAGTAAATAATGGTAACTACTCTTGACCTAAATTAGTAACAAGAAAAAGTATATTCAAATTCTTAAGTAACCACAAACCATACAGTTTTAACAAAGATTTGTCAAAGCTATTTCATTTTCAAAATTTCTGTGTGCTATGAAATGGATGCAAATGGAACTAATACTAAAAAGATGTATATCTTCTTATGCTTTATCTTATGTTAATATATAGAAAAAACTACATTGCATGAATACACAACTGACAAAGGTTTCACATTCAAAAACTACGAGGGAAGCTAGGAATTCCTGATTTTCTGAATGTAGGATTTATTTAAAAGTAATATAAATCACTAACTACATATTATAAACACAGAGACACTGAAAAAAAATGGCAAAAGACACAAAAGGCCACATTTGAAAAATATAAAAAATAAAATCGCACGCCGGACATGGTGGTTCATGCCTGTAATCCCAACACTTTGGGAGACTGGTGGCAGGACTGCTCAAGGCCAGGAGTTTGAGACCAGCCTGGGTATACAGCAAGACTCAATCTCTACAAAAATTTAAAAAATAGCCCAGCACGGTGGCACATGTCTATAGTCCCAGCTACTCAGGAGGCTGAGGTGGGAGGATCGCTTGAGGCCAGGAATTTGAAGTTACAGTGAGCTTTGATCACACCACTGTACTCCAGCAGGGCCTGGGCCACAGAATGAGACCTTGTCTCTTAAAGAAGACAAAGCAAAAGAATAAAATTGTGAAGAATCTAAATATTTTCTAAAACACATTACATTACAGGTAAGTACATTATGGTTTTAAAATCTCTACTTTATTAAGCTTTTACTACTCAATACAGTATTTTAAAAGTCTATAAAGCCCTCTGACAGGAGGTAAAATACCAGAAATATAATTTCAGATTGACTTGAATGCTTTTATGTTTTTTCAACCTTTCGTTATTTTTGCCTAGCTCTCAGAAATAAGTCCAAAGACATAATACACGATCAAATTTATACTAGCAACGATAAAAACTAAAATTAGCACATTTACTGACAAATAAAGGAAGCATATAATATACTGTAATGCATCAATTAACTAGAGCCTAATTAGATCTAAAATTATCAGTAGTATTTATTTTTTCCATCTTACCATCACAAACACACATAACTCCACCACACTCCCACATACATACATATACACACACACAGAGAAAAAAAGAAAAACCTGATCACAAGAAAATAAGATCCTACTACTGTAAGCAAATTAAATCACAAGTCAGACTAGATTTCTTCTATGCTCCCTTTTTCTTTTGGGCATTTTTTATCTTTTTTGGAATTTTTACCCTTTTATGATTTACACAACCATCAAAAATTATAAAACTTAGACACATCAAATGAGTAACAAATATTTCTAATTTATGAGTTTGGGTTCATGAGTCTGGGGGAACTTTTAATGGTTTAAAGTTATATGGCAATGCATTAATCTTTTTTTAATACAGTTCCTGGGATTAAATGTCTAGCTTATAAATTCCATATTCTACTGTTATAATAATTTCACACTTATTTTCTTCAAGTACATTTGTTTTATTTTTATATTTAAATCTTTGATTTATCTGCAATTTTAGCATAAAGAATGAAATAGAGATCCAGTCTTATTTTTTGCCCACAAATGGCTGAGAAAGTTGAACTGCCATCTTCATCACACAAACCTCAAATATATTTCTATTTCTCTCTTTTCTATTCCAGTGAGCTGGAAGCTACAACAAGGGGCACTTGAATGCAGAAAACAAAGCAGAAACGCTAGACACACTTAATGCTAGACACACCCCATGTTAAGAGGAGCTGTTTAAATATTGTAGCTTCCTAATTTAATAGCTGGTGGTCCTTCCCCCTCCTCAAACCTTTTTAATAAATTTTACCGTGTAGATATATAAAAAGTTAAATTACAGTACCTACCAAAATGGAAGAAAAAAATCTTAAAGGAGGTTGGAAGAAAAACTCAAGTATTCTTTTGAAATCTAGGGCCTCTCGGAGACTAGCCCTTCTGACATTATCCCTTGGTGTGTGCTACTAAATCTTACTGAGGGGCTTAAAAACATCTATATTAATCAATAATTAGGTTGCTTTCATTCTTATGTAAGTTTTCAAACACCTTTTTAAATATTTTTTTCTTTACTATAGTTTCACAAAATTATAATATATGAAATACAGACTGGATTTAAGTAAAGGAATGTAAATAGTAGGCCCTAAGTACAGTATCCTACAATATTTTCATATATATTTCCGAATACTTACTTATTAAGCAATGTATGTTATAGGAGTAACGAGAATTGTCTGGGATTGTGAAGTTGCCATCACAGATAGCAACCTGACTCTCACCAAAAGGAAGAGTGAAGAAACAAAGTTTATAGAGTAGACATCCCAGTGCCTGTAAACCAAAGAAGCATGAATATCATTAGAGCTCAAGTAAGCAAGACATAAAAAGAGCCAAAAACTAAATGTTATTTTTAAAAAGGCATGTTTCTATACTGCAACAATCTTTTTACAAATTATTTCTCAAATTAATACATTTAATTTTTGAAAAGACATTTAACTATCATTTCCATGATCTTCTATCACATCTGTGGCTAGTTGGCCGAATTAATGGTATCATAAAAATTAGAAGTAGCTTGTTCCTTTTGGAAAAAAATTAAACTTTTATTTCTTCCACAGGAAGATACATACTTAGTACAAAACTAGCATATAACCAACAAAGTACAAGGCTTCTTCTTTAACAGTATTTTTACAAATTCAGTACAAAGCATGTTTAAAAGTTCTGGGATTCCAAATACGAATTAGCCAGCACAGTTAAACTTATCAGACAACCATCAGTAAATTCTTACTATTTACCAGGCACACCTCATTATTTTACACTATAAAAATTAAGTTCTCTGTTTCTAGATATAACCCTCCAACTTCTACTGCACATTATACTAATTATATTTGTATTTGTAACCTGGGTAATCTATATTAAAATTCAAAAGGGAAGTGCTCTGTCTGCTTAACCTGCATGGCTTCGTAACTATCAACGCACCAATAAATCTACTTGCTGACAATGAGGGCAAAACACCCTAAAATACCAATTGCATCTATAAAAGTAGCACAGGAAATTTCTAGCTAAGGTGCTAACAGCTTAAACTTGAGAAGGAATTTTTGTAAGTGATTTTTTGGCTCAAGAAATCATTACTTTTTCTCAAGAAGTGTCACCTACAGGCCTTAAGAGTGTAAGGGGTATTTCCAATTCTAACCAAATTGTATAAAATTATCCAAGTTAGTATACACTTACATCAGCAATACTGAAATTTAGCCTTATTATCTAAAAATTAGCAAGTCAGCTTTCCTTTGTTAAATTTTCTCCACGTATCAACTTAGTAAACTCAGCTAACAAGTGCACTAATTTTTATAATTATTATGAATTAATTTTTATAATTATTATAATAGACCTAAACACCCTTGGTGAGTTCAGTAACAGTAATTTACAAAAGATTGTTTTCAATATTGTAGCAATATTCCAATGAAAACAGTTCAAAAGCTCTAAAAATTTTAATGTTAGTTCAAAAAAATTACTGGGTTATTACATGACAAAATTATAAAGATTTGAAGTAGGGATAACCAGTTCTGTATGGTTACAAAAGATTTATGGATGCTTTTTTCTTGAAGGAAGATATTTTCAGCTCATATACAGCAAATTGAACATAAGGCTCCCTTAACAACACTTAAAAAAAAATGCTATTAATAGTATAATGTCCACATTAGATTACATCTTTCTTTGCACTGTCTAGATGATAGTCTAGGCAAAAAAAAAAATCTCCATTTTAGCCAGTTTTATTTTGTCAATCAAACTTTAGGAATTTGTCTTGTGTTAGAGTAAATATTGTAGGGTTCCCAGATAACAATTTTAGCAACACAAGTATACTTTAAAAATATATAAATCTAAATACTCTGCTTCGTAAAGTGTGAACACAATGAGGTATACTAATTTTTTCACATCAAAGGTATTTCCCTTTTTATCCATCTCAATGAGAATTGTACAAGAAACAGGAGGGAACCAGTGAATTTTCTAATTCACTAATTAATTTTCTAATTAGAAAATTCAGTGAATTTTCTAATACAATTTTCTAATTGTACAAGAAACAAGGGAACCAATGTACAAGGGAACCAATGAATTTTCTAATACTTTATAAAATCAGCATCCTAAATCTCAGGATAAAAATAACAACCTAAAACAAACTTCCAAGCAAAAAAAAATTTTTTTTAATAATTATTTTCTAAAATATGAAGTGCTAAATGTTTCAATATCATACTTCAATATCGTAACTCTGAATCAGTACTACGTTGAAGCAGGATGAAAGATATAGTTCTTGGCCAATGTGAATTGAATATTTTTTTCTGGATATTACTGAATTCACACCTAAAACGTAGCAAACTTGTGTTTCAGCTGAGCTAAGTAAGACAGCATAAAAATGGCATCATGGAAATTAAAATTCTCCCTCTTTCAAGCATACAAACACACTGTTCTCTAATTATGGGTTTTTTGTTTTTTTGGGTTTTTTTGTTTTTGGTTTTTTCCCATCACGGAATCTCTACTCCGTAACTAATATATAAACAGTACAAATTTTAAAAGTATCACTGACAATTTAGTATGCTACCTCACTGGCATACTAAGTCTGAGGAAAAAATAACCCAAAAAAGGATCTCCTCCTTTTTGTTAAGGTATTGGATAACAGTCATGTGCTCAGAGAATAATTTTTTTTCAATAAACCTTCAATGGCTTCAAAACGAAAAGTATGATGCCTATTGTTTATCTGCTATTGAAATACTCTTTTCAGGTAATATGGAACTCAACAGCAGCACAAAATTAGGCCAGAAAAGACCTCCATAATCACCTCTTCTAATACCTCGATTTTATAAATTAAGATCCAGTTTAATTTGCTTTCTACATTATAATAACCTTCATCTTTACTATAAGCCATTCAATGAGTCAAATGCTAATGCTGCAGAAAGCAAACGAAATTTGAGTTATGTAAGCTGGAGATCTAATTAACTAATAAACCTATTGTTAATTGATTAAATTGTATATATGATTTTTAAAAATTCATCTACCACAAGGAATTACTGCTTGGTGAATGTATAAATGTTATATAGATAAAAAGATATTAAAGATTTTTTTTAATAACCTTACAAAAGAATATTTGTCTCTCAAGACTTTGGTACCCCAACCCTAAAAGGGAGGAGGCCAGGAAAGGAAAACCAAGGAGACACTCATTTGGTTTCACACATTATGCCTGACAATTTTCTGAACATTATGTTTTCAAAACAAAATAAATCTGATATTTCTGTAAACCCTGGAACTATTTCCAAAGAATTTTATTCCTCAATTCCTAACATGGTCACTTGTGATAGATACAGCTAAATAACTGTTGAATTTAAATGAATTAACACTTAAAATACTCTTTTCCTAGTTTATTAAATACAATCACAAGCATATTTTACTTATAGAATATGTTCTAAAGAGATGTCTATATTCTAACAAAGTTCAACTACAAAGAAATATGGTCTATCTCAGTAATTATATCCAGATATACACAGGCTAAATGATAAAGACCTTCAATGTACAGAAGCTAGTCACTGGTATGTTTATACTGCAATTAGAAAAACATTTATTCATATCAATTTCCATTAAAAAGATCCTAAAATATTCCAGAAAATTATTGTATAATGACTTAATCGTTATGTCGAGCTTTTCTGTATTTTGATCAACCAAACTTCCACTCAAAAAAATGTTAACACTCATATATAATCTAAATCCTAAAAAAATACTGTGGTTAAAAAGTTACATTATACTGAAGTTTTTTATGTTTTCTGATACATAAGCTTTCCATCTCAGGATTGAGAAGATAAAATGTTCTAGTATTTTTCTTCTCCCGAATAAGAAGCTCTACTGTACATCACTCTCTTCCACTTATTACGAAATGCCGTTTGGGGAGCAGAGAAAAAAAAATCAACTGAACTCAGATTTTTTAATTTGGTTAGAGCAAGTTTCAGCCTTTCTTGGCCTTACCCAGATATCAGCCTTGGTGGTGATGGGTTTCCCTCCATAAAGGTTGATCATTTCAGGGGCTCTGTATGACAGAGTCGTATACCTGGCAGTAAATGAGTGAAATGGAGTGGAGATATATATATAAAAAAAAAAAAGACAGATAATACATTGTTTCTACATAAAACACTACAAAAAAAGTCTTTTAGGCTCAATAACATTATATAGAATAATACTCTTTGTAAAAAGCTCATTAAAAAACCCATCAAGGATTAAACAATACAAAGCATCTATATACATTTTTATTCAACAAATACAACAGTATTTCTAATAATCTAAAAACTTAATTTTCTTTATTAGAAAAATCTTAAATAATGACAATATATTGGAAACAGTTCTCCTTGAATTTCTTATGTGAAATAACACAATTTGGCTATTATAGTCTCCTTATCAAAATATTTTAGTCTATTAACTTAAAAGTAAAACTTCCACATTCTCAAAAACTTAATTTATATATTTACTAAGGAATTTATTTTTATGGACTTCATGTTACATTATAAAGTAATAGTGATGATGCAGTCTTAACACTTTCATTTTCTACATACTTTTCAATGAATAAAAAAGTCAATCCTTTTAACATTAAATAAGAAGTAAAAGCTTAAATGTTTTCAAATTTACTTCCTTGACACAGTAGTAAATCTCTTTTGAGTTTGTTTTTATAATTGTTTTAAAAGTAATCTAGTTGCTACAATCTAACTGCACTCATTAAGTATATTTCTAATACTGACTGCCATAATAAGCTATTTGAAATCAAAAGGTATTGTGAATAAATTTTTATCCACAGAAAACCCCCATATTTATTATGAACAGAACATTTTAAGGAAGCAGTGCTCAAATCTCATGTTAGAAATGATCAGAATATGAATGGATATCCTATATCATAGCATAATTTAAGATTCGGATTGAATGGTCTTACATTTTATTTTGCAAGAAGTATCTTAAAACTCAACATTCTACTATCTTACTTTTTCCAAATCACTCTGACTGGTGAGAGAGTCTGAATACTACTACTACGGAGGAATGACCTAAGAAACCAGAAATATAAACTTCACCAAAACAGGATTTTTATTCACTATACCCCCACCCCAGCATCAAGAAAGTGTTGGCCCTTAATAAATACTTGTCAATTGAATGAAGTTAGTCCATTAATTGAGCCACAAAGGACCAGAGAACCCCTTATGAACTTTTGTTCATCGCTAATAAAACATTCAATTGAACCTCATACTTCAGAAGGCAACAGCAAGAAATAAAATGTCTAGCAGGTCAGGGATGCTTGGACAGAAACCTATACAGCAGCCACTAAACATCACAATCCAATAAATTTTTTAAGTTATATACATATATTTTCCAATAAGCCAATTCAATACTTTATTATTCTTGTGTTCTTCAGGACTTTATATATTTACTAACGTGTTTGTTTTTACTAAATCTAACATAATCATCATAGGCTAAGTTTCCTGAGTAGTAGTATGTAGCATCGAAATCCACGGTATTATACAAATGCGCCAGAGTAAAATCAGCTGTATTTGAACTATTTCAAAATATTGCAGTTCAAATGATGGCTCTGACATAGTATTAGGCAATAGGGAATTTGTGAGGAAGTGATGAAAGGCAATTCAGAAAAGCTAACTATTTAGAAAGTCCTATTCTGAGAGATCTTTCTGCATTCTGTATCACTTTATTAAGATAACCTAAAATTTACAAACAGTTCCATTTTCTAAAAGTAGAAAGCAGAAAAGTCAGCAAAAGATTCTCACAGGGACTCTAGCAACCACGGAAAGCACAGGATTAAGAGAACATAAAGTAGACATGACATATTTCCATTCCAGAGCTTTCCAGTATATCATTACAAAGTAACAGTGATGATGCAGTCTTAACACTTTCATTTTCTACATAGTTTTCAGTGCATAAAAAAGTCAATTCTTTTAATATTAAATAAGAAGTAAAAGCTTAAATGTTTTCAAATAATTTAACTTTTTCTTAACAAGCACAAACCCTCAGTATCAGTAAAAACAAAGATGTTTAACTGAACTCAAGAATCATTTCAAACTCCCTTTAACAATTTCACTAATTACTACAGCTTATTTAACAAATTTCTTTCTAAATCTGTTCAAATGTAGACTAAAAAATCGGCATCTATGGCAAAACATATTTCCTACTGAGCTAGACCAGACATGAATTAATCAAATCTATGGCACAGAAATATTCCAAAGAAATCTATAAATGAAATACCTAAAATCTGTATTTACCAGTGCTGGTCAGAAACTCGAGTTAACTAAAATTACCATGACAAAAGTGCAATAAAGACAAATACTTACTTTTTAATTTCTTCTTCTACTATATTAACTCCATCTTTTTGAGGATTAAGAAATTTATTAGTGGCACTGCCAAAGTCACAAAGTACATAGTTCCCACCATCATTCAACAAAATATTTTCTACCTTAAGAAAAGAAAATCAATAATTAGTATTTTCAAAGTGAAAATTAACTTTTTACAACCATTGTAAAAAATGGTTATTTTTACAAACAGTTTATTTTTACACAATAAACACTGAACGGTCTATGCCATATACAAAAATATGTAAATATGTGTCTCATATATATATATATATACATATACACACACGCACAGTACACACAAACATATATAGACATAAGATACCCAAATTATGAGGAAGAACAAATGAACGGGAGCAAAAATATACGATGTCTACTGCTTCTCTTACTAAGAACAGAGAAATGCTTCTTCCACCCCAGGTTGATTTGTACAGGGGCAAAGAAACCCTAAATCCTCCCTAAAACTGCTTTTATGAAAGAGAAGAACTAGTACCTGGCAGAGTCCAGCTTCTCTCTTTTACTATACTTCCACTTTTCTCCTTTTCTGACACTTTTGCTTCTCTATAGGTATAATGGAAACCACTGGAATTCCATCTTTGACTTCCAGTACCATTTTTATTTAAAATACTACACTGAAAAATACAAATTTGACTTAATTTGGAGATCAGGGTTGTAGTAACTAAAATAAATTATTATAGTCAGTTTCTTGAATAGTAAAATGTGGGTTCAGAGCCCAATCTGCTACTAACTAGTATATGGACTCTTGGACAATCTGCTTAACCACTCTTGTGCTATAGTTTCTTTATGTAAAATACGGACAATTAGAATATGAATCTGCCATATGGAACTGTAGTGAACATTAAATGAGTTAAAATATGTAAAGTGCTTAGAACAGTCTGGAATATGGTAAGCACCTAATAAATTACTATTACATGTTTTTTCACAATGTCTTTTATTTTTATGATAGTCTTAGATAAATAATTCATTTATTTCCATTTCATCAAAATACTGTTTCATTATAACTTTTCTTCTATATTTCACGTTAGTATATTTTAAAAATTTGTACAAAATAAAGATTCAGAAAGAAATCTACTGAAAACATATATTTTTTACATATGTTTACACATATAAAAAGAACTAAGCATATAAAATATGGACAATACAAAATTATGCAGTTAAATGTTTTCTGAATTTAAAGAAGAGTCAGCTGAAGATATCAACTTTGTATGCAAAAAAATTAATTAACCATAATAGCACAAAAAATCGTATCAAATTATTAGGGGAAATGGAAAAGCTGCACATTCAAAAGAACTACACTGGTTATCCAAATTAAGGCCAGAGGCCTGCAGTTAAGCATTTCAATCCTGCCTTATCTCCTACTATCATAGGTTTTCTAGATGATATTTTCATGATTAACAGCCTATATTCTTAGTGACATTTTCTCTTTTATCTTACAAGCATTTTATAATAAAATTTCATAAAATTCTGTATAATCAGTCAGAACTGGGATTCAATCATTCAATATTTATTAAGACTCTGCTGTCTACCAGGCACTATTTTAATTGCTTAAACACATCACTAAAAATGAAAAAAAAAAAAAGTCTTGACCTTCATGGAGCTTACATTCTAGAGGGAGAAGGCAGAAAATAAATAACAGGAATAGTACATAAGCAAATTATACAGTATCACAGGAAGTAATACGGACTAATAAAAGGTACAGCAGGTTAGACTGCAGTGATAAATAAGGTGGCTCACAATGGGACTCACTGAGAAGGTGAACCTGAGCAGACCTGAAGGAGTGGAAAGGGTAGCCAGGGGACTATCTAGGCATAAAGCAATTCAGGAAGAGTAATTTTTGTAATCTCAGTGTTCTTGTGGGCATGAAAGAGGACACCTGTGGTGATAAATTATATCTCTAGCAATATAACGCCAGAATATTCAATATTCTTTGGGGACTTTTTTCAATGTAACAGGTGGGTACCAATATAAGAGGTCAAGAGTCCATAGACGATGAAGTGACCTTCAAGGTAACCACCACCAAATTAGAGAAAATAACAGAAAACTGTACTAAATTATAAAGAAATAGAAAAAGAGACCCACTTATGGTCTCCTCCAGTATCCCTTGAGAACACCTTGATGCTTAATATGGATTACAGGAAATAGGAGGAATGCTGGCTGAACTGAGAGACAATAGTGTGGACAGACGTTTAACAAATATCAGCGAAAATCACATTTCTGTTCAAACGAAACCTTTTAAAGAAGCCTACTATAGAAAACAGGGATGCAGGGTAGAAGGTACAAAATCTGCCTCCACAGCCACGCTAGAAATCCTCAAAGTCAAGTAAACCACAATTTCAAATCTACAGTCATTCTTTACATGACCTCAGGAAATGTAGAAGGGGAGGGAAAGACCAATCTCAAAGCTAGTTTTTACACTGATTTAGATGAAAATAGTCTAAGAACATTTTAACTCCAACTTATTACTTAATCCATAGGTATTCTAAAGTTCTTACCTTCAGATCCCGGTGAATTATTGGAGTCTTACACTGATGCAACCTTGCAACAGCTTCACAGGTATCACAGAATATCTGTAACACTTCTGGTTCTGTAAAACCTGTCTGTAGCTTCTTATTCATTTGATTCACTACCTGCCCAGCTAACCAAAAAAGTAATTTTGAGAGGACATATTTTTAATAAATAAAGTCTATTCACAAGCAAATTAAGAAATGTCTTTATGGCTTCAAGTAATGGGAAATTGGCTTTTTCATAATTCTCATGTAAGGATGCTTATTACATCATACTGTATTGATTCAATGACACATTTTTTCACATTTTACATTTCAGAGATCATCTTAAAATAAAGATCTTATTAATGCTATTGCCCACTTTTTTTTTTTTTTAACATCTCTGAGATCAAAGCATATCTTATAATACTGGTTTGAAGAAATAGTTATTCAACACCATACTATTTATGGGCTAAACAGTGGTGAACAAAAATAAGGTTTCTGTTATCACAGAATTACAGTCTAAAGGTAGAAGCAATCACACAAATAGATATATAGTAATAATTGTATATCATAACAATAATATGAAAGAACATATTATGTAAGAAACCTAAATTTAAATTGTGAAGGAAGATGAGGAAGAGAGGGTATCAGATCAGGTCTAAGGAAGTGATACTTGAGATTGAAGGATAATTAGGAATCAACCAGGCAGAGACTTGCGAGCACAATATACTAGCGATAGTGAGTACTATGTACAAATGCCATCAGTTTAGGAAAGAGCTTCATGACTTTGAATAACTCAAAGAAAGCCAGTATGCTTTCTTTACAACTTAATGAATGCTGATATGCTCTAGGAAGCAGAGGAGACAGTAAGGTGAGATGAGACTGGCAAGGAAGACAGGGATCAGCCATATCTTAGATTCTATCTTGAGAGCCAAAGAAACTTCCTCATCTGACTTTCAAAAAAATTTCATCTAGGGTTAGGGGAATCAAAAGAGTCAAAATGGGCTAAGGGGTAAAGTCTATCCAGATAAGAGATAATGGACCAAAATAATTGACTAAAATCAAATTGCCACACATATACAATTAAGCCCTGAGAAAGTTACATATTACAATGTAGAAATTGATAGTCTAATAATAATTCTTAATTATTAACAAAAGGTTAATCATCATTATATTTTAAGAATGCAAATAAATATGTGATTCACACAGAAATCAGTCTAATAAAAATTGAGTTTGGGAATTCAAAAAACATAAAGCATTCATTAACTTGCAACTTTCCTTTAACAAGGTTAGATAAATGAACATATGCTATTTTACAATCTATAAGAAGGTACATATAAACTTGTTCCTTTTATTATTACTGTCTAAGCAGTCTTGTCTTTTCTGAGAATATTTTTCTCATAGAATTTTAAAGCAAAAACAACATTAATTTTACCTATGAATCCCCAACTTTAAGAAAACTCAAGTGTAATTAGTTCAGATTATCTCAGAAGACTGGGGCACCTGACCATGCAGCAACTTCCACCACTCCCTCAGTTGGCAGACTCCCTGTCTTTTAATTAAACCCAGCCTTCTCTAGTTTAAGAATAATTAAACAAGATTTTTAAAAGTGCTTTCTTGGTATATATTCACATCCTTGAAATATCCTATCATAGCTAAAGAAATCATAACCTTGAACTCACTCCACCTCTTCCAAACTTCCAATGTTATAATAAGCAGAATAAACTTTAAACAAACTTTAATTCCCTTTCTTCTATCCAGAAACCTTTGAAGTAGAAATCCTCAATCACAAAAAAACAAGTCCCCAGAGAAAACCAAAAACTATATTTGGGCTGAATTTCAAATGAAATCAATAAAATTTCATTACTCAAAATCAGAGTTTTCTGAAAATTAAAGCTTAAAAGAAGGTATTCTAATAAAAAAGGTAAAAAGTCAGATTTCGAAATCAAACATTATATACTTAACGTCTTTTAAAATGAGATGCCCCACCTTTAAACAAGGGGCTTGCAACTTAGCTCACGCCCGACCAATCAGGTAGTAAAGAGAGCTCACTAAAACGCTCATTAGGCAAAATCAAGAGGTAAAGAAACAGCCAATCATCTATCGCCTGAGAGCACAGCGGGAGGGACAATGATCAGGATATAAACCCAGGCATTCGAGCCGGCTACCCTCTTTGGGTCCCCCCTCCCTTTGTATGGAAGCTCTGTTTTCACTCTATTAAATCTTGCAACTGCAAAATAAATAAATAAATAAATAAATAAATAAATAAATAAATAATGAGATGCCTACAACTCTCAATTCTTTCCATATTTCCCAAAGAGGTATCATTTCCAAAACAAAAGCTTTTTACAACTCTGCCAAATTTCATCACTAACATTAAAAAGTCAACATTTTTCTAACCTCTTAAAAAGGTGTTCAACAACCTCCGAGTACACATATTAACACTTAGTTTAAAAAAACCATAAATGCAACCTACTATTCCATTTAAATTTTGATAATGTGACTTTTTTTCTTTTTACAACTGTGATGGTTAATACTGTCAACTTGATTGGATTGAAGGATGCAAAGTACTGATTCTGGGTGTGTCTGTGAGGGTGTTGCCAAAGGAGATTAACATTTGAGTCAGTGGCCTGGGAAAGGCAGACCCACCCTTCATCTGGGTGGGCACCATCTAATCAGCTGCCAGCAGAGCCAGAATAAAAAGCAGGTAGAAGAACATGAAAAGACTACACTGGCTTAGCCTCCCAGCCTACATCTTTCTCCCATGCTGGATGCTTCCTGCCCTCGAACATCTCTCCAACTGCTTCAGCTTTTGCGGTCGGACTGGCTTCCTCGCTTCTCAGCTTACAGATGGCATATTGTGGGACCTTGTGATTGCATGAGTTAACACTCCTTAATAAGCTCCCCTTTATATGTATATCTATCCTATTAGTTCTGTCCCTCTAGAAAACCCTGACTAATACAACAAGATTATTCAATTTTATCTGTAGTAGATTGCATTACTGGTCGCAAACTTTCAAACTTGACTTTTTACAAGCCCTTTGTCATGTAACTCTGCAGTTTGTCCCAATAAATGAGGCAGATAAATTTCCTGCTCTTTGATTTGGGCTCAGTCATGTGCTTTTCTTTGGCCAACAGAAAAAGGTAAAAGCATCACTGTCCTAGTCCCAAGACTAGGCCTTAAGAGGCCTCATTTGCTTCTACATGCCTTCTTATGTTTCTATCATCCACATGAGAAAACCATCCCCAGGACAGCTTGCTAGTGCCAGAAAGAGGATGATGGACACGTGAAGCAGAGCTACTCCAACTAATTCCAGCTAACCACTGTCATGTGAGCAAGCCCTGCCAAAATCTGCAGTGTCACCCTACCAAGCTAAGTTGAAAGCAGCTGGCCCGTGGATACACAGGTGATAGATAATAAACGAATGTTATTTTATGCTATTGAATTTTGGGATTTTTTTAATTAAGCAAATACTAACAAATATATAATCCATGGGAACATACGTAGAATACTTCCTAAAAACAGACATTAAAAATCCATAAAGTTTCATAATTTATTCATGAATTATTCATAAAATAAATGTGACCAAAATACCAATAATGATTTCTAGAAGTCTGAGACCTAAAGTACATAATTTCTCTTTATATATTAGCAAATAAAGCAGTACCAAATCACAAATTTACAAAGACAAAAGATGATTACACTTGACAAAAGATGATTGTAAACACTGGATACCTAAAACCACGTAAGGGGATATGAGCTATATAACATATTCTTTTACTCTCTATACAGTTTTATCCCTACATAATAACCAATGTCTCTGAACTATATACATTATATAGGTTCCCTTACTAAAATACCTTGTTAAACAATTTTATGTAATGCAATTAGCTGTTACAGAGGAAGTAAGGGAAGAGTATTTAGTCCTCTATTTTTTGTCCCTCCAAATCACTCCTTTCCCATGGGAGAAAAAGGAACTTATCTAATTGATTCATCTGAAAAATGAGATTGCATATACTCCATTGAGAAAATTGAGCATACTCCATTCAGGCCTTCTGGATTTCTTCTATTAAGAAATAATTGCCCACTTAGAGGGTACAACTGATCTGCAATACATATAGTAACATTAGCAGGTAAAACATCTGAAGAAAACTTTGAACAAAAAAAGAGAAAGCATGGTTTGGCTGTGTCCCCACCCAAAGCTCATCTTGAAATCCCACATGTTGTGAGAGGGACCCATTCGGAGGTAACTGAAACATGGGGGCAAGTCTTTCCTGTGCTGTTCTCACGATGGTGAGTAAGTCTCACGAGATCTGATGGTTTTAAAAAAGGATGTTCCCCTGCACAAACCCTCTCTCTTTATCTGCTGCCATCCATGAAAGATATGACTTGCTCCTCCTTGCCTTCCACCATGATTGTGAGGCTTCCCCAGCCACGTGGAACTGTAAGTCCAATTAAACCTTTTTCTTTTGTAAATTGCCCTGCGTTGAGTATGTCTTTATCAGCAGCAAGAAAACGGACTAATACAGCAAGGAAAAGAAAAAAAAAAAAAACTAAAATTAGCTGGGCACAGTGGTTCTGCCCTTAATCCCAACACTTTGGGAGGCTGAGGTGGGAGGACTGCTTGAGGCCAGGAGTTCCAGACTACCCTGGGCTACAAAGTGAGATCCCGTTTCTATAAAAAATTAAGAATTAAAAAACTGGCCGGGCATGGCCATGTGCACCTCTAATCCCAACTACTCAAGAGGCTAAGGCAGAAGGATCACTTGAGTCCAGAAGTTTGACGTTGGAATCGTATGGATGACAGAGTGAGACCTTGTCTCAAAAAGAAAGAAAGAAGGGTCAGGGGTGCAAAGAAAAAAAAATGGACACACTGAAATTAATATCCACAGACAACAAAAGATTTGCAGCTAAAACAAGAACAAGGTGTATCTTTTTCCCCAATATCCCTACATGGTAACAAGGTGTATTTCAGCAAAGAACACTGAGAGAACAAAAAAGAGTCAAGCTGGGAGTGGTGGCTCACACCTATAATCCCAGCATTCTAGGAGGCCGAGGCAGTGGATTACTTGAAGTTAGGAGTTCAAGACCAGCCTGGCCAACAAGGCAAAACCCTGTCTCTACTAAAAATACAAAAATTACTCAGCTGTGGTGGTGCACACCTGCAATCCCAGCTACTCAAGAGGCTAAGGCATGAATGAGAATCGCTTGAACCCAGGAGGCAGAGGTTGAAGTAAGCTGAGATGGCGCTATGCACCCTCTAGCTTGGGTGACAGGGTAAGACTATGTCTCAAAAAAAAAAAAAAAGTCCTTGGAAATTAAAAATAATATAATAGGAATACAAAATTCTATAAGAGAGCTAAAAGATACAGAGGAATGCTTCCAACAAAAGAGGAATAAAGACAATAAGAAAGAAAAGAAAATCAGAGGATTATCAATCTAGAAAGCTCAAAACATTTGAAAGAAAATGAGAAGTCCAGTAAGAGACAACTGAAAATGGAAGACAAAAACTCCACAAAAAGCATACCAAAAACAACAAACACTAAGGCGCATATATCTTGAAATTTCAATACGTCGTAGATAAAGGAAAGATTCAAACTAAAAGTGTCCATGGAGAAAAGATGTCACATGAAAAAATTAAGCAATCACAATAACATCAATTTCTCAACAACACTAAGAAAAAAGTGGAATGATATCTTCAAAATTCTGGATCAAAATTATTTCCAACCCATAATGTTTTAGCCAGCCAAAGTAACGATCAATGTGGGCACTGAATAAAAATATGTTTATATATGCAAGGTTTCAAAAATGCTTCTCCCAAAAATCCAGTCAGAAAGCTACTGAAAAACACACTCCTCCAAATTAGGGAGTGAAAACAAAGGTGTGGCGTAAGTAGCAGGGAATCCAAGACAGAAGGGAGGCAAAGGGAATTTCCAGAAGGACCGCTAACCGCTGTTCAAAATTAAGCACAATGATGTCTCCCCAAGAGGTGTTTTTAAAGGAAGAAAAAATGAAATCAACACAAATATTAAAATGTCTAAACATACTGCATAATTATTTGTATGTCTATTGGAAAATGTGGGACTAAAATATTAATATACATGAAGAAAATTAGGCAAATGAAAAACGAGATAATTACTAACTCCAGAAAAACAAAAAGTATAAGAAAATACAATTACAGACACCATTAAATGGGAAAATAAACACTGATTTGGTCCAAAACCTGAGCATATCTATACTAGAAGTAAAATTCCTATCTTTTCTTAGAGACAATATCTAAAACATCAAATCAAAAATAGCACTAGAAAATTTTCTTTCAAGAGCCTCCTCATGCACAGAATTACATACACACTTCCCTTGATTTTCTAAGTCCTTTCTCTTTTGTACCCTTAGGAAATCACTAAAATTATTGATTCTCTTTTATATAATGCAGTGTAGAAATATGGAAGTAAATATAAGAAACATCTCAAATATTTTAAAGGGACTACCTCTGAGGAGGGATGAGGCAGAAAGGTACTGATTTAGCCACAGCTTAAGAGAACTATTTGACTTTTTTTATTTTTTATTTTTTTGAGACAAGAGTCTCGCTCTGTGCCCAGGCTGGAGTGCAGTGGCGCAATCTCGGCTCACTGAAAGCTCCACCTCCTGGGTTCACGTCATTCTCCTGCCTCAGTCTCCTGAGCAGCTGGGAATACAGGTGCCCACCACCACGCTCAGCTAATTTTTTTCTTCTTTTTTTTTTTTGTATTTTTAGTAGAGACGGGCTTTCACCGTGTTAGCCAGGATGGTCTCGATCTCCTGACCTTGTGATCCGCCCGCCTCAGCCTCTCAAAGTGGTGGGATTACAGGCGTGAGCCACCGTGCCCAGTCAACTATTTGACTTTTTAAACCATATACATAAATTACTTTGATAAAAATTTTAAATTTCATATACCGCAGAGCTTGATGATTTGAATACCGGATAACTATTTCTAAAAAATTTTTAAAACAAAATAATGCATTCCTCAAAAAACAGATATGATCACTCTCTTACTTTAAAATAAAATTTGCCCCTAAAACTTGAAGGTCATTTGATTCCCCTTTTAAGATGTCTTCTAAGTGACAATTAAATTTATCCAGGGTTATGATTATGCTTGATTCAAATATCTTTTAAAAGTCACAAGTAGTCAAGGGCTATGAGTAAACTCTAATCTAACTAAGAATTAGCACTATAAATGCTAGAATTCAGGAAAATGGGGTAGAAAAAAATGAGTATCTTCTCCTAAAAGAGATCACAGTACAGTACTTTATAGTAGAGAAGATATAAAGAAAAAACGATCGAGAAACATCTGTTTGTTAAATATTGTGTATGGAAATAAGTTACAAATACATCACAGTAGGCATTGTTACATTGATTCACTTCATTTCCCCCATCCTTCCCTCCTTAAAATACTGCAGTAAACAAGATCATACTCTCTCCAACATCATCATCATATCCCTCTTCCTCCTCAACCTTCAGGAAACTGTAAGAGTTCCTGGGATAGTAATTAACAATCATTACTGTCTGAAGAGAATGTAAATGTAAACCAGGGCTCCCTAGAACCACAACTGCCAAATATGGCTTGCAAATTTGTAGGAAATAGAATGTTGCCTCCACCTTTCCACACATTAAAATTTTAAGGCTGGGCACAGTGGCTCACACCTGTAATCCCAGCACTTTGGGAGGCCATGGCGGGCAGATCACGAGGTCAGGAGATCGAGACCATCCTGGCTAACACGGTGAAGCCCTGTCTCTACCAAAAATACAAAACATTAGCGGAGCGTGGTGGCGGGCGCCTGTAGTCCCAGCTACTCGGGAGGCTGAGGCAGGAGAATGGTGTGAACCCGGGAGGCAGAGCTTGCAGTGAGCCGAGATCACGCCACTACACTCCAACTAGGGTGACAGAGTGGGACTCCATCTCAAAAAAAAAAAAAATTAAATGTCAGGAATTTTTTTATGATGATGATGATGATGATGAAGGTATGCTACACAAGTATTTATTTTAAAATATCACATTAGGCCCAAATAAAATGTGATTTTCTATATTCTAATGTTTACAAACAACACCAAGAGACTACAAAAAACAGGTTTATATAGATCAAAATGCATCCTCTAAATTTGTTATATTTAATGTTTACAATAACATAGTAGAGCACTGGAAAAATCTTACAACATTAATATTGACACATTATGCTCTTCTTGGTTGGATTTCAAAAGAATTCTATGGAGAGCAAGAACTGTAACTCTGTACCTGCTTAGATTTCCTATTTTAAACTCAATATCACTTTTCTCATTCTGCATTTACATCATGCTCATATCATAATTGCAGCAACTATGACTAGGTTTTAAATAATGTTTTAACAATATTCCTAATGAGATAATGAAAAGTAAGATTACAATAAGTGACTAGAATAAGTTAGCAGCTGCCCTGGAAACAACAAAGGTATCTAGTAACCCATTTAAGGATAAATTTTTTATTATAATACAAATGCAAAAAATACTTACCTCGACAATATTCCATTAAGATAAGGACTTCCCATACATTATCACTAATTGAATTAACAGCACAGTCCAAATAACCCACAATATTTTTGTGACCAGATAGCTCTTTCTGGAAAGAAAAAAAAATGAAAACTGGAAAATGCACATTTTAGAGGTATAGAATTAGCAATGGTTTGAAGCCTAAATTAATGTAAAGAATTTGAAAAGGCAAGAATTAAACATGAGTATAGAATCTAACATATTTCAACCAAGCAAAGGCTTCTATGGTTTCAATAAAAAGTTTACCTGCATGTGACTGTAATTTTCTAACAGACAAATATGAAAATTATTTTTAAATTCAACTCTGAAAATGGTTCATTCAAAAGTAATAGTTCCCAAAAGTGTACAAAGAACTTGAGAATAAAATATTAGAACTTTTATATTTGATTTTATCTAAAAAATAAAATAACTAAGCTCCAATAACAATTACATTCTCATTTGTTGTGCCTGCAACATATTGCAATTTACGTGTAGCTATTACATGAATTTATAGATACATGCACTTTTAACTAAATAACCTATAAAAATGACCAAGTGGCTAAAAAGATTTCTAAAATGAAACCATAAAGATAATGCTAATACAAATATACGGAAATAAGAAAATGAAAAATCTGAAACTTTTGCGTCTTTAACAAGATAGTCATCAGTATACAATGAGGTTAAGAATAATAATCTACTCTGTTCTACTGGGAAATTTAAAAACAACTATTAAAAATATTATTTAAAATAAATTTACATCAACTATCATTAGCAACAAACCTAGTTTTAACTATGCAACGTAATTTGAAATAAGGGCTAAGGGCTACTGAACATGGGAATTATTTATAAGGAAGTATACATAATGGGGATGAATCATCAAAAAAGTTGACAGACCACCATTCTAAAAAACTAATCTCCCTAAAAAAATGTTCAAAACCATAAGATTTGAGTGTGCTGCTCCTCATATATCATATCTCTCAAAATCATACAAATTCTATCGAAAGGAAGAGAGAAGTCTTGTACAATAGTACAAGACTATAATATCTCTACTCAAGTTAGAGAACTTAGTCTAAGCTTCTCCATTATCTTGAGGTAAATCTTTTTACCCTTCTAGCTAATAGCCTTACTTTTAAAAAAATAAATGCCAAAGCCTAGTCATCTCGAATCTAGCTAAGGAATACAGAAAATAAAAGCAGAATTCAAAAAAGCCAGATTGTGCAAATGCACTTATTTGCTAACAAAAGGGATTGTAATACGTGTTAGTAAAGACGTTGATACAAAATAAGAAATCCCCCTCCTAGCAGGTGGATAAGTAGGACTGACATTAATAACAAGTGTTGGCAATAACATGGAAAAAGACTTTCCTTAGAACATAAAATGGTTCAGCTGCCATGGAAAATAGTCAACATAAACTACATATGACCCAGCAATTCCACTCGTAGGTATATACCCAAAACAACTGAAACCAGGCACTCAAGCAAATAGATGTATGCATATATTCATGGCAGTATTAATTATAATACCCAAAAGACAGAAACAGCCCAAATGCTCATCAAATAATTTTTTTAAACTGCATCAACAGATGAATGATAAATTGTGTTACAGTCATATAACGGGATATTATTCAGCCATAAAAAATAAAAATACTATAATTATGTGAATTTCACTTCAACAATCTTCAAATATACATATGCACCTGTGTGTGTGTTTGTGTGTAAGCACTCAAAAAACCATGAAGAAAGAGAAAAGAAGATGAAGAGGAGGGGAGAAATGAGAGGACAAGGAATAAGAACAAGAACAAGAAACCATCCAGAGCACTGAGCATATGCAATCCTAGAAAAGAAGGAAATTTTTATTCTACTTTTTTTTTTTTTTTTTACTACTTAGGCTAGTTAAGTTAGAGTCACTGAAGTTTTTAATGGCCTATGAAAATATTTTTCACTTTTCCTAATATTTAAAAAGAAGTTTTCCCTTGTTGAAAGATGTCTTGCTATTAGAGTTCACAGAAAAACAATCAACGTTAGTGAAAAAGAAAACTAATTGCTGTTTGTGAATGAAAACACATACAGTGAATGCACAGGAACAGTAAACACAGAATTCAGACAGTAGGATTTTTTTGGATAAGGAGAATAGCAAAGGTGTACCTCATTTTATTGTGCTACATTTTTTAAAGTGGTACTTTGCTTTATTATGCTCTGCAGATACTGCATTTTATACAAATTAAAGGTTTGTGGCAATCCTGCACAGAGCAAGTTTATAGGCACCATTTTCCCAATAGCATGTGCTCAGTTTGTGTCTGTCATATTTTGGTAATCCTCACACTATTTCAAACTTTGCCATTATTATAACAACAGTTATGATAATCTGTGATCAGTGATGGTTGATATTATTATTCTAATTGTTTCATGGCAACACAAACTGTGGCCATATAACACAGTGAACTTCATCAATAAATGTTATATGTGTTCTAACTGTTTCACCGGCTAGCCATTCCTCAGGCTCCCTCTCCTTGAGGTTTCCTACGTCATAAAATACAACAATACTGAAGAGTCCCACAACTCTTGTTTTAATCAAAAGCTAGAAATAGTTAAGCTTAGTGAGAAAGGCACATGGAAAGCCAAAGAAGGGCAACATCTAAGCCTTTTATTATACCAGTCAGCCAAATTTTGAATGCAACGGAAAAATTCTTGAAGGAAGTTAAAAGTGCTACTCCCATGGACACACAAATGGTAAAAAAGCAAAACAGCCTCATTGCTGACATGAAGAAAGTTTCAATGGTCTAGACAGAAGATCAAGCCAACCGCTACATTCCCTAAAGCCAAAGCTTTAACCTAGAGCAATGCCCCAACTGCCTTCAACTCTATCAAGGCTGAAGAAGTAAGGAAAGCTGCAGAAGAACAGTTTGAAGCTAGCAGAGGTTCGTTCATGAGGTTTAAGGAAAGAAGCCATTTCCAGCACACATTAAGTACAAAGTAAAGCAGGAAATGCAACAAGTTATTCAGAAGATTTACCTAAGATAATTGACGAAGGAGGCTACACTAAACAATAGATTTTCAATGTAGACAAAACAGCCTTCTATTGGAAGAAGATGCCATCTAGGAATTTTAGAGCTAAAGAGAAGAAATCCATGCCTGGCTTGAAAGTTTCAAAGGACAGGCTAACTCTCTTGTTAAGGGCAAATCAAACTGCTAGGCCCTAAAGAACTACGGTAAACCTACTCTGTTCTCTATAAATAAAACAACAAAGCCTGAATGACATCACGTCTGTTTCCAGCATGGTTTACTGAATATTTTAAGCCCACTGTTGAAATCTACTGCTCAGAAAAAAAGATTCCTTTCAAAATATTACTGCTCACTGACAATGTACCTAGTCACCCATGAGCTCTGATGGAAATGTACAAAAAAATTAATACTGATGGCTGGGTGCGGTGGCTCTTGCCTATAATCCTAGCACTCTGGGAGTCCAAGTGGGACAGATAACTTAAGCTCAGGAGTTCACGACCAGCCTGAGCAACATGGTGAAACCCCATCTCTACTAAAAATACAAAAAATTAGCCAGGTGTGGTGGCACCTGCCTATGGCCCCAGCTCCTCAGGAGGCTCGGGCATTAGAATCACTTGAACCCAGGAAGCTAAGGTTGCAGTGAGCCAAGATCACACGATCACACTGCAGCCCTGGACAACAGAGCAAGACTTCATCTCAAAAAAAAAAAAAAAAAGAAAGAAATTAATATTGTTTTCATGCCTGCTAACACAACATCCATTCTGCAGCCCATGAGTTAAGGAGTAATTTTAACTTTCAAGTCTTATTATTAAAAAATATGTTTCTTGGCCGGGCGCGGTGGCTCACGCCTGTAATCCCAGCACTTTGGGAGGCCGAGGCGGGCAGATCACAAGGTCAGCAGATCGAGACCACGGTGAAACCCCGTCTCTACTAAAAATACAAAAAATTAGCCGGGCGCAGTTGTGGGCGCCTGTAGTCCCAGCTACTCGGGAGGCTGAGGCAGGAGAATGGCGTGAACCCGGGAGGCGGAGTTTGCAGTGAGCCAAGATCGCGTCACTGCACTCCAGCCTGGGTGACAGAGCGAGACTCCGTCTAAAAAAAAAAAAAAAAAAAAAAAAAAAATATGTTTCTTAAGACTATAGCTGCCATAAATAACGACTTATCTGATGGATCTGGGCAAAGTATATTAAAAACCTTCTGGAAAGGATTCACTATTTTAGATGCCATTACAAACATTCGTGATTCATAGGAGGAAGTCAAAATATCAACATTAACAAGAGTTTGGAAGAGGCTGATTCCAATCCTCACGGATGATGCTGAGTAACTCATGACTTCAGTGAAGGAAGTCACTGCAGACATGGTAGAAACAGAAAAAAAAAAAAAAAAAAAAAAAAAAAACTAGAATTAAGTGGAGCCTGAAGATCTGACTGAATTGCTGTGAAATGAGGAGCTGCTTCTTATGAATGAGCAAAGACAGTGGTCTCTTGAGATGGAATCTACTTCCTGGTGAAGATACTGAGAACACTGCTGAAATAACAACAAAGGATTTAAGAATATTACACAAACATGGTTGACAAAGCAGTGGCAAGATTTGACAGGATTGCCTCCAATTCTGAAAGAAGTCCTACTGTGAATAAAGTGCTATCAACCAGTATTGCATGCTACAGAAAAAGCTTTCATGAAAGGAAAAGTCAACTGATGTGGCAAACTTCACTGCTGTTTAAAATCCACTTACAACCAGTGTTCCATTATTGGAACGCTAAGCATGTGGGAGTTATTTATATCCTACTGCTCAAGGTCATTGCCAAGGTCTGATTTTTCACTCATGCAAAAATTCAAAAAATTGCAACCTCCAGCATAAATGGGTTAAGAAATTTCCACAGCTACCCCGCCCCTTCCTTCAGCAACCACTACCCTGATCAGTCAGCAGCCTTCAACATCAAAGCAAGACCCTCTACCAGTAAAAAGAATGCACTTTGCTGAAGGCTCCAGTGATCATCAGTTGTTTTTTAAGAACATTTTTAAATTAAGGCATATACCATTTTTAAGGCATAATGCTATTGTACATTTTATAGACTACAGTGTAGTGTTGTGGTGTTATGATACTATATTGGTTTTTGTCCACAGTTCCTGCTTCATAACTCCCAAAGCCCTAGTCACAGTCTTTTGTCATAATGTTGGGTGTCTTAGGCCCCAGGAAGTAGAAACTTTCTCCTGCCCTCCTTTTACCTGCCCCAAGGCAGGACTCTAATCATTCCCCACCTTTCTGATTGTGGGTCTTAAAACCCTCCCCAGGGAGAGTCCTGCACTATACCCTAGGGGAAGGAATGCTGACATCATGAAGCTTCCATAAAAACTCAAGAGGACTGGGTTCAGGGAGCTTCCAGACAGCTGAATATTTGAGGGTTCCTGGAGGGAGATGTTCCCAGGGAGGCAAAGAAGCTCTGTACCCCTTCCTCCATACCTCATACTCTATGCATCACTTCATTTGTACCCTTTGCAATATCCTTTAAAATACACCACTAATCATAAGTGTTTCCCTGAGTACTGTGAGCCACTTCAGCCACTTCAGCCAATTAATAGAACCCAAAGAGCAGGTGGTAGGAACTGCAACTTTAAGTTAGAAGGTGAAGGCTGGAAGACTCAGCAAGTCTGCTCTTCCATCTTCTCCTTCCTGCTTTATTCTAGCCATGCTGGCAGCTGATTAGATGGTGCCCACGCAGACTGAGGATGGGTCTGCTCTTGTGCTACCTGGAGAATGCAATAAGGAGATACTCTTAAGCAGGGAGCCTCTTTACCCCTAGGGCTGACTCTGGAACTGTGTGAGGTGCTGCTGGATTCTCCTGGACACTTGGACAGTGCACCATGAACAGCTCTTAATTAACCAACAAGGAGTTACTTGGTTTACAGACAGCAGTTCCAAAGTGAATGGACAACATTCCGTTTGGATGGCTGCTACTTTGATCAAAGAAGGTAAAAACGTATCAGCAAGGTGGGCTGAATTGCATGCAGTTTTTTTTTTTTTACTTTTTATTTTTTTTAACAGTAATGGCAGAACTGAACAGTGGTGGAAGCCCCTGTGTTTGAGTTTTTTTACTGACTCACAGGCAGTGATCAGTGGCCTGGCCACACAACCTATGGAAATTTGAGGGGTGCATTAAAGTAGAACAAGTCAGTGCCCATCAGAAGAACTCCCTTCCAGATTGGGAAAGTGACTGGAATCAGCAAGCATGTCTGTCCGTGTGCTCCCTGGAGGTGGCCACCTGGGTCCATGAAATGAGCGCACATAGGGGTACTGCAGCAGTGCAGACATAGGATGAATAAAGACGTGTTCTTTTCGCACCCTCACAGGCACATAATGCCAGTAAGAACTGTTCTAAGTGTCAGCAAGACAGACAGAGACTACCAATGGCTATGGATGAGATTCCCTGATAGGAAGGCCCTCAACATAGCTGGCAAGTGAGACTGATGCTGGTAGCCCTCGGGGGGCTATGAATAGGTCTTGACAGGAACAGACATTGACTCTGGACTGGGCTTTGCTTATGCAATGGAAGATAAAAATGCTCAGAATGCCATTTAAAAAAAACAAAAACAAACAAACAAACAAAAACCAAAACAAAAGAGAGTGTATAGAGTTAGAGGGCCAACTATCATTTCTTCAGACCAAGGAACACAATGTACAGTCCATAATGTGCAACAATGGGGCAGAGAAAGGTCCTCCACAGAGTAATAGTTTGATATAGAAGAATAGGGAACTGAAACATTGGTCTAAAATGGGGAGATAAAAACTGTAACCATAACTGTTGTATGCACTGAGAAGCCAAAAAAATTGTGTGACTTGCTTTCTTGCAACATTCACTTTATTGCAGTGGTCTGGGACCAAACTCGTATCTCCAAGGTATGCCTATACAGAGATACAGTTGAGGAGGAACACACAGAAGGCTCCAATAGTATTTGCAGAGTTTAATTTCTGAGATGGTGAGATGGTGAACAAGCTTGGTGTTTACTATATAACTCTGTAAATATTTCTATCCTGAAAATACTCTACAATTAAAATGTATTTAAGAACAAAAAAGAAAGAAAGCAGAGTAGCTTTAAAGTATACAAGATGATGTGTGTAGGTTACATGCAAATACTACATTTTACATAAGGGCCTTGAGCATTCTCAGATTTGAGCATCTGCAGAGTTTGGTATCTGCAGTGGGTCCTGGCACCAAATCCCCATAGAAGACCAAGGGACGACTATACTACAAATCACCAGATTATCTTTTAATTTAATGATCTTTAAATATTATTATAAATAAGCAGCTTGCCTAATAGCTGGTTAATGTTATAGAAAACAAAACAGGCCAGGTACGGTGGCTCACACCTGTAATCCCAACAGTTTGGGAAACCAAGGCAAGCAGATCACTTGAGGTCAGGAGTCCAAGTCCAGCCTGCCCAAGATGACGAAACCCTGTCTCTACTAAAAGTACAAAAATTAGCCAGGTATGGTGATGGGCACCTGTAATCCTGGCTACTTGGGAGTCTGAGGCATGAGAATTGCTTGAACCTGGGAAGTAGAGGTTGCAGCAAGCTGAGATCATGCCACTGCACTCCAGCCTGGGCGACAGAGCAAGACTCAATCTCAAGGAAAAAAAAAAAAAAACTTGCCAAATTTCTGAAAGAGAATTACTCTTTCACTTACCATAATTGTAATTTCCCGTTTACAAACATTGAGGTCTGGCACGTTATTGACATACATTCGCTTCAATGCACATCGGATTCCACCGTGAGTACGCACGAGGAAAACTGTGGAGAATCCACCTAGAAAAACAAAGCACCAATTAATTTAAAAGAAACAGAAACAAATGCCAAAATCATGTAATATAATTGTAGAGCTTAATATTGGACGAAAATAAACAATGACTGTACCCAAGACAAAAATAAGTGCAATAAGTCACTAGTAGATTAAATGCCAAAACACTGGCTTCCTAAATCAATCATGAAGTAGTACTTAGAGGAAAACATGCTTCTCGAATAAAAATGCTTCCTCTTAAAGGCTAAAATTTCACCTTTTGCACTAGACTACCTCTTATGTAGTATAATGAAAAATGTCACAATTATGTTACTAAAGTTTGGTATATACAAGTGATTGCCTACGTATTAGAATGTCCCTCTTAGATAACAAAACACTGATGTTATTTAATATGAGACATCAATGGGATCAGATAGGTGCTTCCCTCCTCCAGTTCCAGAAGATGAACCAATACTGTTCTAAGCCCATCACAGGAATCTCATTTCCCCTTATCAGTAACTGATTTAGGATTGGGTATGTAACTAGTTCTCGCTAATTGAACATGTAAAGTCAGCCCGAGTTGCAGGGAATGATTTTCCACAGATAAAAGAGACTGGTAGAGAAGGCCCTGCTCTTTTGCTTTTTAATTTTGTTGCCTATGATGTTTACACCTAAAGAAGTCATCTATGGCCACAATGGAAGAAAGAATCAGAAAGAAAATGATCCAAAACACAGACATTTGGCTTACTGAATCAGCCAACTCTGGAACCACCTCCCTCTAGAACTCACATAGTAAATGTCTTCATTACTTAAGCCATGGTTTACACGGAAATTCTGGTTTTGGGGTTTTTTTGGTTTTTGTTTGTGAGAGGGAGTTTCACTCTTGTTGCCCAAGCTGGAGTGCAGTGGCACAATCTCGGCTCACCACAACCTCCGCCTCCCAGGTTCAAGCGACTCTTCTGCCTCAGCCTCCCAAGTAGCTGGGATTACAGCTGCCTGCCACCACACCTGGCTAATTTTTTGTATTTTTGTAGAGACAAGGCTTTGGTATGTTGGCCAGGCTGCTGGTCTCGAACTCCTGATCTCATGATCCGCCCGCCTTGGCCTCCCAAAGTGCTGGAATTACAGGTGTGAGCCACAGCACCTGGCCAGAAATTCTGTTAACTGCAGCTAAGAAAGCATCTTATCTGAAGCACTAGGTAGATATTCTAAAGAACAATTTTGTCATATCTAAACAAAGATTTCCACATGAAGTTTTTTAAATTTATCTTGACACAGAATATGCTATAGCTTACTTTTTTAAAAAATGGTGTATCACTTGCATTAATTTGATAGCCTTTAAAAAGCAGCATCCTGAGCAATAATAAGTCACCTGCACTCAGGTCAATACAAGTTGTAAAAGGAAAAAAAAACTATTAGAAATACATAATAGGGGAAAAGAGCTCTGATATGATTTGGCTGTGTCCCCACCCAAATCTCACTTTGAACTGTAATAATCCCCACGTGTCAAGGGCAGAGCCTGCTGGAGATAATTAAAACAAGGGGGCAGATTCCCTCAGACTGTTCTTGTGGTCGTGAATAACTCTTACAAGATCTAATGGTTTTATAAATGGGAGTTCCCCTGCATAAGCTCTCTTGCCTGCCACCATGTAAGATGTAACTTTGCTCCTCATTCACCTTCTGCCATGATTGTGAGGCCTCCCCAGCCACATAGAACTGTGAGTTTATTAAATCTCTTTCCTTTATAAATTAGCCAGTCTTGGGTATGTCTTTATTACCAGCATGAGAACAGACTAATACAAGCTCCTAGGAAACTCCAGAATCAGTACATACTCTTTCCAGATTCTCTACATCTTCCATGTCCAGTTATAAGAAACTGTACAACTTTCCACTTTGTAGATCTGGATTTCCACATATATAGTGTTAGGGAAATCAAATCAACCACCCCACAAGGCAGTTCTAGGAATAAATCAGATGATGACGATGTCTGGGAAAGGTACTTTATGTAAAATCTCTAACAATGCAGGGCATTACTTTAAAAGAAACTCACTTAGCACTAATTTCATACGTAAACATTAACAAGCCAGAAAGTAAAAGACCTAATAGAAAGGGCCACTTAAACTACCATAATTTTATTTGGTTACAAAAACTAAGGAAAACGTGGAAAGAAAGAATTTATCTAGATAAGGAGGTGGTACAAGTACAGCTGAGAGAAATCATTTAAATAGCATTTGTTTTGAGACATTTATCTATCTAGGTCTAGATTATTCCCCTAAAACAATGCTTTCCCAAACATAGCTTTGCATCAGAATTGCCTGAGGTGGTCTGTGTATGAATTTATCTTGAACAGTTTCCAAATTCTGGCCCCAAGTCTGAATCAGTAGGTCTAAATGGGGACCCCATTTATATATTTATATAGATATACAGATATAACTATATATAGAGAGAGAGAAAGAGCACTAAAAATCTCCCTACTTGTTATACTATTATACTTTTGTATATGTTTTAAATTGTTTATTAGATGGAAAGGGGAAAAGAGTTCCCCTAAATGGTTCTGATGCACAACCAAGTTATGTAGTCACTGAACCAAGTTCCCAGAGGAACCATGGATCCTATATACCTATTCTTACCCACCCACAGAACAACGTGATTTTATCCCTGTGAATCAGAGAAATGAGAAAAAAAAGTATCAAGTAGGTTTTCTTCACAAAAACCATTCCCAAAATGAAAGTTTTCCAATTCTACTAACCCTAATTTAGACAGATCTTATCAAATGTTAAGTTTTCTGAATACAGAAAACACGTTCAACTTCAAGAAACGATTTCTACCTAAACATGGTAAACAGTGATCGTTAATTGTATCTACTTTGAGAATAAAATGTAATAAATATTTATGCTTTCCCCAGTACTATCTTTTCAAGAATTTTCCGATAAGCTAGTATTATTTCTGTTTGAAGAATGCACTTACGGAGAGGTAACCAGTTAGAACACTATAGTAGTCCAAGAGAGGAGTGTAATACTTGCCACCAATCTATAGCTTATCAAATTCTTAAGTATTTCTTTTTCCTCACAGAATTCTTTCATGTTCATAACTCACTCAGGTACTTCTATCTAGAATTTGACTATATTATCATGTACTTCAGTTTTCCACAAATTTCTGTACATAAATCATAAGATTATTGGCAGTAACCACAGACTCTACATATATATGTACAATTAATACTGTAAAGCACAGTTGTTATATTAATGCTAAATTGTATAATTCCAAACATGAAATTATGAGAGTATTATAAAGCATTCTAAATGTTCTCAAAAGACCATAAAAGCAAAATTATGACAGATATTGATCTGATGAAATAAAATGGGAAATAAATGTGTACTCATGAAAGTAAGAAAAATGATTGGTATCTTTTGCACTCTATAAACTATATAAATTGTATAACTAAATATAGAAGTTTCATTCATAGGCGTATTCTTTAAAGAGCAGTAATTGTCAGCCTCCTCCAGCTTTTTTCAAGGGTAGGATATAAGATTTACACATGAAATAATTTCATAGGACACCTAATTGAAATCTTACCTCTGGTCTCCACACACACACAAAAAAAGGTAACCAGATTAAAATGAAAGAGTAGCTTTGTTAAGCCAATCTAAATTTGTTTCAACTAAGAAGAATCATAATGGACAATTCTCCATCTAATCTCAAGTGCCAGCCACCCAGGATATCTCTCAATTTTTATACACTGTAGTATGGTAATAATAAAATAAGGACAACACAGTTTACACTCACTTGGAAAGCACTGCTCTAGAGATGCCAGGTCTCTGTAGTAACTATATATGAACACATGGCATATACTGCTACAGACTAACTTCTTCTGGTAAGCCATTATTTATTGCCTCTATTAAGCAATTATTTCTCCTTGCTTTAATTTGTCATTTCCATGCGTTAATTAAATCATTTTAATTTACTGATGCTGTACATATTTGAACTCTCCACAAATTCACTTAAAAAGATAACACAAAAGGATGAAAAGTGATAAAGCTAACGTATCTATCCTTCGTATCTTTCCCACAGTTCCTCTGGCATAGTCATTAATTGATCAACCAGAGGTACCCAAAGGAGTAGAAATTGATCAATAACAAAATAATCCTTAAAACGCGGCTAAGTAGGTCACCGGGAAATAGGAAAACTGACTTAAGGTCAGTCAGACCTCTTGATTCACTACCCCATTCCCCAAAGCCAGGCCAACACTCGCCCCTACGCAGTATTAATTAAACTAGCAGTATATACGAGACATCAGGAAACATTTTGGGGCATGGGAATAGAAGAAAGGTGAGTGTAGTCCTGAATTAAAAAAAAAAAAAAAAAAACAAAGAATTAAGTAAATGCCTACTGAAAAGAGAACCCCCCACCTGAACTCAAGACCACTGTTCCCAGCTACAAGAACACTGGCAGCGAGACATACAAACAGAAATTGGAGAAAAAAAAATTTTTCTGGGAAACAGGAAAAAACATACAGATAATGAAATGTCAGAGTCATAGAATTTAAAAGTGGCTTTCCGCATCATCACACTAAAGTGAAGCCCCAAGTCAAGAAACTTGTCCCATTTACACAAATGGCTTCCATCATCATCACTTTAGAACTTCATTCTATAAAAAGAACAGACACAAAAAGATGATCAGACGTTCAAAGAAACCCTTTAACATGACAAGAGATTTAAAAAAGCAAACAGAAAAAAAGAACTTTGAAGAGGTGGTGGGAGCTAAAGAAATCATCCAAAGAACCTATAAATATTCTTAAGAGTAGAAGACAGACATTGCAGTCATGAAATAAGAGCAGAGTTCTATAAAAGGGATATTTGGAGAATGAGAAATTACTTTTACAAAATAGAATAAAGAAATCAAAAGTTAAAGCTTCCACAGAGGAGCTAGAAGATAAAATTAAGGAAATATTCCACAATTTTTTCAAAGGATAAAAGACTGGAATATTAAAAAACCAGTTCAGGCCGAGCATAGTGGCTCACGCCTGTAA